TAAATGTCCGTCACTATGACAACCCATATGGTACACACCAAAACCAGTCATCAAAAGAAAGGTCACCCCCCCCCCGTCCCTCCATCACAGCCTCCTCCACCCCGTCAGTGTATGATCTCTAAATATCCCATCATGCATCTCCTCATTCAAACAGAGTGTCTGAATGAGAGCTGAGTCACTTTAGCGTCATGACAGAACGATTTTTGTCACCCTCAGATGTTTGAATTGACTCCACTGTCATGTCTGTACGTTAAATAATAAAGCCTCACCAAGCAGCTAGTTAGCCTAGCTTAGCATAAAGACTTAAAACAGAGGGAAATAGCTAGCCTGGATCTGTCGGAAGAGAACAATTACTCGTACAAAATAAGGAGGATGATCGACGTCGTCAGCTGGCTGTCCTGCCGTGTGTTCTGTTTTGTAGCGAAAAGCAGAAAACCAGAACAAACTTGTGAGAACACTCTAATTCTCACTTATTGACATATTATTTTTCATGGTCTGATCTGGTTTGTTTCTTAACTCCCACCAAGTGAGAAATGACTCAACATGAGAATCAGGGAGGTTCAAAGAGGGGGATTTTGTTGAGCCAGGCTAGCTGTTCCCACCTGCTTCAAGTCTTTATGCTAAAATAAGATAATCTGAAATCTCTGTTTGACTCATGGAAGCTCAGATATCTTCTAAAACTTTGCCAGGTCTCCAGACTAAACTAAACCAGACTTCACCTCGAGTCAAACACAGCTGAGTGAAAACGAGAGTCCAAACCGTCAGAGCTGATTAAAACCTCTTGACACGATGGCGGACTGAGGGGCGTGCTGATGTTTCATGAGTTTAGATACGAGTGTTAGCATGTGTGCTAACTCTGCAGCAGAGGCCCCCTGTCATGGGAAAGTACTCAGAGGGAATAATGTCATTATGAGAGAGAGAGACAGAAGCCCTTTTACGGCTTTTTTCCAAACTCAGCCGCCATCACCTCTTTGAACGTTCATGTAGATTCTGGTCCGGCGTTATAATGAAGAAGAGAAAGTCGGAAAGTGCTGGACGAAAACTACTGAAAAATATCAGAAAATACCAAGTAACATTTTGACATTTAGCATCGGAAAGTATCTCACCATCGTAAAAAACGAAAAGTAGGTAAACATCGAGAAGTATCGGAAAAAATCTGAACATCTGCAAACGCATCTAAGCATCAGAAGAATCAGAAAGTACTGAAAATGATCTTAGCTCCGTAAATAACAAAAAGTATGTAAACATCAGAAGTTTCCAAAAGATTTGAAAGAGTCAGGAAGTTTGGAAAAGTATCTTTGGAAAGTGTTGAAGTAACGAAAATGATTCAAAGGCTGTCGCCTCAAGCGGGCGGCCCGGGTTCACATCCCACCTGTGGCCTCCTTCCCGCATGTCATTCCCCACTCTCTCTCTCTCCCTGTTTTCCGACTCTCTCCACTGTCCTATCTCTCCATTAAAGGCACAAAAAGCCCAAGAAAATTTTTTTTTAAAATAGAAAGAATCCTAAAGAATGAAAAGTATCCGAGGATCGAGAAGTCTCGGAAGAGTTGGAACGTATTTGTATGAAAACGTTTCAGAAAATATAAAAATATTGAAAAGAAGGAAAAAGTATGGAGTCATGAAAATGTTGACCTTTTTTATAATTAATTAAAAATGCAGGTAAAGCTTTTAAAAAGTTTGTTGGATAAACATAGACAAAGCTCATTCTCTCTCCTCTCAGGTTAAAACACCTGAAGTTTGTTTTAAAGTTTTGGTTCTTTTAGACACCATTAAAATATCATCGGGGATTTTATCGTTTTCAAACATTTGGTAGGATATCGAAATATCGACAAGTCTGAAATCGTCCTCAGGTGAAACTGAGTGTGTCATAACCTACAGGTGAATACAGGAGAGCATCATGGGAATTAAAACCAGCACTGTGTGTGTGTGTGTGTGTGTGTGTGTGTGTGTATGCGTGTGTGTGTGTGTGTGTGTGTATGCGTGTGTGTGTGTGTGTGTGTGTGTGTGTGTGTGTGTGTGTATGCGTGTGTGTGTGTGTGTGTGTATGCGTGTGTGTGCGCGTGTGTGTGTGTGTGTGTGTGTGTGTGTGTGTGTGTGTGTGTGTGTGTGTGTGTGTGTGTGTGTGTATGCGTGTGTGTGTGTGTGTGTGTGTGTGTGTGTGTGTGTGTGTGTGTGTGTGTGTGTGTGTGTGTGTATGCGCGCGCTCACCTCCGCTGCTGATGAAGAAACGGTCCTCCTCAAAACTCATCTCTCATTCTCAACGCGTCGCTTTACTTTCCAAACAAACAAACTAAACAAGCAAACAAACAGGAAGTAAACAAGTAAACAGTTTGTTTGTGCGGAGAGCAGTGAGTTCCTTCGTCCCCTTCAGACCCGCTCAAACATGTCAGTCCTCCGGGCTTCAAACACTGAGACAGTCCGCCGCTCAGCGTGGAGCAACAGGCTGCAGACTAACGAGCTAACAAGCCAACAAAGCTGACTGCTCACTGTTACGGTTCCTGCCTTCAGAATAAAAGTCACTTTGTATCCGCATGCTACTTTACTTAACATTTATTAGTTATTACATAAATGATACGATCAATAAGAAACAATTTAAATGTATTAAACTAATTAATTAATTATTCTCTTGGATCGCCTCGAGGATGACATCACAGCCACAGATCAGCATCATCCAATAATAAACTATTATACTATAAATAGACTGGTGTTAGAATAAGTCCCCAACATTATTCAAACATAGTTAATAAATATACTCTAAGAGGGAGAAATGCATTCTGAACTCTGAGGTAGAAAAGTCAAAGCTGAAAATGTGATTATCAAAATAAAATATACTTACTTTACTAATGGTAAATGGACTTAAGCGTGCAGTGTTTGAAAAACAACTCAGAGCATCACAAATACAAAGACTGGAGTTTTTTTGATTTGTTCTAAGGCATTGGTCCATTGGACCAACTTGGGGTACGGGCCCCCCTAGGAGGGGCGCCTGGGATCACAAGGGGGGGCCAGGCTCTCTCTGCTTTGAGGAAAAATTTGATTTGAACGAATTGAATAAAAAAAAGGTTTGAACATCACCGGGAAAAAGTATCCAAAGATCTTTGGGTAAGAACAAGTGTGCAGGTATATTATGATTGGACCTGGGGGGGGCTGAGCATTTCTTAGATACAAGTAACCTTCAGCAAAGGGGTACTACTACCATCTGACATCCCGACGCCCAGCCACCACCATCAGTGGAGTCCATCACTAGTAACTCATCCATTCATACACATTCACACGTGGCTGTCGAAGCAGCGGGAGCAACTCAGGGTTAGGAGTCTTGCTGAGGACCCATCGGACATGTTGCTACAGGAACTGGGGATTGAACCCCCGACCTACTGGTTCAGAGACGAATGACTCTGAACCACAGCTGTCCCATGTGGGAAAGGAGCCACAGGTCAGATTTGAACCCAGGCTGCCCGCTCCTGATGACTTCAGACTCTGTACATGGGGCATGTGCCAACCATTATAGACTACCGCTGCTGAGTATTCCTCTTTTTTAAACTTAAAGTAAAGTACTCAGATTGAGGAATATCATATATATCACAGCCTGTATTTATTTACTGTATTACTGTCCTAAATTAAGTAGCTCACTTTGATGTTCCATGATCATATTTATATCATCGCCTGGATCTGAAAAAGTGATCAAACAAACCCAGGAACAGTTTTGATGTGAGGCAGCCGAAGTGTGAAGTAACAGGAAATACAAATAATGATGTAACGTGTCACCTTAAGAGCCGTCAGAGTTAACAATCGTGTTTCTGTCGTTAGGAACTGACTCACTTCTTCTACTGTTTGTTTACAGCTACAGACTTCCTGTATGTTTAAACTGAGAGAGAAGAACTGAAATGTTTTCAGGTGACACTTCAGTGTAAACATTTAAAAACAGTAAGGAGCTCCAAGCGTTATTCAGACTGACGAGTAAATAAACGGAACGTCTCTGTTCTCTGTTTTTTTAGGTCATCACACTTAAAAGCTCACATACCCTCCTCCTCTTCAATCAGTGTAAATAAGTCTCAGAGCTCCTCAAAACATGTCTGTGAAGTGTGAAGTGTCTTGTTCTAAATCCACTCTGATCCTGTATTTGATCATGTCTATAAACCCCTCTATTTCAGCCCTGCTCAGAACAGGCTGTTTATATGTGTCTGTACCTTTAAATGTAAATGACCCGGGCTCGGTGTACTCTGGCTTTCTCGCTGAGGCAGACTCAGAGGGCAGAACAAACACCTAGCTGTGGGAGTGTCACCCACCTGGGGGAGTAGTTACTGCTCTTTGTGATGTCATGAAGGGAAAATCTCCAAACTGCCTGTTTGAGCACACATTTTCTGAAAAGTGGAACAGGCTAAAGACTGGGAGGATGGACTTTTCTCATCATTATGTATATGTGATCTTAAAGCAAATGTTTCCATTCTTTCATGTTTTACAGTAGATCTTATTGGTCAGGTTAGAGGGGGTGAATAATATATATTTATCTGTGTGTTTGTGAATGTCACACTTCCTGCATCAGTCAGAGCCACAGTTGGGCGACCTCAGTCCAAAAAGTCTGGACACGCCCCTTTCAGAAGCTAGGACTTAAAACTGCGCTAAAACCCAAGCTGAAGACTTAACACTGTTTAGCATCACTTTCTAATAAATAGACTTTAAATGATTATTATTTTGGGTGCTCAGTTTTATTCTTTTGAACTGCATTGGGTCTGTCTCTGTTCTTCCTCGTGTCTCAGCCCGCCATAGAGCCTGAAAGCTGCTTCAATCAGTAAATAAATACATCTGCCTTGTCTGCTGCCTTACCTAATGCTGGGCTTTTATCTTGAAGGTACATCTTCAGTTTCCGGTTTAGATTTGTTTCACCTTGACGTGACTTCCTGCCTCTCTGGTTCAGAGAGTTTAATCTAATTAATATTCATGAAGCTGTGAAAATAAACAGTAAATAAAATAAAGTTTAAAGTTTTCAGAATAAATAAAGAAAATAAAGATGTAAACAACGTGTTTAATTATTTATTAGTACAAACACTTAAAAATGTTATTACTCTCTGAAAGGTCTCCGTCTCATCTCAGAATCAAAAGTATTTTACTCGGTCTTGTCTCTGTCTCAGATACACAAGATGATGATTTTTCACTGATTTTTAAGGTCTTGGTCTCGATCCCTGAATATCTTGGAGGTCTCGGAGCACTCTGGTCTCAGGTGTCCTGGTCTCGGTTAATGTGGTCTGGACTACGATACTAGATTAAACAGAAAACCTTTTTTTATATTTGTGTTCAAACATGCAGAACTTGTTTCATTTCAGAAAAGGGACAAAGAATAAAAACCTTGAATGTATTCTGAGAGTGCGGAAGCTCTGAGAGGACACACATCTAAACATTTTATTTTACAGAATAAACTCCCTGTGACCGTAGACCTGCAAAAGTCATCCCAGTCTGAAAGAGTCTGGACCCGCCCCTGTCACAAAGGAGTGTTTGAGAGTATACAGGGAGGACGGCATGCAGCAGATTCCAGTCCAGAGTTTTCACGATGAAAACTGAAGGCTGTTCACATCGAAGAAACGATGTGAACAGAATCTTAATGATTCTCTGCAGTCGAGCGGACACCCTGAATGTTTCTGAGAGACGAGCTGCAGGAGATGAAGACAAACTCTTTAAAGAAGTGTAACTCTTTACAGCAAACACACCGACGAATGACGGACAGCCTGAAAACAGGGACTGAAAGTTTTTAAAGCTTTAAGGAGCAGCTTCACCGGATTTGCTTCTTAAAACCTGCAGGTCTTTCATCCTGTCTCAGAATCAAGATGATGTTTAATTCATCCAAGTTCTCCAGAAGACTCCGAGGTCAGAAGACAGGACACGGTGTTACGGTTCAAATGGCTCCCTGCAGAAGTTGGGCTGCAGCCTCCTTGTTGAGTCTCCTGGCCTCCTGCAGAGGAGAGCTCCCCCACCTGGTGGAAACAGAGAAGTACATCACACTCTATCTCAGCAAACGTGACGGAGACAGAGTTTTTTTACTCCCAACATGATCTCAGTGAAGAAAGAGGAGAAGATGTAGGTGAGGATGGAGTGACCTGAGGGGGGACTGCTGCCTTCAGTCCTTTATTTTACTCAAATGATTTTAATTACAACAATAAAAATATTTTGAATGATCTTATATTTTGTATTCAAACTATGAATTAATGAATCATGTGAATCATCATCCAGACAGCTTCTGGGAATCAGGCTCTCTGTCTTTCAGGAAGCTTTCCTTCAGTCGGGGTCTCACCTGTCTTTGAGGGCGGCGTTTGCTCCAGTGTTCCCCAGCAGGAAGCGGATGACCTCTGTGTGACCTTCAGCGGCCGCCACGTGCAGAGCCGACCTGCCGTCGTAGTCCACAGCGTTCACATCCACTCCGGACAGGAAGTACCTACAGAACACCACAGAAGAGATAAAGTCTGACCAACGACTCACTTTGATTGTTTCTTTACTCAAACCCTCCACTGGGACTCGTTTATAACTTTTCATTAAAGACTCTCTGAGTGATGAAACCATAAAGTCTGACTTTACCTCCTCAGGGCCTGCACGTCTCCTTTGAACGCAGCCAGCAGGACGTTCATGATCTGGTATCCCTGCACAGAAGATGAGATGATGTTATATTCATTGTTACTCTGTAGAGATATGAACTGATGTAAAATCACAATCAGCTGTTACCTCGGACTCAGCCTTCCACTGTCTGTAGGCCAGAATCTGTCTGAACGGAGTCCTGATGTCAAAACTGTGCAGCTGAAAGGTAGAGATGAGCTCCTGCAGACACAAACACGTTAAGAATCATCGACTGCAAAACTCATAACTGTGAATCACTGAAACTAAACCTTCTCAGTAAATCAACCCGTTTAGTCAACAGTCTGCAGAATTCAACTTCATCCATTTTGACATTTTTTTACATGAACACAGTCACTGAAGCTGGAGCATGGTTTGTCTAAACTCTACTCAAACATCTCTCCAAACAGTATCTTCTGCTTCTCTGGGTCACCATAGCAGCAAGCTTAGCAAGTTGCCCCCCAGACGTCCCTCTCCTCAGCGCTGTGTTCCAGCTCCTCCTGGGGGATCCAGAGGCGTTCCCAGGTCAAAAGCGATATATAATCCCTCAAGCAAACTCTGGGTCTACCCCGGGTCCCCCACGTTGAGCATGCCTGGAAAGACCTCCAAAGGCAACTTCCTCAACTGGCTCCTTTTGATGTGAAGGAGTTGCAGCTCTACTTTGAGCTCCCGCCAGATGTCGAAGCTCCTCCCCCTTTCTCTAAGTCTGAGTCCAGACTCTCTCCAGAGGAAACCGCTAGTATTCACAATTTCATTCTTTCAATCACTACCCAAAGCTCATGACCACAGGTGAGGGCTGGAACGAGGATCAGGTGGTAAATGGAGAGCTTTGTCTTCAGGCTCAGCTTCGTCTTCACCACGACGGTCTGACACAGCGCTCGCAGAGATATGAGATAATAACTTGTTTGCACTAGAAAATAACTTTTGCACACAGGTTTATATACAGTTTAAATCGTGTTCTAAAGACCTGGCAGAAGTGGACGGCCCTCCACGGGTTTCCACAGGCGTCTAACTCCGGAGAGAACGCCATCAGACCCAAAACACCAGGAACCACCGCAAGGAGGACGCCGTTACCGCTGCACACGGCCGGGACTGAGGTCTGCAAAAAGAACATGTTCATGAAGGGACGTGCACGAGTGGTTTCACTTGGTTTGTTTGTTTTCTTTAAGGTGAGAATGCTTCAATAGTCAGGGGACTTTACAAAATATGTTTAATTCTATGAATCATTTCCTCGACATCACAGACTTTAAAACAGTCGTGAAGTTGAAGCCGGTTGGAAATCGAACCTTGTAATGGAAGGTTGTGGAGTACTCCTTCATCCCCGCCACCTGCATCATGGACAGCATGCTCCGTGTTGCCGTTGGCGACAGCACCTGGTCACCTGAGAGAGGGCAGAGACCCCCATTGGCCAACGAAGCTGCCATGGCTGCACCTGATTCACAGGTGATTTCCGTGGAGGTACACTGCACCCAGACACACAGCAGAGCGTTTCACATCAGAAATAAAACAAATTAATTAAATGTTTTGTTCTTTTTGTGTGTATATGCGTGTATGTGTGTGTGTATGTTTGTGTGTGTGTGTGTGTGTGTGTTTGTGTACCTGCAGCATGAGATCCAGAGCAGCATTAATGTCGACTTTTTCTGGAAAACACTGAAGGAGAGAAGACGGATTAGAGGAGGAGAGGAGAAGAGGAGAGGAGGAGGAGAGGAGGAGAGGAGGAGGTTCATTCATGGTCAAATGTATTTACATAAATATTATAGAAGATGTTTCACCTTTTTTTCCTGCAGGTAAAATGACAGAGCATGGAGTCTGATGCTGTCCTTCCTGCCGCTCTGATAACTACAAAGACAAAACCTTAAAGGAGCAATATGTAACTCTGACCCCTAGTGTTTAAAATGAGTACTGCAGTCAAATGTGTTTTGAATATTTTTTGGAATTATACATGTCAGTCAGAGCTACACAAACGATATTTAAAAAGCAGCAAAGTACAGAATGTAACATAACTTATCTTTCAAAATATGATCTCTGTTCTGAGGTTGTGCAAATAGTCTCAGTACCTGCTGCAGTTCAAGTTGGCGTGCTCCTTGTTGCAGAGCCGTCGGATGACATTCAACACCTGCAAACACAAACAAATAAATGAATAAATAAACAAACGAATAAACAGTCAGTTTCTGGAAGTTTGAGGAAACCTATTAAAGTCTTTGTGTCACTCACTGAGTCATATTTCTCCTCTTCTTCTGCAGAAAGCCTCCCTGCAAGCTGGAGATACAAGAAACAGGACGTGACATCACTAGATGATGGATGGATTTACTGAATGGATGGATGGATGAGTTACCTGTAGTAAAGACGTGGTAACGATGGCTCCTGTTTCAGTTAGCGGGCTGTGAGGAATTCCTGCAAACAGATTTTGAATCAGTATCAGAGCCCTCTGCTGGACAGAGGTCAGGACAGAATAAGTCCAAGTAAAAAATGATTTAGTGCAAAACTGTGATTATTTGATTTCACTTGGTAACTAATGAAATTAATCAACTAATCAATCAACAGCTTCAATAATCAAACTACTGCAAGGTTTTGTGATTACACTTTAAATATGAGTCTGAAATGTAAATGTTAGAAAGGTGACACTTTTAATGTCATTTCATACAAAATGACATTAGTAAGAAAACCAATCTGACTGATCCTAGACCTGTTTTAGTAAGAGTGAAGGGCGAGTCATATCTGGAGTAACTGTCCATGCCGACATATCTGTGGACGAGGTCAGCGCCCAGCTGCTCCACCACCACGCCGTACACCAGCGGCCATGACACCTCGCCAAGGACCAGAGAGCCAGCCCAGTCTCCCAGAGACAACCTGACACAAAGAGAAGGACAGTTTAAATTAAACATCTTTAAAGGAGAAATAACCCCTTAAAGCACAAGAGTTAAACTTACCTCTGTCCGTCAACAGTGCAGATCGAGACGCCCCACTTGGTGCTGTCCATGCTCTCCTTCTCTTTCTCCTGATTCCACAAACACAAAACATTAAGGTCATTTTCAGGGGCCACGCTGGGATTGAAAATATCTCACATTGGGACCCTGACCACCACAGCCTCAGCCACCCCTGAGATATTACTATAACCACACCTCCATCACACAAATGACTCATTAAAAGATTTAAAATAAGGTCTTCATAGTGTTATTTCCTCAATACATTATCCAATATTGGGCGAAGGACTTCTATTTTTGCTTCTCCAACTCCGTTACACAAAAGACCCATTAAGAGATTTAAATTAAGTTTGTCAACATTTAACTTATTCTTTGCTTTTTGATGCCACACATTTTTAGAAGATGCCATGTCTTTATATAAAAAAAGTACTGAAGCTTTAAAAAAAAAAACTGTATGTTTCATAAGACAGGTGAAACATACAGTGTTCTTCCATCGCTCAGGTGAGTGATGGAAGAACAAGAACTTAAGCAATTACAGGCAAAATCCATCTTATTGTGTAAACTGCAAAAACAACTTGGCAACATTTTATTTGGGATTTTTAATGAAAACCTATGAATTTAAAACCGCTGTTAGAAACTTCTGAACAAAACTTCTGTATGATATTTGTATGAAACTTCCGTACGAAACTTCCGTACGAAAATTAAATTGAAACTTACGTACGAAACTCTCATATGAAGCTTGTATGAATCTTGTTCGATACGTCACAGGCGAAATCCTGCACATTTTACAGTTGCACAAACAAGTTGGTAACATTTCAGTTGGGCTCCCTTATCAAAAAGTTTCATACAATACATCCGTACGAAACTTCCTATCAAGTTATAACCTCTATGTCCTCTATATAAATATGCGGAAAGGAGGAATGAGTCCATCAGAATTTGCATACATGCGTTCGTTCAGTATTGTGTACAAATTTCAATGTTGCCAATGTTTTTGTGCAATAAATACAGTATGTAATTAGAAACAAGAAATTATCCAAAATTAGGTGCATAGGATTTCTATTTGTGTTGCCGTGGTATCCCTCAGTTATCGCTATCATCTTTAAAACTCATTTGCATTTAAAATGAAACTATAACAATGAATTAAACTTTACAATAAGTTAAAGCTGTTAGGAAGTTGAATCACTTAAACATCTTAAATATTGTATTAAGAGTAAAGAATGAGTTTAAAATCATCATTAACCATTAAGATATTTATTTAAGGGCCTTTTCCCCATTGGGAGTCTGCAGAGTAAGCATAGACTGTAAATATTAGTCCAATCTCCCCGCCCACTATGACGCTCATGGTTGTTTTATTTCATTTGAATTCTAATAAAACATTTATTAGTTTAAGTTATTAATATATCCTAATAATCTGCTAACAAGAGAAATTATATAAACAGTCTGGCAGACCAGGCAGAAGAAGCAGCAAACAAGGGAGAGCAAGGTAAGGTCTATAAAATTACCAAAATGGTCTGCGGTAGGTACCATAGAGCTTTAGATACGCCGATCACTGACAAACAAGGGCGAACTCTTACATCAGAGGCAGAAGTAGAGGCAAGGTGGGCAGAACACTTCAATGAGGTCCTAGAGATACAGGAACCTGAGACTGCCCTTGATGTTAACACTACACCACCAGAAGAAAAATAAATTGTTTCAGCCATCAAATCACTCAAAAATGGAAAAGCCCCAAGGCAAGACAACCTGAATGCAGAACTGTTCAAAGTACATCCAGAACTTTCAGCAAAACTGCTCAAACCACTCTTCACATCCATATGGGAGGGGAAGACGATACCAAACGATTGGTCAAAGGGTGTAATCGGAAAGATCCCCAAGAAAGGTTCCCTAAAAAACTGTGACAGCTGGCGTGGAATTACCCTTTTGTCAATTCCAAGCAAAATACTTGCAAAAATCATCATACAAAGAATTTCAGATGCAATAGACAAGCAGCTCAGAAGAGAGCAAGCAGGATTTCGGAAAGGAAGAGGGTGTGCCGACCAGATTTTTACTCTGCGCAACATCATAGAGCAGTGCACAGAATGGCAAAGACAGCTATATATCAACTTTGTAGACTTCGAGAAAGCATTTGACAGCATCCACAGGGACAGTTTATGGCGCATTCCACGTTTGTACGGGATTCCACAAGAAATCATCCTCATCATAAAGGGTTTTTACACCAACTTCACATGCCAAGTAGGAAACAGCAACCACACTTTTGAAGTCAAGACTGGATTGAGGCAAGGATGCGTGATGTCAGCATTACTCTTCAATACTGTCATAGACTGGGTGATGCGAAGAACAACCGAAGATCAACCTAGAGGCATCAGATGGACACTATTTACAACACTTGAAGACCTAGACTTTGCAGACGACTTGGCACTGGTTTCCCATACCCACCAACATATGCAAGAAAAAACATCCCGTGTCAACAGATTTGCACAACAAATAGGACTGAACATAAGCCTGAAGAAAACAGAGGTGATGACCTTAACCACACAAAATCCCCCACCTATACAAATAAATGGATTAAATATACCCACAACAGAAGAGTTTTCAAATCTAGGAAGCACTGTTAGATATGATGGAGGAACAGGCAATGACATCAAAAGCCGACTCAACAAGGCAAGAAACACATTCAGAATGATGAACAATGTGTGGAAGTCCACGAAGTACAGCATCAACACCAAACTCAAGTTGTACCAGAGCTGTGTTCTTTCCACCTTACTATACAGCTCTGAATGCTGGAGGATGACAGAGAAAGACCTTTCCAAGCTCTCGGCATTCCACACAAGAAACCTCAGAAAAATCCTACGTATCTTCTGGCCTAACACCATCTCCAACCAGCAATTACTTGCTCGGACCAACCAAGAAAGTATAGAGACTATCATAAAAAGAAGGCAGTGGAGATGGATTGGACACATCATGCGAAAAGAACAGGATTACATTACTAGAACCGCCCTACACTGGACACCTGAAGGCAAACGAAAGAGAGGATGACCCAAAGAAACCTGGCGTCGAACAGTGGAGAAAGAACTGAAAGACATGAAGCAGACCTGGAGTTCTATCCAAAAGCTCGCCCAAAACAGACAGGAGTGGAGATCCTTTGTTGCTGCCCTTCATGCCAGTAGGCATAAAGGGCAGTAAGTAAGTAATAATCTGCTTCCTTGCCCAGATCTTCTCTTTAAGGTTTCTACCAAAAACTTTCTTCTCAAAAGGTTTTTTTTTTTGGTACGATGATCTTAAGTTTTGAAACTGATCCCAGAATCTAATCGGAAATTGTGTAATTATGGGAGAAATTTGGATCTGAACTCACCTGTACAGACGACAGCTGTCGACACCTGGAGAAAAGCTTCTGAGTTTCTTCGGTGAAAGTGGAAAAATCTGGGATGACGAATCGTCCCTGCAGAGCTTTCAGGATCAGAGAGACGAATCCTGTGACGCACCTACAACAGGAAAAACCCAAGACGTGATCACAGATCAGAAACAGGATAAACAAATATAATCAGGATAACAACCAAAACCAGAACCAGAAACATGAACAAAACTAATCTGATGGATAAAGCAGCATATCATCTGCGAAACGACGTAGGAACATTTATAACTACTGAGGAGGTTTGTATACTGAGCATTTGACAAATTATATTTACGAAATGAATTAAGTCTGAAAAGAAAGGAAGTACCTTTGGAAGGTGTTTCTGTCCACTGATCCCTCTGCGTCCTGCAGTTTCCTCAGGTGGAAGAAACACTCTCTGAGCCGAGGATCAGACCTGTGCAGACCGGAGCTCCAGATTGCCTGAAAACAGAAAACGCTGCTTACATCATCTTTTATTGCCCTCGCTCTTAATACCTGCATCTTTCTCATTTCTAACCTGCAGTTTGCAATGCACTTTAAAGAACGCAGAGACAGCCAGAACAGACTAGTGGAGCGCCTCTATAATTATTTACTTCATATTATTAGAATAATGTGTGAGTAGAAATACCTCAAAAAACTGGTTGACATTGATTCTTTCGTCTGAAGCGAAGCTGTCAAACAGAATATCAGCAGCCCTGAAACATCAGAGAGGTTAGCATCAGTAGGGAGGGTTTAGATGATTCTTTAAGAGAAATGCTTGACCTGCAGACTTACGCCCTGCGCTTTGATGGACTCTGCTGGGTGGAGAACCACGGCTGGGCCGGGGGGAAGCCTCTGTCCTCTGGCTGGACCACCGCCTGAGGGAGAGGAGGCTTCAGACAGCCGTTACTCGCTGACACCGCCACCACTGTAGAAACAATGAGAATGAGGAGCACAGACTGTAAATATGAACGTTTGAAGCCAGAGTGATGTCACCTGTCTGTTCCTCAGTGTTAATCTTCACACCATTTTCTAATTTAGTCATAGTCATAGTCTCCTGACGAAAATGTCCTTTTATATTTAGTCAGATATTGGTCATTTGATATTGATTTAATTTAGTCAATTAGTCACTGACTAAAATTGAAAAATCTATGTACCAACTTTTGTACGTTCACAACAGTTAAAGTCCGAAAAAAGTGTCTGTTTTCATGTACTGCTCCTCCTTGCTCCCTCTACGCTCTGAGTCTGTCAGCTACGCTCTGCTGTGCCCACACTGTTAGACCCCACGTGGGCCAAGTCTGCTCTGATTGGTCTGCCGATCCGCTCTGTCGTTATTGGTCAGTTGCTCAGCACGCTTCTCGGAAATTTCAACATGAGCTGCAGGGCTTGCCACAACGAGCCAATGGGCTTAGATCAGTGATATCACACTGACAATGACGCTGCACTGACAAATTTTTATCGAGGGGGGCTAGAACCGAGCGTTACATGCAGCTAATGCTACAGCTAACAGGAGGACGTTGGAGAAGCCGCGTTTCCACGGACTTTGAATTTTTGCTCATACATGTCCCTAAACATGTACAGGACACTTGGAAAACACACTAAATGGCATATAAAACCAGAAAAAGCATAATATGGGACCTTTAAGTTTGGAATGTTGTAACAACAGCACAAACAAGTAGAAGATCAGTGAAATGTAACTTTTAAAAGTTATATTTGACAAAAAAAAGTTAATGTGCAATACGTGAATTAATAAAAAGTATGTTAACATTAACAAAAAAGATTTTGCCCCCCATTTGATGACGATTCTGACATCAAGTCGGGAAGTCGTGCACCTTATTATTTCCCGAGTTTCCGAGTTGTTGGTCCAACTTGAGCAGGTGTTCATGTGCATTTTACAACTCGGAAACTCTTTTTCCTGATGTTTCCGACACCACATGAATGCAGCAGAAGCTCCAGGGGGCGGGGATTCACAGACCTGCAGGCGAGAGGCTCCAGGTTGCACATTGTTGCACTCACCACACACGCACACCTTTGATGAAGTCTGCTTTGGTTTACATGATTGATTTTAGAACAGCTGAGTGGGTTTAACACTTCTTTATCAAGTGATAATTGTCACTTGTAATGTAGTTTTTGTTTTGTCACATTTTCGTCAATTACATGATGAAGTAATATTATTCATCAAATCGTCAAATAGCGGAGTTTTGTCTCGTCATCGTTGACTAATTTAAAAAGACTTTCGTCAACAAAATGTTTTCGTCATTTATTTCGTTGACGACATTAACACTGCTGTTCCTGCAGGGGGCGCTGGAGTCCCATCGATGGCGGTTTCCATGCTGGAAATGCTGTCTCAGCCTAACTTTCAGTAAACCTAACGACAGACTGAGAGCTGGAGCTAAGGCGGGTTTTAAGACTCCTGACAAACCGTTACCCTGCGCCTGCCTGTCAGTCATGTCAGCTACACGCCTTATTGTGAATAACTCTTATCCTTCATCAAATCAAAACTGATGAGTCATCAAAGCATTCACCCTCCGAACAGTGTGTGTCGATTGAGACATGAGCTAATTAGACCCATTTGTTTTTTTTTAACCAGGCTGTAAACATGTTCATCTCTGCTGTAAAAACAGGCTTTTTAGAATGGGTGTGTATGTGACTTCCTGTGCTTCTGCAGCCAGCCTCTAGTGGACACTTGAGGAACTGCATGATTTTACACTTCAGCATCAGCTTCATGTTTCAACACCGGAGGTTGCAGGAGGGACAGTGGAAGTGTGGAGACAGGAGGTCAGGGCGGAGCTTGGAAAAGGGCATTTATTTTGATCTGAAAATCAGTCGTACCTGCAGGTCCAGGACTGACAAGGCTGACGGGCTTCTGGACAGGAGTCTGGAAGGCAGACTGGGTCTGGTTCTGGATCATACTCCTGGGAGCTGGACGGGGTGTTGAATCCTTGCAAAAAAAAAATTTTTTTAAATCAACACAGAGAGAAATTAACTTTAATCTCTTATTGTCTGAATCGTAAAAACACCAACAATCTGAAAGAGTGATGGAGGAAGAATCTAAAGTGAATTAGAAAGAACAAAAGAAATAAAAACAAGATGCAGTGAAGTGCAAGTTTGTCAGTGTTCATTTTGGGAGCTACTTTATATTTAGTCTGTGTCTTTAGACTGAAATCTTGAATGAAAACTGACCAAGGCTGCAAAGGACTGAAATAGAGGGGTTTATAGGCATGATCAAATACAGGATCAGAGTGAACAAGAAACTTCACACACGTTTTGAGGAGCTCTGAGACTTATTTACTATGGTTGAAGAGAACGAGAATATGTGACCTTTAAAGAGCTCATAGAGTAACCAGCTGTTTCTGATTTCACTTTTGCCCCCAGCAATCGTTTCAGCCATTACAGCCGGTTTCAGCTGGTCGAAGCCATTTCCAAACTTCTATAAGAGCAGTACCTGAGTAAATGCACTTAATGAAATTCCAACGGGAACATTATGTGGGTGTTTTTTCACAGAGTCAGGTCGTTGTAAAGAAAATGAAAGGTTAGTGTTCAGAGAGGAGGAGGAGGAGACAGTAACAGTAATAAGAGTGAGACGTGTAGAGGCAGGTTCACCGTGTTGTCAGAGCTCCTCTGCTGACTCTCGTCTGTCGTCTCTCCATCATCTGCAGGAGGAGAGGACAGAAAACATTAATAATCCCTAATTATATCACTCAGGGGGTGCTCTCAGGTTAAAGTGAGATCAGAACACTGTGTCAGTGAGCGTGATGGTTAGTTGGTCTGATAACAGGTCAGAGATGAGACGAGGTAAGGCAGTATGATACGATGAAATACCACACGCTATAAGATGTGCAATATACGATAAAATAAGATTACTTAAAATACGATAAACATTATCCACTGTCCTGTCTCTTCAATAAAGTCCTAAAAAGCAAAAAAAAAAATCTTTAATGATTAACTTAAGTTAACATTAACCAGTGTTACGGTTCAAAGAGTGACCGTGTTAACTGGTGACCTTCAGCTGAATGCATCTGTGGTTGCCGTGGTTACAGACATATATGAGCTGTATTTTTTACATCACAGTAAAATCTAAACAAAGTGACATTTGTTAGTACAATTTCTGTCTCCAACATCTGCTGTAACTACGACAACCACAGACACATTCGACTAAAAGTTGCCAGTTAACACTGTCACTTTTTAAACTGTAACACCAGTGTTAAAAAAAAAACATAATCATTTTACAAAGGCACCAGATGTAAGTTAAGAGGCCAAGATGACTCAGAAAACTTTTTCATATATCACCTCTGTCTTCACTCTAGCAGCGTTCAGGAAGTACCTTCATGTATTTCAAGCAGCATTTCACAATAAAAGCACCCGGGGCAGAGACAGGCATTTTAAGATGTTAAATGTCTCAGTAGTTGTTTTTTTAAGCATACAATACATGTTAAAAATGAAAAAGGAACTTAAATAATAAATAAATAATAAAAAATGGTTAACGGATTAATGGCCGTCTGCAAACAGCCCAGCAGCTAGCGTGTTTTATAATGATGTGAAAAGCAGTTCTTTTCAGTTTACTGAATCAGTAGAATCAGTTCAGTAAAGTGATTCGTTCAAAAGATTCGTTCACCGAATCGTTCAGTACTTCTCTGCAGCTCCGTCTGCGAATCAGAATTTAATAAGCTGAAATACGGCCGAATGTTTAGTTCTGCTCGCGATCGTACTGAGAATAGCCGGTGGTGAATAATAAACTAATGAGCTGAGAATTTAGTTGGATAAAGCTACAGTTTGCAAACTGAAAGCTGCTAAAACAATCAGTTTGTTCACTGAACGAGAGCTCCGCTCCTCCTCTCAGTTCGTTCAGTGATTCACGTCGGAGCTCTCGTTCAGTTCATTCAGTGAACGTGAACGAGCGAGACTGCGAGTCACCAGCCTCAGTCACACACACACACACACTGTACTGACTGAAACACGATCGTTAGTAGATGTTAAAACAGTCAGCTGAGTGAAATTAAGTTGGATATAAAAGCTGTTTGTAAACTGACAGCAGTTATAAAAAAAACACATACATTTTTGTGACACCTGAATGTTAAATAATATATTTTCTACTTCCTCAATTTTGGAGACATGAGAGGGAGAAGTAGGGACGGGCTTTAGCGACACAGAGCTCCCGACCGACTCCGTCCTGTTGGTTCAGTCAGTACGTATCACTGACATGAAAGGAGAGGGAGGGCGGGCTTTGAGCGACTCTTACGGTCTAGAGAGAGATACGAGACGGGAGAGAGGAGAGCGCAACTGAAGTTGAGAAATGAACGACTCTTTTCAGTAAGTGATTCAGTTCCGTTCGTTCACCCAGATGATTTGTTCGTATTGAACGAATCGTTCATGACCGACACATCACTGGTGTTTTTTCATTTGCAGCATGATCCGTAAGCTGTGTTTTTGAATCATCATAATTTCTAAATTTGCAGATTGTTTCCCCTCATGTAAATCGTTTCGGCTGCACTTGTCGGCCGCCGTATAAACCTAACTCCAAGACTGAGGATTACAAACAGATTTTCATTTCATTTTTAACTTTGCAGTCTTTTTGAACCGGCTTCACCTTTGCTCCTCACATCTAAATGTGATCTTTTCTTTAAACATCATTGTGAGTGAAGAGAAAAAGCACAAATTTTGCCATCAACATGTTTAATTGCAGCCAAACACATCTGTCTGCGGTCTGCATGAAATATATAACAGAGAGCTAAAAATAGAAAGGGCTGAGTTTCCATGCAGACAGTAGTTTGTGATGAGGGGTTTGTTTTCTAAAGTTGGATCGGATCTCAGTCTGAGTGTCTCACAAGGAAAATAAAGAGAGAAAAATACATCCAGGGGGGCGGGGCGGGATGTCCTGATGGCCAATCAGCTGCTGTGTGGTGAGGGGTGGGCGGCAACTCGATTTAGATACCAGCTGACTCCGCCCTCTAAAAGATGCTTTACACACCACTAATCACAGGGTGTTCACACACACACACTCAAACACACACACACCTTTCATGTCGGGATCTTTATTGGGCTCCAGCAGCTTGTTGCCGTCCAGACCGCCATAACGTTTCCTCCATTTCCGTCGGAGAGAGGGCGTTCTCTGGAAACTGCAACACAACAACAAATAAAACTAAATAAATCTATATATTACGGTGTGACAGTGATTCACAGTAAGCTACAGACTGTTGGTGAAAAGTGGACGTAGATACAAGTCTGAAAGGTGAACCCAATGCAGGTGTCTGAAACGTGCATTCCCTCTCATATCCAGCAGAGGGCGACTCCACTGGTTGTAAAAGCAGTCTATGTTAAAGGTCCCATATTATGCTTTTTCTGGTTGTATATGCTCTTTAGTGTGTTTTCCAAGTGTCCTGTGCATGTTTAGGCACATCTATTTGCAAAAATTCAAAGTCCGCGGAAACGCGGCTTCTCCTACGTCCTCCTGTTAGCTGTAGCATTAGCTGCATGTAACGCTCGGTTCTAGCCCCCCTCGATAAAAATGTGTCAGTCTGACGTCATTGTAAGTGTGAGATCACTGATCTAAGCCCATTGGCTCGTTGTGGCAAGCCCTGCAGCTCATGTTGCACGCCCGTTAACTTCTGTAGCACGCCCACGATATGCCGTAGCCTGCGGTAGCACAGTAGTGCTAAGGTGCTAATGTTTTTGCTCTGCTCGGACGGAGCCAGTGGCTGCATTCCCAATATGGCAAAAGAAGCGGGACATTTCCGAGAACCGTGCTGAGCAACTGACCAAAAACGACAGAGCGGATCGGCAGACCAATCAGAGCAGACTTGGCCCACATGGGGCTCTGCAGTGGGGGCTCAGCAGAGCGTAGCTGATGGACTCAGAGCGTAGAGGGAGCAAGGAGGAGCAGTACATGAAAACAGACACTTTTTTCGGACTTAAGTAGGTACATAGATTAAATATACGAACCCCAAAAAGGGCATAATATGGGCTCTTTAACATGTTCCTCACAACGTCAAGTGATTTATTCCCTCAGTGAACATTTTCCAAACAACTTTATGGTCTCAATCTCTAGTTTCAAGTCTTCTTTTGTTTTGTCGAAGGAAGTAACCATATATGGGCAAGAGCGCAGAGCTTGAGAAGAGTAAGGTTCTCCCTTGCTGCAAACAATTGGAAAGAACTGTTGCTCTGAAACGCACAGTATATCAATTCCACCACCAGGGGGCTTTCAATCAAAACAATAACAAAAGAAGACGTCGAGGCTGGTGGGGAATCATGGGAGAGATTCTCTCTGCTACTCCCCTCCCACCAAAGAAAACACACTCAGAGTTGACCATAGTCATGACGACCGGGTGTAACCGACCTGAGGAAGAGAATGTTTACAGACGAGCTGATGTATCCGAGTATAATTTACATGATGTTTTTATTACAGCAGCACGTACAGCAACAGTACGGCAGCCTTCAGCAGCAGCTCACATTTCCTTATGCAGCGGTTTGTGACGTAACATCTGGTGTTTCCACGGCAACAATAAACATGTCGTATCTGTCATGGCGGCGGCCACAGCAAGACACGTCCCGTTACAACTATAAAATAAGGGATTCCTCTGGATTTGATAACTGTTGGAAATATCTGAGGTAATGTAAGAACTCAACTAAACATATAACAGGTTTGGTCCGTTTTTAATTAATTTAGATATTTTAATGTAAACATTCAACATGTTGTATGTTTAAATACAACAATCAGTGACTCTAATGCTCAGTGCCAAACATGACATTTCTTTGTTGTTTCATTTATGCACAAATGCACTTTTTAAGAATCCATAAATCACAATAATCTCTCCATAAAACGAAATACATCCCCACGAATTTTCATGAAGGTTAAACCCACTGGAGGGGCTGAATTCATTCATTTTTAAAGGGGGCACTGTGGAGCCATTTTGCAACAATCATGCACAACAGCACGATTACACGGCCATGTCGTGTACCTGGGCTGTGTGTGCAGATTGTTCAGAGTTTTTTTGGAGCATGTTTAAGCTGCCAAATAAGCAATTCAGTAGGATAAAGAAACAATAACTAACATATGATAAGATTTTGAAAGTCTTTGCACCACTTTTTGACACTTAATTTTAAGAGGAAAAGACCCAGGGTTCTTAATGTTTCAATATTTAGATGTATTTCTTTTACATGTAACACATTTCTTTTTAAAGTGCAGATTCAGAGAGATCTGAATATTTGCTTACAGCTGCCTCTGTCCCTACAACTTGAACTGGGACCAGTTCCCTCCAGCACAGGTCAGCAGGTTGAACCAGCAGGTCTGACTCTGTGTTCATGTCGTCTGAATGCTCTGCCACGTCTCAGCCTGTCCCTCACCATCACAGAAGGAATGTACGGCTGGAGAGCTTCCAGCTTTATGGCAGCTTCATGGAAAACAATCTGAGCGGTGTTGAAGAACAGAACAGAGGGAAAGAAAACATGCAGAAGAGACTAAGAGTTTAATAAATGTTTCTCACCACAGGTACGGGCTGTCCTCCGCCTCCTGCGTCTGACTGCTCTCCATCGAAGCGCTCAGGTGTGTCTCTGCAGGTATTCTCTGAGAGCTGCTTTCATGTAAAACAAGGCAGTGTGTGCAGCCGCTGCATGTGAGTATGTCTGCAGGCTACAAACTTTCTGTAATGAATGGGACGGTACAGAGAGGGAGGGTACAGCAGTCACAGCTGCAGACACTCCCAGCTGTACAACCGCCACACACACAGACAAGAGCTGAAGCATGAAAGGAGAATGGAGGCAGGGCATGGACACAAAAACAGTTTCAAAAACACACAAAAACAGTTTCAAAAGCACAAGAAAAACTTTTAAATCATAAACACAGGATGAACATACACACAGAAACATGTCATGAAATAATAACAACTGGAGAGAAAGGTCCAAAACAGAAAGCTGAGATTTAAAGGGCAAATTCACCCAAATAATTAAAATGTACATTTCCTTACATTTTCTGGTAATCAGGCAGATAATAGTAAAACATGATTTACCATGTGTAAAAAAAGTCTCCGTAATTTTTATTTTTTATTTTTTAAGATTTTTTTGGGGGCTTTATGACGGGGGTTGCGAATTAGCCAAGGCTAGAAATCTTTATGCATGGCATCTACTTTGTACTTAAGGTATGAAGCAATGTTTACTGCATGTGTCCCTGTTAAATAAACAAATAATAATAATAACAAACATCAGTCATATTTATAACACAAAGCCGCCATAAGAGCAACAGAGAGAGTAGGCGACTGTATAATTATACAAACATGTTGGCAACGATTCGGTGCAACTCTACCAATGTTTTTGTACAACGTAGACAGTGTGTAGAAAGTTGCCTGCAATATTTGGTAATTAAATACATGAAATTACCCAGTAGTGGCTTGAACTTCTATTTGTGTTGCTGTGGTGTCCTGACAAATAGGTATCGATCGTGTTTTAAAAATCTGGTATCATGACAGTTCTTGTTTGGATTCATTTCTGAATAGCTTCGTTGTATCTTTAGATTTTTTATGTGAAAATTATGACAAAAAATACCAGTATTAGATTATCATTGAGGCTTTTACTTTGAAGGACATCCGAAGGTTTATTGTGAAAGCGGAAATCACAATGTTTACATCCTTGGCGCTTCCGCTCTTGGGCTGACTAAAGCTAACAGAAACAAGCTAGCAGTTAGCCAGGTGGATGTTTTCTCGCTTAGGTTTGACTGTGGCGCGTGGGTCTTTTAGATTAACTGAGTCGCTCAGTGCGTTTAACCGTGTGTGTGACGTCATCCCCCCGGTGTTCAGCCGCCGGTTAACCGTTCTTCTCTCCCGGTACAGACTGCCTCCTGTGACCGGTGTAACGTTCAGGAGTTTCTCCGGAAACAGAAAAATGCCCAAAAAAGTCAAAGCGGTTAGTTTTCCCTACTCTTCTGTTCATAGACTGAACCAGGTCTCATGGACTTTTTATACATGTTATTTATTTCGTTCTCAGTAACTGCAGATACACGATGTTTGTTAAACTACACATGTTTATATTACTGTGTTTGTTCTGTTCTTTACATCGGCGAATAAAGATGTTTTCATAAACACGAATTAACAGTTACAAAAAATATTTTATTTAAATACATTTCCACTCGGAGATTAATAATCTAAATCTTCCGTTTAAGTTGTTTATTTTTGTTCATCTATTAGTTAAGGTGTCTCTGATATTTAAAAACAAAAAGCACTATTCTTTAAAACGTAATTATGTTAAAATAAGAAAGTTTTCACGGGAGGACGAAGATATGAGTCTGAAGGAGAGACTTGCTTCTTCCAGATTCATTAAATTAAACTTGTGCTGGTTAAAGCCACCTTTCATTTCTCTACTCAATCAAAAATATAAATGGAAAATTAAAAACATTATGCAGAATGTCCTGGTTGCTTCGCAACAGTCAATTTTCCAACTAGCAACACTCAGGCTTCTTTTGATTCTTTATGTGCTCCTCGGAAATATCGTATTCACCGTATTTGTGACAGCTCTCCAAAGTCGTAATTCCAAGTGGAAAATTGGGAGATTTTCGATGGTTGCAGAGTTGTAATGTTTGTGTGACATTTAAGGACAGCAAAAATTTCAGAAAGCTTGGAAAGAATCGTATCTAGTCTAATAAACAGGTTTAGTGACTGATAGTCCGCGTGTACTTAATCTTTATAACAATTTCATGATCTGAAACATTACTCCTTTCAGACTGGACGATTTTAATTAATAAATAAACTATATGAAGTGTAAAGGGTTTTCACCATACTGGAAAGTCCTTGGCGACTGATATTGAGTAATTTCTTGATTTTAATCACTAATCATTGCCAATATTTTTGTGCAATTTGGATTCAGACTCCAGCTGACCCCCCTCTCTGTTGAACCAGGTGAAAGCTCAGCCAGCTGCTGTTGGAGCGTCTCCCACAGAAGCTTCCTGTCCCGTGTCTCGAGACAAAAGTGGAGCCGTCACCATCACGGTGCACGCCAAGCCCGGCTCCAAACACAGCAGCATCATAGGTCACCTTCACACTTTAGGATTCAAAGACTGTTGTTACGACCGCCTGAGCTCTGCCTCTAGGAACCTTTTTCTTCTTCTTCTTCTACTCCTGCAGAAGTTTCAGCAGAAGCAGTGGGCATCGCCATCGCAGCTCCTCCTACAGACGGAGAGGCGAACACCGAGCTCATCCGATACCTGGCTGAAGTCCTGGAGCTGAAGAAGAGTCACATCTCTCTTGACAAGGTCACTGAAACACATTCAAGGCATTAATTTATTTTAATATATCAGACAAATGGAGCTAAATGACCAACAGGTACAAACGTTTTGGATTCATTTGGTCAGCTGCAAAACAGCCTGTAACATCTGAAACATAATGTTTGATGGATCAAAATGTGTCCACTAAAAGTTGTTTTTATCCCCGACTCCTGAACAATGTTTAAATTGCACAAAAACATTTGCAACGTTTTCATACAAATCAAAAGTTGCAAGAAAACTCTTGCACACGGTCTTCATTCAGACAGCGTAGGTTGCTTGCAATTTTTGGTAAATGCAGCTAGAATCATATTGCAGTTTAAACTACTGGTATCGTGGCAGTACCGACTCTCAGATGTTCTCCAGGTTGTAAATTAAGAAAGGGAAGCGTCTGTGCCAATTTAATTTGTTTCAGATCGAGAAAGAAACAAACACCCTGTATAAAAAGTGTCTCAAACAAGAAGATCGTTTTCTTTGTATGCAGAAGTCACCTGCTTCACCCTGTTAACCCTTAAAACCTCCCTCTCAGCGATTCTCCTGCAGTATTTGACCTTTGACCTTCTGTCTCTCGCAGGGCTCCAGGTCCAGAGACAAACTCATCAAAGTGGACTCCTCTCTCAGTGAGGAGGAGGTGCTGAGGAGGCTCAGACAAGCTGCAGGCTGACAGGAGGGACGGTGGAGGAGGATGGAAGGACAGAGACCAGTGAGGCTGCTGGGACTCCAAAAGAAAGACCAGAACAGGCCGATGAGCAGGAGTGGTTTCCATCTCTGAACCTGCTGCAGCTTCAGGACAGAAACGTCCGTCTGCAGACAGGATGGGATGTTTATATGTTGGATCTCCGGAGGAGGGTTGTTACCAAACCTGAATTAGAAACATTGATGTAATTCTAGTAAAAATCAAACCATATAAATACCTGTAACGCTACCATGGCAACAAAAACAGAAGTCTAAGGCACCGATATCAGGATGTTTCTGTTGAAGAAAAATGTCTTCACTCTGATGACCTTATTGTGCAGTTTGGACGGTGAGCAGGTGTTTCTTTCCTCTCCTTCACACCTGTCTTAAGAAATAGATGTAGTTATTTGAAGTTCTTTTTGATTCTATCGATCATTTAGATAACAGATTCTATCAATTTAACGGTCACAAACTATCTGAAATCCACGTCTCCATGTTCCTCTAACACTAATATGTGTCTCTAGTCTGTCTACAAACCCCCCAATTATGAGAAAAGTCCATCCTCTCTGTCTTTTACCTGCTCCACTTTTCAGAAAATGTGTGCTCAAACAGGCTGTTTGGAGATTTTCCCTTCATGACATCACAAAGGGCAGTAACCCCTCCCCCAGGTGGGTGACACTCCCACAGCTAGGTGTTTGTTCTGCCCTCTGAGTCTGCCTTCTCACCGTAAACAATAGGGCATGGAGCAAGAAAGCCCGAGATACCCAAGCCCTTCCAGAGAGGGGCGTGGTCATACACAGCTCATTTACATTTAAAGGTACAGACACAGAAACAGCCTGTTCTGAGCAGGGCTGAAAGAGAGGGGTTTATAGGTATGATCAAATACAGGATCAGAGTAGATTTAGAACAAGAAACTTAACACATGTGTTTTGAAGACTCTGAGACTTAAGAGGAGGAGAATATGTGACCTTAAACAGCAGGGAGAGTTTATTTATAGCACATTTCATAAGGAAGGCGATTTAAATTGCTAATAAAAAATGAAGTGGAAATATAAAAAGAGAAGAATCACACCACAACCTTCGTCTTAAGGAACACATTCAAGAGTGTCATGTTCATTTAAAGTGTTTTTAAATAAAAAAGTATGATTGACTCTGTGATTTTATTTGTATCACTTTTTTATAAAAATTAAATAACTTTTCTTTTCAACAATGTTTGAATTATTTTGCCATTTAAAGCATACATACATAAAGAATACTAAAACATGTTAAAGGAGCATTATGTAACTGACACCTAGTGATTAAAATGGGTAACGCAGTCCAAATTGCTTCCCTGCAGCTGTGTTCAAATCAAGCTTTCCCAGCAGGCAGTGCAGGTGAATGGTTTCTGTTCTGGAGAATACATTCACTAAGATACACACACAGACAAACCAAAACAGAAGTCATGGGTGAGACTTGGGCCGTAACCATGAGCAACACACAGTGTTCGTTTCTTTTTCAAACATCCCAGCTGGTTGGCTCCAGTAATTTCTGACCTCATGGACTTCAACGTGTGTTTTGGTTGGTTAATTTTTACCCTGTTGACAGAAATGTTCAGCTAACATTCGTTACAGGTTCCCAGTTGATTCGCCCGCATCGTTAAGAGTCCTGATTGTGAACGCCACCTCTCAGCACGACTCAAATCTCAGGAGAGTGAAAAAGAAGTCTCTCATTAGTGCCCGTCGTCAGCTGCAGAATCAGAGGAGCAGCATGAATTAGTGGAGTGTTAATGAGCTCAGTTTCTTCAAGTTCAAACTGAGAAGCTTCAAAGAGAAAGAGCGCGGTATCATCATCATACAGGCGCACATCAAAGCTCGGACACTAACGAATCTCCATCAAACATCACAGTTTCAAACTCCTCCGTTTGGATTCACATTCAAGCTCTGCAGACAAAGTTTCTGCTTTTCAGGGACGGTTAAGAAAGTCATTTTACTCTCACTGACAACATTATATAAGATTTAACTCGGAGTGTCCACGTTCTGCTGTCCGAGGTCATTTTTCACGGTGATCCTGGATCAGCAGCTTTACGTCTGCAGCTGAAGCTCCTGTCAGACTCGAGGATCCGCAGACGACGAGTTAAGCTCTGCTGGAGGGACAAATATTGTCCCTTAACATTCGAGAGACTCAGAAATATAAATCCTTCCCCTCCATGTTGGGCATCGGATGATCGACTTAGAGTTTCTGGAGAAGACCAACAGAAAGAGTCACTGCATTCCTTTGTCTTACCATGCAGAGAGGAAAGGCCCTGTGGTCATGTGCATCTCTCTGTGCTTGTTATTCTTATTTTGATGATTTACATTCCTTTGTTGTCTTTATCTGTTCCTCTAAAGTCATCCTGAGCATTTTATTCTTATGCATTGATGTGTCTGCGCAGCTCTGCAATACAAACACTACTAAGTTAGTTCTAACACCAGGGCACGCCACAGTTTCTGCTTGTTTGTGCAGGATGGACCATCAGACTGAAACTTAAAGGAGATCTATTATCCTCTCTCTTTCGGCATCACTGACTTCAGTCTGGGACACCTGTTGAGTAGCGTTGTGAGATGTGTAGCTGAAAACCCTCCTTATTTATCTGATACTGCCATCAGTAAAATCCCTAATTTCAGCCTCTGCCTGAAAAGCTTAATTTCAGCTGCTGTCTCTTTAAGGCCCCGCCTCCCCATATGCCTATACTCTCCTCTGATTGGTCAGCTCTGTTTGCAGTTGCAGGTAAAAATTGAGTGAGCTTCCGGGTTGGCATGTCCTTGAAAGAGCTGCCGGAGGGGCTGACAAACTTTAAACCACAGCAGTGGCTTAAAATGTGCAAATTTGACAGTAGGAAATCTCCCTAAGGGGGCCCCACCTGACAGCAGTCCCTCTCCATGCCCTGCTAAGCATCACGTGCATATTTGCTGTGAAACTGAAATTTGTCAAAGAAAGTCACCAAAGGGAAAAGTAGAGGAATAATTCTCTGTGTGGGAGTGAAAAAATGAAAGAGGAAGAGGAGTGAGCGTCGGGACACTGACAGACATAATGGTGATGAACACGGGTTGGAGGCTCCTGATGAAGGGCCCCAACAGACTCTAGAATTGCCCCTGTGTGGGAGCATGTATCACACATCATGCACACACTAATATAAATGACAACAACATATGTTTTACACTGACACACACATTTCCTTTTTGAATGTTTTGTTTATTTTCGTTTTATGTAGGTGCCTTGGTCTGCATGTTCCCTGTAACCTTCAAGTCCTCTGCCTCCTTCTGTCTCAACTGCCATGACTGAACCCCCCAACCTCTGGAGAGAAAAGGGCACAAGCCCTGATCCATCCCACCGGGATCCTGATCCTTTAGCCCGGGTTCCAATCCGACCTGTGGCACCTTTCCGACGACGTCGAAGTATAAATCATACTTGACTCTCTCTGGAGGAACTCTTTGAAGGACTGAAGGACGGAGCCTTAACACAGAGTTATAAAGAGAAGTCTTCAGAGGAAGAATGACTCAAAGCCCGGCAGAAGATCAAAGACCAACAGAAGAAGAAGAAATTATGAAAAGATGCAGAGCAGCACCGTGCTGCATGAATACCAACAGCTTCATACTGACTCTCTACAACGAGTGAGCAGAGTGTTTAGGTTGGTTTCTTCATGGGGACATTTCTTTATTATAAAGAGAGAATCACAGATTAAATCACGCCCTGCAGCCAAGGCGATGAATTTAAACCTCTTACTCAAGTTATTTTTGCTGGTTTATTTATAGTCGATCGCCCTTTGAGAGCTGACATAACACGGCGCTTTAATGCTGAGACCATTTTCCTTGTTAGCTGTGGATGGTGAGCGTGCCCGGCAGCAGCTCCTCGTCAGCACAATGCTTTTTATTCTCACACTAATGCCGCGCTGACAACAGGAGGATTTGGATGCTGCGGCTCTGACTCTGCAGGCCGGATGTTTACCCACAAAAATTGTCTCAGTGTGTGGTCGTAAATAAGAAGTCAGCCCTCACCACAAAATCTTGTGACATGAAAACACCCGATATCAACAGAAATCTATTACCATCAAAGCTTCCTGTTTCCTGTCAAAGCCTCAGACAACGAAGGAAATAAAAAACATAAGAAGTTTGTTTGTTAAACGGGACATGTTTTCATAAATACTCCATCAAAAGACTTTTCTGAAGACGAGCTGGCAGCTTGTGAGGATGTTCTGTCAGTGCAGTGACGCTAACGTTAGTGTGACACACCGAAATGTGTTGTCACATTTTGTTATTGTATTTGGTTATTTTGTATGAATATTATACAAATGTATCTGTGTTTTGGTTAAAGAAGTTATTTTGAAGCTGTTCCTGTATATGCCACAAGGGGGCAGCACCTCCCCTGCTGAGCGGGCTGTTTATTGTCTTTGCTCTGCTTCAGAGTGAACGACAAAAGAGTGAACTACAGTCGACACAGTGTGTTTTCTTTGTCTTTTACAGGTTAGTAATTGAAGTTTAAAACACAGAACTTTCACAATATGATGTAGATTTAATTCCACTTAAAGTTTTATTGGTTCTATAACACTTTGTTGGTCTTATGTTTGTAAAGAGAGTAAAAACGGTTTTGAGTGCTAGCATGCTAAGAAAAGTGCCTCGTGCGTGACCGTAACTTTCAGTTTCAATTCCCTTCTGATTTTCAGTTGGTTAAAAACGCTCATGATACTGTGTAAAATAAATAAATAGATCATTCATTCTGTTTATGTACAAAAGTAAGATTGTTGCATCAGTTAAATGTTATTTGTTTATCTGGTAGCTCTGTCAGTTAACATGGGTTTTTCCCATTGAAAAGAGGCAAAATGCTAGTTTAGGTAATTAAACATAATGAGCCTGTGTTTATATGGACGTTAATTTGAACAGTAAAATTAGATTTTGTATTTAGTGAATTAATCAGAGTGTCTGAAATGCACTTAGAGAAGTAACATATTTTGTATGTTTTGGTATTTAAACATTTGTTTAATAAAAGTCTGACAGAAGCGACAGAAGAGTGAACAACTACAGTCGACTCAGTGTGTTTTCTTTGTCTTTTACAGACATACTTTAAGCTGTAAGCAGGTTCCATCCCGTACCTGTTACATTAGCATGCTAAAAGACTCAGTATTTCATGTGCTAACAGTCTATGTATTGCAGGTATAGATCTAATTCATTACAAAGTGATGACATCAGAGAGTAAGACCAACACAAGCAAGGATCTAGAGAGGAGGAGACAACAACAACAGGAAGTGACCAGAGGCAGAGCACAACATCAACAGCTGTTCTTGAGCGTTCTAATCAGCATCTACACCATCCTAAATATCATCATCATCATTAAGGTCGTAGGTGTTCATAAAGAGCTGGGTCTTTAGCTTTTTCTTAAAGATGCAGAGGGACCCTGCAGATCGAATGGAGTTTGGTAGTTTTGTTCCACCACCGGGGGGGCGATAGAGGGGAAGGGTCTAGTTAGAGACTTGGGGGGGGAACGTGTTGTGAAGGTTGGATCAGACGCCTTATAAACTGAACGGGGAATAACACTGCGTGACAGTTTGCTCTTTCCTCGGATCGTCTCATTTGAATATCACATTCATCTGTAAACTTTGCGCCATCCTGTCCTCATAAGGTTCAACATCTGACGTCTGTGTGGAGCCGAGCGTTGCATTTTACATTTCCAACCTCCTGCATGTTAAAAACACGAGAGCGTTATGTAATTACTCCGCCTGAAACAACCTTAAAGTCCTCACACAAACCTCCATGTTTGTTTGTTTACCATCAGAGGGACGGAGAACAGCTCCTGTGTGTGTGTGTGTTTGTGCTTCTGTGTGTGTGAGTGTGTGTCAGAGGAGTTTAAGTTTATATGAAGGTTGGAGACATTAAAACCTTCATCCCTCCGCACTAATATGAAATATAAATAGAAACACAGCAGGAGAGGAAATGTCCCCGTGTCTTATTTCCTCTCCGGCTCTTTAAAGTGAAATCTGAAAACGGAAATTGGAAAATGCTTCGCCCGTCGCACACTGGCCATGACTCCACACAGATTCATCCTGGTAATCTGTCCCTGATAGATCAGCTTGTTTTCAGGCTGGAGGGACATTTATCGGAGTTAATCACTTCATCCATAAGTCATCACTTTGTTGTTCCTGCAGATCGATGTCGTTAGAAACAGGAAGAGAGAAAACGATCAGCGATAAAGTCTGACTGGCTGTGCAATCTTCAACACATATCATGTTTCCATCTTTATTTCCATCACATCAGTTTACAAAATACCTCAAGTCAAACATTCTGCTGAATGCTTGAGTGACCTTGCGCTTTCACACCGCAGGTCACACTCCGGTTAACTTTGCTCTGTTAGTACAAGAATTAAAAATTAAAGATGAAACTTTTTCAATAATACAAGCCTACATTAGTCGACGTCTAAGTGGTGAGGACTCCAAAAGATACTGAATTAAACACGACAATAAATGATGTTACCATACCGCACAAAAATGCTCAAATACAAATAAAAACATTCACTCCCAGTACAGATATGCGCTAATCAGTAGTGTTGTATTCAAGACCACACTAACTGAGACCCAAACATACCTGAGACCAGAGAGCTCCGAGACCAAGACAAGACCAAGACATTTAGGGATCAAGACCAAGACCAAGACCAAGACTCAGACCATAAATATACAAAATACAACACTACTAATCAGACCTATTTGTTTTTTTGAACCAGGCTGTAATCTCTGCTGTAAAAAACAGGCTTTTTAGAATGGTTGTGTATGTGACTTCCTGTTCTTCTGCAGCCAGCCTCTAGTGGACACTCCAAGAACTGCAGGATTTTACACTTCAGCATCGGCTTCATGTTTCAACACCGAAGTTGTCTCTTGTTGAACACCTACTCAGACGTGACTCATGACAGAAACTCCACTCGTAAACACATTTTTGATTTAACTTTTTGATTTGTGAACACATGAATCAGAGTCGTCCCTAAATACTGACGCTTTGGACAGAAAAGAGAAAAGCACCTTCAGACACAACAGCTGAGATAAAAACATGAAGGTGCACACAGGAGATAAATCATGAAGTGACATTAAAGCATGCTGCTGCTCTATGAAGGAAACTCTTATTCCCAGTGTCTGGATTAATGTCTCTGAACTTTATCGGTTTGCAGAGTGGCAGACTTCTCGCTCGCTGAAGTTTCCGTGTGAAGTTTGTTGTTTGTGGAGGATTTCAGAGCGACTCCCAGCAGCTGTGATCTCTCTGCAGTCTGCCACTGCTAACGCCTGTTTACATGCAGAAAGCTCGTATTCAGCTTCACGCTGCAGATCTGTGCACGCAGCAAGGATGCTAATGGTGAATCAGCAGGGACAGTCCCGACAGACAGACACCTGTCCCTGAGAATCAAGCATCAAACTCCCCATGGAGTAATCGCAAACATAAATACATGAGCTTCTTTTCCTCTGCGGTTGATTCACTGCTCCCTCGTTGTTTATCTCAACGTGAAGTTTATTTTTCATATCTTTCATGAGCAGACAGGTTTAGTGAAACTCTCTTCATGTGTTTCTGAGAGGAGCAGATATCCTGCCGAGTGAAGATGCACAGAGAAATACAGATAGCAGATGATATCAGATTTGTAAATCATTATTTATATGAGCAGGTTTTTTCTTTTTGACTTTATTGGATAGAACCGATAAAGAGAGACAGGAAGTGTTGGGGGAGGGGGGGCGACTTGCAGTAAGGTCAGATTCAAACCCACAGCCTCTGCGATGAGGACTACAGCCTCTGTACATGGTGCATCTGACACAACCACACTAGGCTATCAGCGCCCCTGTATGAGCTGAATAAATACAAGGAGGCTGGAGAAACTCCAGGTAAAGTGTGAGTGTAAAATGTGTCTGTTTGCATTCACACATGCTCTAACAGAGTATTCCTTGTTCTGGTTATTGGAACTCATGTAATTGTCTTGCTGCCTCCACACATTGAAAAATAACCAGTAAATATTACAAAAAAATAAAATGTTGACATACTACAGAGCCAGAGGGCGACATGGATATGCTTTCTACAGTTGCTTCTGTTTTATAAATTGCACGCACGTCTTTATTGAAAGAAATGAATTAAATATAGGCCATGTTCCCAGTGCGGCCACATTCAGGGTGTGAAGCCGAGATGTTGTTGTCGTGTCTGACTGTTACACTCAGCGATTAAATCACGTTAATCGTGTAATCAAATTGATTACGATAGCATTGTGTAAGTTCTATCTGAGGACATGTTGTTATGTTGCTTTCAAATGCAAAATATCACGTTGTGTGTTGTTACCCCAGGCAGAAGCTAACAAAACAAAGTTCTGGAGATGTCCATGTTGCTTGATCGACTTGTTGCCAACTATTTTAAAACTGAAAATGCATGAATGCAACCCTGTTCTTAATAATACGATTAAATAATTTATAAAAATCAGATTGTTTCTCTTTGTTTAAAATGTTCTGTTATAATAAAGTCCGAATCATTAAAAAATATGAAATAGCTTTAACTGATGAGTCATGCAGGAATTATGAGATCATTCGGGAGACCGTCTCGCTACGTCATGGCCGTGACGTAGCCGGGAGGCTGGAAGGGGGCGGGGCTGCTCTTTAAAAAGTCCCGCGCGGCAGCGGACGGAGCAGGAAAACCAGCCGGAGGAGACCGGAAACACCTCGAGGACCTGTTTTAGTGCTTTCTGGCATCATGTGGGCGCGAGCTGTAGTGTGCGCGGCGCTGCTGTCCGCGCTCTGCTCGGGGGGACGGACGGAAGCCGAGAGGGACGAGAGAGACGTCCAGGACTACCAGTACGCGAACTCCAACAGACTGGTGAGCGAAAGGGACACTGGGACAGATATATTATTATTATTATGAGTTCAGGTAGGACTTCGGGCATGTTTCTATAAACTGCTCCTGGATGTTTGAATTTCCTCAGGATCAATAAAGTATTTAAAAATCTTTAAATATGTAAATTAAATTATCTGGAGGTACTGGTGACCCAGCTGGAGTTTTCTTTCTCTGTGCAGAGTCTTCTACAGCAACATAGAATATAAATACTTAACTGTCATGATACAACTTAATAACTGAGTTAGAAATGCTTTACCTAGAGTGCACAAACACTCAGACATCAAGTTAGAGCAGAGAGATCATGTTTATCATATTGCACAGACAGAGAAATTATATTTCACACTGACAACATGAAGCCAACCCTCGAGTGATTTTGTTTCTGATTGCATCTGTATGAAATAACATTTTATTTTGAAAGGGTGGCAACAAGTTCTAAAAAATTAAATCATTTAGAGTTCATGAACGGCTGCATGATAAACTTTATTTATGAATGTGTGAGTTTCATTATTGAAGCAGTGATTTAAATAACTTGGCCAACACCCTCTTTAATAATTTCATCTTTAATGTCGTCAAGAACTTTTGTGATTCTAAGAAATTAGATCATTTATTAGTGAACTGGAAAATAAAAATACTGCACAGCAGCAAAAAATGATCAAACCAGCAACTTTATGGACAATCAATGTGGAACAGAATCAAAAGCCTTTATTGTCTCTTCAAGGTCTCATACATTCAGACAGACGATTTATGCTCAAGTCAACATTTAGGAAATCATTTACAGCGTATGATGTTTAATGCTCGTCTCCTCACACACTCCTGCACACGAGACGGAGAAAATTCAGAATAGGAGAGGAGGGATGATGCATGGACTGTGTGTGTGTGTGTGTGTGTGTGTGTGTGTGTGTGTGTGTGTGTGTGTGTCGAAATTTCAAAATAATAGAACTGCAATTAAATAGTTGTTAAAGGCACAGTATGTAAATTCCTTCACCAGGGGGCTCTCAATCAAGCAGGACAGGAGCCCAAGGTCAGGTTCGAACCAGGGCTGCTCGCCTGGAGGACTGTAGCCTCTGTACATGGGGGCACGAGAACAAAATACTAGGCAGTACAAAATAATTGTAATATGTGGAGAGGGTGAACCTCTTAGTGTGGGTATTTAAAATGTGTGTGTGTGTGTGTTGTGTGTGTGTGTGTGTGTGTGTGTGTGTGTGTGTGTGTGTGTGTGTGTGTGTGTTGTGTGTGTGTGTGTGTGTGTGTGTGTGTGTGTCCAGCTTGGTGCTCTGCATGAAGTCCTGGAGAAGCTGCAGACAAAGAGGATTAATCCCTGGGAGAAGAAGTACGGACAGGTCCCCTCTGTGAGTAAACAGCTCTGATCCATTTAGACTGTCAGTATGTTTACATGCAGAGTTCAGGGACGCTACGGTTACAGCTCGTTAGGTCGTTAATTAGCCGACTAGTTACTGGGGTCACCCGTCTGTTCCTGCAGGGGGCGCTGGAGTCCCATCGATGGCGGTCTCCATGCAGGAAATGCTGTCTCAGTCTAACTTTCAGTCAGAACAACAAACCAGAGGGAGTTTGACATCACTCTTTAGGAAGTCATTACTCACTGATTTATTAAAGTTATTAATGTCTCATATTAAACCTGTAAACATGTTTTTATTCACGGTTCTTTTTCCCACCCTCAGTGTGACCTCGGCGAGCACTGCGCCGTCAGAAAAGGATCTCGCATCGGGAAGATGTGCGACTGTCCACGAGGAGCTTTCTGCAACTTCTTCCTGCTGAAGTGCTTATGAGCCAATCAGATCAGAGTCTATATTTTAACATGTATATTTTACAGATTCATGTAGATATAAATAACCTACGATGATGTAAAGTGGCGTTTAGAGCGGAGGGAACCCTCCGTGAATTTTTGTCTTGTTACATTAAAGGTGTTTTATCTGACTCCTCCCCTCTTGTTCATTTGTTATTCATGATATTTTAAAGGTTAGCTTCTTGAATTTCAAAGTATTAATACTCAAATAAAGTGTAGATGTTGTAAATATTTTCACATTTGATGTTTCATGATTGGGCTGCATGAGTGCTGTCACAGCTCTGGTTTACTTCCTGCTTTCATCGACCAACCAGTGAAGACTCGCTGCAAGCAGCAGTGTGTTTAACATTAGACTCTAAGGAAGCCGCAGTGCGTCCAAATGTTAGTCCTTTGCACCTTTAATAAAGTTCCCTCAAGTGACTCGTGCTCCAGTATCGTCTTTTGTTCCCGTCTTGAAGGATCCACTGAATTAGTTTAGTCTGACCCTCAAGCGTTTAAACTTCTAACTTGTATGAATCTGCAGAACAGGCGTTTTATTTGTATGCCTTTAATTAGAGGTAACAGCTGATGAAAGTGAGAAACCAGAGAGCGGGAAAGCAGCCACAGGTCGGTTTTGAACCCAGGCCACCCGCCTGGAGGATCACAGCCTCCGTATGTGGGGCCATGGTTTATTCTTGAATATTAGGGGGTTAGGGGTTTTGGTTTGTTGGACATAAAGATACCCTGTCAGTGATTTATCAAGCAAGAGGAAGTCTCAGGAATCTGCTGCTTTGGCACCACCTTCAGGACAAACTGACCTTAGGGCGTCATGTTTCAGACAGAGCTCACAGCATGAACAGAATTAAAAATGGTTTCCTGATTATACACCAACACATGACAACTTCATGATAATGGAATAAATGAATAATAAAATAAAACCCTTTTACATTTACTTCTAGGTTTTTATTTGCACTTCCTGCGTCACACCACGACCAATGTCCAATAAGAACAGCAGACACCACCAGTGTCTTTAGGGTTAAATGAATCTACAAAAACAATCGACCAGCAGAGGTTTTTTTTGTCCCACAGGGTTTTTATTAGAAGACAGTTTACAGACATTTAGACTCCTCGGGGCTGCTTGAAGTTCATGCCGACGGTGGGCTGGGTCACCTGCAGGTTGGACAGACTGCCGAAGTCCTAAAGAAGAAGAAGAAGAGTGAGCGCTCTGCACCAAACTCAGAGTGAAAACAGCTGACTGTAGAGCGACTGTTTGAGAGCGCCAGGGTCTGACAGGAACAGGTCATCCTGCAAACACGGGAAAGGCTCGCAGTTTTGCTCTTCCTGTACTATCAATGACCTGACGACGAGGACGCCATGACCACTTTCGATACAGGACAGACGGGGAAACGGCTTCATGCCAAACACTTTAAAAATCTTACTGTTTTATTTAGCGTTACTAACAGTCACAGAAGGTTTCACAGGTCGACTACAAACCCTCCATCAGTATTTAAACTCCTTTTCTAAACACTGTGTCGATTCTCCTAACTGAAATGGAATCCAGCCATTTTAAACACCATCTTGTTTTAACTCCTCAGAAGTTTAAACAAGAGGTCATTGCACGCAATGTCAACAGGTACATGACAATGTTATCAGCGCACAGCCCGGGTTCAGAGACTCACCAGCAACTTCAGCATCTCCTTGGTGTCGGGATCAACTTCAATCAGCTCCTGGTCCAGAGCGGAAACCTGCAAAGGAACGCACATGAAAGAGTTAATTAACCATTTCCTCGTCAACAACTTTCCTCCTTACACCTCTACAAGTGAGCACTTATTAGATCAGGGACATTCACATGTTTATGCACCATGTGTTTTAAGAACATGAGGCTGAAAAAGCAGTGAGAGTTTGAGGAATCATTCATTATAGTTTGTGTCCAGCAGAGGGCGCTTTCACCCAAAATCCACATTAATGATGTAGAAATATAAAGTTGGTATTTGATCTCTAAATCCCCAAACCGGTTTGAAGTTTGACTTTGAAACGAGGCGACAGAAGCAGAATCTGCAGTGAGCTTATAAATCAGTGACATCACTTCTGCATCATCACGTCTGGATGAAAGTTTGTCTGAGAGCGCCAGGGTCTGACAGGAACGGGTCATCCTGCAAACACGGGAAAGGCTCGCAGGTTTGCTCTTCCTGTACTATCAATGACCTGACGACGAGGACGCCATGACCACTTTCGATACAGGACTCAGATACACACAATAATCACACACAGCATGTTATTAGTTAAACTAAGTCTTTTTTCTTTCCTCCAGACGGATCATGACATTAAAACGATGTCACAGTAACCCTTATTCAGGGCGCCGCTTTCAAGCTATAGTATTTACCCCCGTGATGTTTCTCCTTCAATCTGAATGTGGCTAAGGCGTAATGGGGGAGACAGGATCAGCAGAGCCAGCAGGGGAGAACAGCGCTGAGTGTGTGGAGCTCCATCTGTGCCGACCTCAAAGACTTGAACGCCAATATTACGTCATCACAGAATCAATATGAACGTACAGAGACGTGATGACAGCTGAGCTTAGTTAGGTCACTTCAGTCTGAAAAGGTGTGTGTGTTGCTTAATGACTCTTCAGGTGAGAGAAACTCTACATGTACGAGCGTGCGCCACACACACACACTTCAGCGCTCTGACCAGCAGTGTGTTCACCTTACGCCTTTAAAGTGACCTTCAGGACTCTGACAACAAGCAGCCTGCACAACTTCCTGTGTTGTGTTTATAATGTGCAGAGTGTTACTATGACTACTCTTTCTGCAAAACGGTGCTCTGTCACACAACAAAGAACATGTCAAAGTTTATTTTGCTGCGTTTCATTTCACTTCGGTTTTAAAACATTTGTTTTTACAAACATAAATACTTTTGGATTACTTTTAGCTTACTTCAAAAACGTCTAGCTGAGCGTGTTTATCTGGAAAACTAAATAATGTGCTTTAGAGAACGATCTAATTACTGTCAGAGAAAAAGTTATGCAAGTACACAAAACACAAATGTGGTAAATTTTGTCCTGCAACCTATTGGTGCCAACACATTGATGGACTAAATGGTAGGCTGCTGGCATGTACAACAGAAGAGGTCCACCACTTGTGGAATGTTTTTAATTCTGCCAAATGTGCTCTCCTTCATTCATTTTGCCACTTGTTAAACTCTAAGGGCCAGATTTACAAAGCTCCCAAGTAAAGAGTACTAAATTGCATGTTTACTCCAAAAGTTTGCACGTTTGGTTGGTGGGCGTTTTGCGGGTGATCTACTAAGAACATTTAAGCGAATGACACCAGGTGCAAACCTTGTGGAGGCGGTACTATTTAAGTTATGTTGTTGTGTGTTTTACATCACGGAGAGTTTGGACAGAAAGCAGGATGACTGCAAGCGCAAAATAGGTATTAGTTGTAAAGGTAAATAAACACAATACTTTCGAGTTATAGGAGATAAATCTCAATATTACAAAAAATTATCTACACTCGCCGTTGTTGCGCACCAGACAGCTGGCCAGCGCTGTGTCTGATCGGACATAAATGCCCTGGAAAAAGGTATTGAAGACGGGGGTACAAACAGTGGTGAGGTACCCCAATCCAAGCGCCCTACAGAGTAGCAGCAGCGGGCTTTAGAGGGAGGTGACGAGCGTATTATGGAGAGGAACATACCATAGGGGGCGAGCTGGGGGAGAGACGCACGACCCGAGAAAAAGGAAATCCCCAGTTTAAAATATAATGTTGGCGAAAAGAGGGAAATAGGAAGAAATAAATGTCAATGTTGAAATTCTATACAATTCAGAGGCTGTGGATGTTCAGTTTTCTTTGGATATGGCAACAATAGCCTGTAGTTTAATCATGGTGTTTCTCTTAATGATTAGAATATTTAATCAAATTAAAAAATGAATGCATGCCATTTATTTTTCTGTCATTTGAAAGATGTAAACACTGATGTTGCAGCCTTCTTGATCAGGTTTGTAGGTAAAATGTTCTCTGAATTTCCATGCCAATAATGCATTTTGGTCGTTTTTCTCATCCTCTGCCATTGTCATTCGGTTGTGGGGAAAGTGCGCTCGCCATTGACTTGCAGCGTACGTAATGCAACCTGCTTCTGCATCCACACAGTGCAACCTGCGTGTAGTGCCGTCAAGTAATCCCTGCAAGTAATCCTTTTTTGAGAAAGTGACTGTATTCAGAATACACCAATTGAAACTGTAACTATAAGGGAATACAGTTACTCTTATTTTGTATTTTAAATACATAACGCTGTTACATGTAATCCGTTACTTCCCAACCCTGCCGGCCTGAGTCTGTCCCTTTAAGCAGGTGGCTTATGGATAATGTATGCCATTAGAAGTTGGGGTTCATGCTCCTGCTACAGTATGAGAGTGGACAGGTCTACAGCGTGGAGCAGCAGATGAAAAGGTCACATGGGTTAACACAGAGCAGCAGTGTGGTGGTGCGTTCACTGACCTCTGGAACGTAGTTATCCCTCCTCTCTCTCTCCTCCTCCTGCAGTTTGATGGAGATTCCTCTGACGGGACCCCTCTGGATCCTCTTCATCAGATGTGTCACATACCTGCAGGGATGTAAAGCAACGTCAGCGACAAACAAACGCACTCGCAGCACGCATCAGCGATAAACACGGTGACCCGATTCATCCGCCCCGACACAAGGACCTAGAAGAGACGACTCACGCACGGAGTGAATTCACCTCCTGGACTAAACCAGCCTGTAAATAAAGTTTGACTGAACTTTGTAAGCGGTCTGGTTTGTTTCAGTTCAGTAAACTCTGATCCTGATTGTGTTTCCACAGCGAACCACCACTTACTTGGGTAGGCGGTGTGCAAGCCACATGGCGATGGCAGCGTCAGCTACGTAATATTGTGACATCAGAGCAGACCGCCAATAAATTAAACGAACAAGAAAGCAACACAAGCCCTGTCAAGACCGCTGTTTCAAGCAGTGATATTTACGCCATGTGACGTTTAGCCTTCTGTCTGAATGTTGTGGAAGCGTAAAAAGGGGGGACGAAGTGACCAGTCAGCAGTCTGAAAAGTGGGCGTGTAAACAGAGGACAAAAATGGAGGAAGTTTAGCTTTTACTTCTAGGAAAAGAAGGCGACGAAGTTAATGAGAGAAGAACTCCTCAGGATACTTAAACAGAAGCTGTTTTGTGTTAGCCTGCGTTCATGTGGTTTCGGACACATACTTTTCCGAGGTTTGAAAATGAACGCCTCAAGTCGGAACAGTCTGGAAAGAATTAAATTTGGCGTCATAATCGTCATCAACAAGATGTTTACTTAACATTAAGACACTTTTTATTAAGTAACGCACATCATCGTTTAGCTCAGATAAAACACTACTGCACTGTTTATGGTGTTACAAGATTCAGACTCTTCAAACTGAAATCACGTGAACACACTGAAGTCTGAAAAACAACTTCCCCACTCAGAAAATGGAACATCCCAGGAGCACCTGAACACAGCATTTATTCTTATTTACCACAGTCCTACAGAAAGTGACAATTCTTTGGACAAATCAGCGGACTGCAGCGTGTCGACCTCCACCCCTCAGGGTCGGATCGGTGCGCTTAGCACCTCAACAGAATGGCAGCAATAAAGTAGGACGGTACGGCTCGATTACTTGGGTTTCATTTCTAACGTTTGACGGTGGAAACGCCAATTAAGTGTACCGAACCAAACCAGGACCGCTTGGTGGAAACAGGACTTCAGCTGAGAACAAATCTTTTTAAACACGTTGAGAGTTTAAAGAACACATTTCTTTTTAATAGCTGGAGAATGACGCCCAATCTTTGTAAAAACAAACAAATAAATCATGAAGATCACAGAGTCTGTGAAATGAACTTTATGGGTCTCAGGCGGACTCAGCGGTCCGGTTCTGGTTCACCATCAGGTTTAGAAAACATTAACTGTGGATGTCTGAGAGCGCCAGGGTCTGACAGGAACGGGTCATCCTGCAAACACGGGAAAGGCTCGCAGTTTTGCTTTTCCTGTACTATCAATGACCTGACGACGAGGACGCCATGACCACTTTCGATACAGGACGCTGGATGCCAATCAGCAGGACTGTGAACTCACCCGGCGATCTTGTTGCGGAGCTTCTTGCTGGGGATGATGGCGATCTCCTCGCACACCCTCTTGTTGGTGTGGAAGTCGCTGCCCAGCCGGGTGTAGTATTTCTCGATGATGACCCTGGCGGCCTTTTTCACCGTCTTGGTCCTGACGCGTCCCTGAGAGCAAATCACACGACATCATCATACTTCAAAACAGGAAGCAATATACTCACAAATTAACCCTTTAAAACTTTGCGTTAATATTCAACCTACATTCAATCAGTGCGGCCTGTGAACTTTAGAGGATCAACACCGAAAGCCCAGAAAGATTTTAACATTACGAGTCTCCTGGACCATTAGTAGAGATCGGACGTTTATTAAAAACTCTAAGCAACTTGAACTGCCAAAGCAGAAAACGCGTCGGTCTCACACCTTGACTTCAGGTAAGGTCAAGACGGGATCAGCGTGCAGATACTGTTTTCTATACTTGACCCCAGTTTGATTTTCCATCTGGCACCTGACACTTTATCTTTAGACACATGACAAGACAACTCCCCATTTCGATCCCTGATCTGCCGCTTTGCATCATGGGAAACAGTACATGAGGGAGACTGGTCTGATGCATAATGTAGATCTTTACATGAATCAGTAAGACATCCCGTACAAACTGTGGAGCGTATTATATTAAAGGTTAAGACACCTTCAATACCTTTTCAATCTTTTGATACCTAGCGCTTTGAAACTATACAATCAAAGCACCAAATATTAGAACATGTGTCAGCTATTTAGTGGCATTTTAACCAAAGGCTGCAGCATGAGAAATATTGAACATGTTGTCTAAATTGCAGTAATATGTGTCTAATAATTTACTGCAATTTGGACAGTGTGCAGGAGATTGCCTGACATTTCTGGCGATTAAAAAACAGAAATGTCACACTCACTGAGGCTTCTCTTTTAGATGCTATGGTATTAAGACGAGTATGAAAATAGTTTGATTTACACTGTAAGCGTATCGAAGTGTAACAACGTGACAAAGCTTCAGGAGCAGCATTACAGGCTGCCTTCACTGAACAGATGCTAACTACCGGGTTAGCCTTCAGAGCTAACTACCAAACCCGTGTAATGTATGAAAAATCACCGCGTAAACTGTCCGTTAACACCCGCCCGGAACAGAGGAGTTATTCTGCCGTTCACGTTAAATTAAACAGTTAAAATATGAATGGTAACGGCGGCCCATTCAGCCTCGGTGCAGCTTCATCCATTAGCATCACGTCTCCGTTACAATACCACAAATAAACCACTTCATCTGCGACATCTAACATCGATATTATCGTCTGACGGTGTGTTTAACTGTCCGGTTTCCGTGGATGAAGCGACCGACGGATAAAAGATGTTTAAACGGCAGGATTGGTTCAGATTGTTCGGGTAGATGAGTGAAAATTACCCACCATGTTGGATCGGCCTGGTAGAAGAGGACGGACGGAGCTCCGGGGGAAGTTTAAAGACACGGGCGGAAGTCGAGATCAGGGATGCTACTGCGGCTGCGCCCTCTGTCGGCGGGCGGAGGGAACTACAACAACAAAAACAACACCGACAACCACAAGCACGACTTTTCATACTTCTAGAATTTATTACAACTAATTATAAAAATAATAACATTACAAATCACACCACTAATCAGCATTATTATTATCTTAAAGTGTTTTAATTGATTTATATTGTCTTTGATTAAATGTGTTGTTGTATTGTTTGTTTTAAGGTGATTTCGATGGAGTCTGAAATGAGAGAAACCATCATGTGGTTTTTCGAGAATAAATGAAGGTTTGAATTCAATTAAACAATGCATAATTAAAATTATATATGACGGAGTATTAGGGCCACGGTTAAGAAAGAAAAAAGCTAAATTCACAAGATTAAATCGATTTAAATTAGGCTTTATTATTGTTATTATTCTGCCAAAAGCTCTTCTTCAAAATGATGAAAGAACCCTTAAAGCCACAAAAGACACAGTTTCCTCCCAGTCAGTGTGGTTCCTTCTTCCTTGCCCCAGTTTCTTGTAGTGATACTCATGACAATGTGATGCTGATGTGTCCTTGTCGTGGTTGTTGTTAGTGAAACGTGTTATTTGGTCATGAGACGTATAAATAAAATAAATCAGATTTTAAACATTTATTGTAGCTTTATTGCTGAAACACATCGTCAGTGATTTCTGTCTTTAAACAGGAAACGTCCAAGTGTTCAGAGGAATAACAGACTTCAGCATGAGATCGTTTAAAAAAAGGAATCAGAAAACATGAAAAAGGAAACATTCAAACATGAACAGTCGTTACAGCACAGCGAGTCTGTTCCTCCCAGTTTTCGGTGGATTTTGAGGGAAATCCCATAATCCCCCTTTAAAGCTGATTATGACACAGAACGCAGAGTTCCTCTGAAAGCTCGACCAGCAGAAGGTTTTTGGTCGACGCTGACACAAAAAAAAACAGAGATTAAAGATTTGATCAAAAACATCAAAATAAAAACAGAAACTAAAGATCATGCTGCACAGCTGCATGTGATTGTAAAAGTTCAGACTCGTTCTGACAGAGCATAAAAAAACTCTCTGTTAGTGTGTTCACACTCGCAGAAAACTCCTGAAGTTTATCATGCTGAGCATCATATGTGAACACAAACAGCTGAATGTTTCTCTCTTCACTCCTCCAGCCTCCTATTTATTCTGCAGAAAGTCAGAGTGAGCTGATGTGAGAACGCAGCAGGATATAATCAGGAGAATTCACCTGGAGTGAGTGGGAGGGGGTGGTGACGTTTATTCCCTGCACGACCATAGACTGTCTGCACGCCACCTTTACCATCTCTGTGCTGTAATGAACCTGCTGCATTATGTTTCCTGTCCTCCAGTATGTTCTTCTCCACTCTTTAGTTCAGATTGAGATTCTGTTCAACAACACGTAGCATTGATATAAAGACAAATATTCTCATTATAGCATCTTATAGAGGACTCTGATGCTTCATCTGGCACTTCTGCGTCTTTTTAAATGTTTTCTTACCTCAGGAGACTCCGCCACCTGTCTGTCAGGTATAGTCTCCCGCTGTGAGGTGCATGTGTGAACAACCAGGTCAGGAGGATTTCTGGAGCAATCCTCCTGACGTAATCTAGATATTTCCAAGAGTGCAGATGTGAAAACGTCTTGTGTCTCTACATGAAATAATTTAAAACTTGCATATGATTCTAGTAAACATCAAACTGTATTGATATACCTGTTTGTTACCACGGCAACAACATTAGAAGTCCTCGACACCGGACTCAAATGGACAAGGTTCTTAAGACCAGAGGCTGAAACCTCAGCACGTCTGTGAGCATCGACTGTGTTTCCTCTTCTAATCCTCACCTTACTCTCTTATTCATACTGAGTTCATAATGTCTGTATTTGTTTAGTTTCACTGTTTATTCATTTATTAAAGTCTAATGCTTCTGTTTTAATCCAAAAAGCTGAGCAGGGTCAGGGGTCGTAAATCAGCTAGAAACCTGAATGCATGACATCATGGAGTTTGTATTTTACATAAGAAGAAACCTTGTGTCATGTTTCGTCTGATAAATAATCTAATTAAAAAATATCAGGAGAGCCGGGGGGCGTAGACTGATTAAAGAATGAGCCCAACGCTGATTTCTAGGGTCATAATGAACTCGAGAAAAACAACGTTATGTTATTCCTAAAGATGACCTCATTATCTGAAGAAATGCACTTTTTGGTCGCAGGAGAAATCCCCGTAAAAATGATCCATTATAGCTTTAAAAATAATAAGAAGAAGAAGAAGAAGAAAAAGAAAGAAGCTGTGAGCTTGAGGTAAAGATTGATAAAAAAAACCAACATGGCTGCTCGAGGCTGCCGTAGATATTATCGCTGCATGCAGAGTTACGTCCTGTTGACACACGAGAGCAGGTCGATGATCTCGTCAGAGTGTAATGCAGCTCGTTAGACGAGATATCAAAAACGTTTAACTCCTGATTTAAATTATTCTCACTTAAAAATCATCTTCAATCACGATGCTCTCGTCTTCAATAAATCCTCGTCTCCTCTCTCGTGTTCACATGTTGATTTTTTTTTTAAGGTAACAAAGCTCACTAACCACAAATTTAACAGCTGACGTCAGGATGAGTGTACATTCGTGTGTGTACATTTATGTGTGTACATTAGTGTGTGTGTGTGTGTGTGTGTGTGTGTGTGTGTGTGTGAAGTAGAGATGTGCAGCGGGGTGAGGGGAGCAGGTCTGTGCAGAGAGAGGGAGGGTCCAAAGTCTTAAAGGGGAACACACTGCTCTATAAAAATGTCCCGTCACTGGCCAAGCCCTCGTTAGCGGCGGCTGGTGATTGGGTGATGAGATCAGAAAGTAAAGTGCTCTTCAGTAGAAGCTATGGCCTTCCTTTCCTGTGGAACGTTACGCGGCGGTCGCTCGCTTACATGTGAGTGAAAAGTGCAAATAAGGAGCCGAGGAGTTGCATATCGTCCTGCTCTGTGTGTGTGTGTGTGTGTGTGTGTGTGTGTGTGTGTGTGTGTGTGTGTTGTCATGGTAACGGTAGAGGCACCAGCACGTCCACGTAGCTGACGGGGAACAGCCCCGACTTGCTGCCGAGCGCACCCTCGTACCAGTTGGCGTCGACGCGGTTAGTGAGGATGATGATGTCGCCCTCATTGAAGTCCAGCTCGCCCTCCTGGTTCGGGTGGAACGAGTACATCGCCCGGCAACAGGGCTGATCCAGGACCGTCCTACTGTCAGCTGGGCGGAAGAGAGACACCGACAGAGAGAGAGAGAGAGAGAGAGAGAGATAGAGAGAGATAATAAGCAGAGTAAAAATCAAGTATTCTTAAACCTTAAAAGGAACATGATCAAATAATCTGAACAGGAGACAGTTCTCTTCATCAGAGGTGTTAACCCTGAACTTCCACCAGGTACGTGTGGTGTTTGGTGTCTGCTCCGCTCCGGTACGGCTTCATGCTCCCTCGTCCGTCAACACCCACAGCCTGCGTTCTCAGAGCGCAGCACGGAGCAGCACCGCTGGACAGCTGGAGTCACGAGAAACACCTCAGATAAACTACAGATGATGTCAGAGCGTTCTCACCGTAGCAGGAGATGGGGCTTCCCGGTCTGGACGGTAACTCTGTGAACTCCTCTGCTGAGGAAACTGGGGAGGGGAGCGACGGCTGTTGGTAGAACCCGAGGCCGAGGCCGCCGTTGTGTTCACTTCTGATCCGGATCTTTTTGGGTCTGAACCTTCGCTCGGGTCTGTTCGAGGCCGCCGTCAACCTGCGTTCAACACAAAGACGACGTTTAGACTTTCCAGCTTTAAAAACCTGCAGACAGACGAGCCACTCATCACTAACACCAGCTCTCTTCTTAAAGCGTGTCAGGACGCTACAATGACCACGTCAGGTCACAACCCAAAGGATGGACACATTCAGACGATGACCAGATGAGGGCGCTAGAGGAGAAGAGGATCACCACAGTTCCTCTGATTCACCCTGACAGGATCAACATTTGAACATTATTTCATCACAGTTTGTGCAGCAGTGATTTGAGACTGGGTGAAACAGGAAGTAAAGACAGCAACCTAACCCTCAAATGATGAAGACGAGTTTTGCAAATAATCCAACGTTAAATTAAAATATTCACTCTTTTTAGAAAATGCTCCATGGACGACCTTTGTCCTCCTCTGTCAGAACACGAGCTCCTTTCAGCCCCTCAGAGACCACACTTTGAACCCATCCTGACAAAGATACAACTTTACAGCGGTGCCGAGTTAATGATACTGCGACAGGTGTTGAACACGGGCTCACCTCGCCTGCAGGTTGCCGTGGAGACTGAGCATGATACGTTGGGCGTTACGGTGAAAGTCCAACAGTTCAGAGACCAGAGCGGCCAGAGGACGGAGCTGATCCACCTGCAGGAGGAAGAAACCAGAACAGTCCCCTTCAAGTTAGAAATGAATCCTGAACCCTCAGAAGAGTTAAAGATCAAATCTGCAGATGTCGTCCCTCTCTAGCACGACGATTGATTCTATTTATAACGTCAAACAATCAAAACAGAAAGACGTGAGCTGTTGGCTGCACGATGGATGAAGTGACCTTGAACCCAACCAAAACCCAAAACGTTCAAATCCCCGCTATGTGTCACATTATGTCCCCTTAAACATTCTGTGAGTGTTGACGGCATTGGAAGATCAAATGTGGTTCACACTGACGTCGCTCTGCAGCAGGACGAACATGCTCCTCTCTGCCTGCTCTTTAGACGAGCTGAACTTGTCCCAGGCCTGTCGCACTTCCTCCGCCGGGACTTTCCCCCTCCGTCTCCTCTTGTAGTCGAAATCGAGCCGGCGACCGTTCAGCTTCTTCAGATGGAACTGAGTGACCAATCAGAACAAAGAGATAGTTATTTTAACGGACGGTTTCATTTATACAGCAGCAGAGAGATTATTAAGGGTCACATATTATTCTAAATCCACTTCACCATGTTTCTCTAATATGTGTCTCTAGTCGGTCTACAAACCCCCCAATGATGAGAAAAGTCCATCCTCTCTATCTTTTTCCTGCTCCACTTTTCAGAAAATGTGTGCTCAAACAGGCCGTTTGGAGATTTTCCCTTCATGACATCACAAAGGGCAGTAACCCCTCCCCAGGTGGGTGACACTCCCACAGCTAGGTGTTTGTTCTGCCCCCTGAGTCTGCCTTCTCACCATAAACAATAGGACATGGAGCGAGAAAGCCTGAGACACCCAAACCCTTCCAGAGAGGGGGCGTGGTCAGACACAGCTCATTTACATTTAAAGGTACAGACACAGAAACAGCCTGTTCTGAGCAGGGCTGAAATAGAGGGGTTTATAGGCATGATCAAATACAGGATCAGAGTGGATTCAGAACAAGAAACTTCACACACATGTTTTGAGGAGCTCTGAGACTTATTTACACTGGTTGAAGAGGAGGAGAATATGTGACCTTTGAGACGATTGGATATCGTGATTCAGTTTGTGTATTTAATAAGCGTTAAAGTTAAAGTTTCCGTCTCACCCTGATCTCTTTCAGCTCGGTGTCCTGGAGATCCTGCAGCGGGTCGATGAAGCTGTGTTTGACGTTGACGTCCAGGGCGTCCCGGGCCTGAGCCACCTGTTGCAGAGATTCACCCACACCGGAGAGAGCGCCACCTGCAGGGGAGGAGGATTAAGTAGTGTTGTTACGATACCAGAGTAGAAGTCCTAATACCGTTCCTCTATTGACACGCCACTCTCGTCGTACCGAATTCAGACGCCGCTCCGAGCTCGCATCCATATTGACACATACAATCTCCCAGCATGCCCTCTGTCTGCGGGTAACCCACCGACCTTCCCTGTCCTCGGATCCTGGACATGGTGTTGAGCATGCTCAGTTTGGCTCTGTACGCTGTGGAAGCACAAAGACACACATTCAGTTCAGAGCAGTTAAAGTTTGAGCGCTGATGGTCGTAAAGGGATAGAAATGTTTGTGTTGATATTCTGAGTTCAGTGAAAGCGTTGTCGTGTTGCGTTTGATGCCGTGGTATTTCTCAGTACCTGGGTTTGGTTGGAGGACCTCGGTGGTTCTGGAGATCAGCTCGAGCAGCAGAGAGTTGATCACTAAAACACTCTAAACACAAAGGACACAGGAAACTGATATGTACATATTTACATTTAACCACCTATAGAGGGGGGTAGTGAGCAGGGACACAACCGCGGTTTTTACCTTCTCCATCTTCAGGAAGTCCTCGTCCATCTTCGTTCCTTCAGCTCCCATCAGCCTCTCATTCAGCAGCTACAGGAGAACACGAGGACGCACATTCACAGAGATCAAAGTCACAAGAAGGAAATCAAATATTAACAAAAAAAAAATATATATATGATCAGATATTATCAAAAAGAATAAAATATAACCAAATATTAAAATAGCAGTTTAGAGGGAGAAGAGGTCAGAAAATACAAGTTATAACATTTTAAGATTTAGTCGAGATGAAAAGTGTGTAATATAAGATATAAGATTATTATTTGTATTTCAGAAAATGTTTTTGTTTTTCATGAAATATATTTGAGTTTCACTTTTTTTTTTCATCTAATGAAAAGTTTTTTTTAAAGATTTTTCGAGAATTTTTTCTGTGTTTTTCACGAATGGTTTCAGGGTTTCTCAAAATGTTTTAGCTTTTCCTGAATTTTTTCGGGGTTTTCATGAAATGTTTTGGTGTTTTGTGAAATGTGTCTTGTGGTTGACCTTCAGGACCACTACACTCAGGAGATTACTAAAAGATTTGAGTATTTGTGCTCCAGTTGTTGTTTTTGCCTGAACTGTGTGTAAGTTGTAGTTTTTGTAATAAAGGAAACAGAAAACATCAGTTACAGTAAAAATATCTTCAGTAGAAAACTATTTCTTAAAGTAGACTTTCTGTAACAGAGGTCGAAGTGATTGTAGTTATCAGATATGAGAGCACAGAACAACAAACATCTTTGTGCTAACATCAGATAGTCTTCACAGGTAAATACAGGTCTGCACATCAAATGAAATCAGTTAAAATGTCTTACAGACTGTTTTTATCAAAGTGTTTTAAATCTGATAGATCATATCGATCTGTTTGAATTATCGTGATGTGTACAGCAGGCCTTGTGTCGCAGTAAACACACAGAGGACACACTGAGCTGAATATTCAGCCGACATTAATCCTCCTGCACGTTTCATAAAACACGGACCCGATTTAACCCGGCTCTACTCGGCTCGGCACGGTTCGTCCCCTTTACCTGGCTGGCTTTGTGAAGCTGCTTCTTCATCCCGGAGACGGACATCTTTACCGGAGGTCCGGACAAACAAACACCTGCCGGCCGGTGATCAGAGGAAGTGCCGCCGGGTAGCGACAGATCCATCCCGCCTGAGAAAGCTCCGTCCCCCCGCAGAGAACAGCCAGCCGCTCCGCCCCTCCGGCTGCTGCTCCGGAGCTCCGTTAACCCTCATTTTAACAACATATCACGATTTAATGTGTTAATTATTTACTGTGTTCTCATGGCGATATAAAATTACTAGATCATCTTTAAATACTTTTTTTTGTATCATTTTTTTTAAATATGTTTTTTCGCACGAGAAAATATTATTATTGGGTTTTTTTTAATAATAAAATGCATAGTCATGGAAGTTTAAAAAAAAAAGCATTTTAACCTAAATAATAAAATCATACATTGGTATTTAGCCATTATTCCAACTTTATGTCAGTAAGCAAATACATTTTTTTGTTATGATAATTTTTTGTCATAAATTGATGAACTGAACGTTTGATTTTACTTTATCATTATAGTTTAACTTATTATATGTCAAATAAGTTAATGTTAAAGTTAATGTTTTATCAGATTTAGCGTTTTTTGACGATATTTCAAGGTTGCACTTCATTTCCCATGAGCAGTAGCGCCATCAAGCTGTCATGTGACTACAACTTAACGTCACATGTCAACATGGCTGCCGCTGTCTCCAGCGAACATTTCGACAACTTACAGCTTCTCCTTAAGGTATTGATAATTAATACATTGATACATTTTCACTTTAAACTGAGTTTGTCGTTTTTCTTTTTGTAGTTTTATTAATTCTGCTGAATTTGACGTCAGAGCTGAACAAACATTAGCCTGTTAGCATCTCTTCAGTGTATGAAACATAAACACAGTTAAAGACAGCTTCATGGCTTACTATCAGATATAATTAGATTAATATCATTGCTGCAAGAATTAATTTAACTATTGTATGTATTTAAAGATGAGTTTTATATTTTAACATGTTTTCTATACTGTTTATTTTATTTTAAAGTTGTGTCACTATATGTGTCTTTTCATGAGCTACGAACAACACACCTGTTTGAATCATCAAATTCTGGCTACTGATCCCAGTACCACGGCATGTCTTGCTGCGCTGATAATGTTGTTGTTGTTGTTGTTGTTTACTCTGAGTTGTTGTTGTCTCCTGAGGCTCCCTCTAAAGATGCGGTGAGAGACGTTTGTGTTCAGAGTCACAGAAGACCGAGTCGTCGGCTGACAGAGACCACAGCAGCCACACTCAGCATCCCTGCAGCCCAGGCTGCTCAGGTAACACACACACACACACACACACACACACACACACACACACACACACACACACACACACACACACACACACACACACACACACACACACACACACACACACACACACACACACACACACACACACACACACAAATCATCTGTATGCTGCACCGATTTCACATGTCTGAACAAACATCCAGGTGTGTGTGTGTTTGCTCATCAGCTGGTCCAGTCGCTCCACGTTCTGTCTCATCACGTCCTCTTCTACAACCTGAGCTCTCCAGAGCAGATCCTCGCTCTCTTCCCTGAATCGTTCCACTCCAGTCTGAAGAACCTGATCACCAAGGTCCTGCTGGAGAACAGGTCAGAACCCGTCTCTGCTGAGGCCGTCAAAAACCACCGTATACTTCAGTACTTTACGATACCAAACGTTACAACCTCTGTGATTATAATGATCGTTAGTATCAGAAACTACAGAGGTGGGATTACTCCCCCCCCCCCCATTACGTCTCTGTGACAGTCACAGCTGAGGAATGAGGTCACAGAGACATAAATATGGCACCTTGAAACGGGCAGATGGCAAATGGGCATCTATTTTTGTTGCCATGGTATCAGTCAGGGACAGTCCTAGTCTCTGCTAACGACACAATTATTTCCATCATTAATGACTTCATCCATTTTATTTTGACGAGACTTTTCAGGTGTGTAAAATAAAGCTGTACAGATAAGTGTTCTTCCTGTTGGTTGGCTGAGTGTGATCACTGCAGCCTGTTAAGACATCACGTGTGTCTGTCTGATGTGTTTCAGTGCGACGTGGAAAACAGAAGCTCTCGGTCATCAGAGTGAGTCAAGTTCAGATCCACATCTTTAACTCATAATGTGCTGCTGTGTGTGTGTAAGGCTCTAACCTGTGTGTGTGTGTGTGTGTGCGTGTGCGTGTGCGTGTAGTCTCTCTCCCCCAGCTGAAGGACTTGGACTGGAGAGTCGACATGGTGACCGCCTCGGACTCGGTCAGCCGCATGTCCGTCCCGACCTGCCTCGTTCAGCTCGAGGTGAGAACCAACCTGAAGGCAGACTCGATACGATTCGATTACCACGGCAACAATGCACCCAATGTTGGAAAAGTTATTGTTTTTAATTACCAAACTCCTGCAAAGTGTTTTGATAAACATTTCCATTGGTGGTATTTTGTAGATCGTGCTCTCGATGATGTCACTGGTTGTAATTCTTGATTTCAGATTGACGATCCGTCAGCAGGCGGCGACTCTGTCTCCGCGGTGACGGTGGAGCTGAGCCGAGAGTCTCTGGACACCATACTGGACGGACTGGGACGAATCAGAGACCAGCTGTCTGTGGTCGCTGGGAAATGAGTGCAGCTGATTGGCTCGCTTGTTTTGTGACATCACAGCTCTGTCAGTGGACATTTTTCTTGCAGACTGTAGCGGCTGTGCTCACGCTCATCATCATGTTTGTCATTTCATCGTTATGCCACAGAAAGTTGATCTATTGTTTGTTTTTGTTATTAACTCTTGTCTCATTACGTCAACAAGAACTTCATATTAAATAAATACAAAGGAAAACATTCAGTAGTTTCTGTTTCAGTCAGTAAAAACAAAATGATTGACATCTAAAAGTTAAAGACAGAGTCAGCAGCTTTCTCCTTCAAAATAAAACACAGACTTAAAGTGAAGCTGCTCCATCGTCCCTTCTGGGCCTCCATACATGTGTGGTGGTGACTGTGTCTGCAGAGACTTTGTCCTCTGACTGGGTTTTACTGTTCTGGTTTGTTCTGGTTGACTCGGGACGTTTCTGGGCGGAGCTGGTGTGTTTCCTCCAGCCAATGACAGCGCAGCAGGTGAGTTTAGGAATGGATACAATTCAGTGATTGGACACGATTCAAACCGGTGAATATGACGAATGTGGACGTAGCAGCAAAGAAGATAAAATATAATCATAAGCTGTTTTCACACGTGCTCCCCTGTCTGGAGAGTTTGAAGAGGGTCGATTTGTTTTCAGGACGAAGCCTGAGTGTCGTCACCCGTCTGTTCCTGCAGGGGGCGCTGAAGTCCCATTGATGGCGGTCTCCATGCTGGAAATGCTGTCTCAGCCTAACTTTCAGTCAACCTAACGACAGGCTGAGAGCTGGAGCTGAGGCGGGTTTTAAGACTCCTGACAAACCGTTACACCGTGTCCACCTGTCAATCAGGTCAGCTACACGCCTTATTGTGAATAACTCTTATCCTTCATCAAATCAAAACTGATGAGTCATCAAAACATTCACCCCCCGTACAGTGTGTGTCGATCGAGACATGAGCTAATCAGACCTATTTGTTTTTTTGAACCAGGCTGTAAACATGTTAATCTCTGCTGTAAAAACAGGCTTTTTAGAATTGGTGTGTATGTGACTTCCTGTGCTTCAGCAGCCAGCCTCTAGTGGACACTCGAGGAACTGCAGGATTTTACACTTCAGCATTGGCTCAATTTTTTCAATGTGAAATAAGACAGTCCAACATATTTCTTATAGTGAGGATTTATTTCTCATCCAACAATCGTCTTCAATATATTTCATATGCAAGATTCCAACATTGTCCATAAATGTCCACACAAAGATTCACTCATGTAACCCTCTGTGTTACATTGGGCGCTGTAGCGTGGCATAGCAGTAAAAAAGCTAGCAGCACCTGACACCTCAGTGTAGGTTCCTACCTATACTGTGCGTGACCTGAACATAAAGGTGACACCTGCTGGACCAATCAGTGCCTCAGACTTCGTGACTCCTACAATCATAGTATTAAAAAGTCCTTCACATGGGAGTTACAGTAAACAGTTTATTAACAGTTTACCGTCCAATACTGATGACATCATCACAGAGATCAACACTGTTGGATCGCTTACATTCAAAGGATGTCCCACATTAAAATACTGCGAGGTAAACTTCATTTAAGTTATTTATTATTTGATCTTTTCATGACTTTGATTCTGTTTTTATTCTGAATCACTTCATAACACCGACTAATATTGCCATAAAGAGACTAATTTAAAGGAAGAATGTGCGACAAATAAATATATCATAAATCAAGTCTATCCTGTGTAAATGTCTCTCTGAGTCTTGACTGTCTACAATGAGTGAGAAGCTCGAGTCCCGCTGGCTGTGTTGTTGTCAGAGCCGTGTTTACATGGACGGGACGGCTGGCTCCTCCCCTTGAGTATAAAAGCTGTTTTAGTCAAGGACTAGAGAGAATAACATACTCACTGAGTATTTGGATGTTAGTAAGAGTTTTTAGATCACGATCATTCTGTGTCAATTTACATGCAATGTGAAGCTACGAGCTAACTAAAGAGCGCTAACATTAGCATGCTAACACAACAATGCAGGACACAGGGGATTGCAGCTCCAGCCAAGGAAGATTTTATCCACCGCTTGCACCTGAATCCTTTGTGCTAACGTGAGTGGAGGGGGGTTGGAGGTGTGTCTCTGGAGGAGAGAGGAGGCTTCAGTATGGGGAGGTGTGGCTAAACAGCAGGTTTGTTTTGGTTTCATGCTGGAGCTCAAGGGCGACATCTACTGGATCAAAAAGTCGCACATTCTCCTCTGAGTAGGAACATGATGCATCAGTGGGCTGCACGGTCGGGCAGTGGTTAGCTGCCTCACAGCGAGGAGTGCTACTGTTTGTCAACAAATGCACATTATCTAGGATGCTGTGGATGCTGTTAAAATAACAGCGTGAGGCTTCAGACCTTGTTTCAGGTCATGACTGTGGTTTGGCAGGGTCCTCACAGGTATAGAAAGACAATCCGGTATGTGTCCTCCTCAGGATTGGAGCAGGACTTGAATGCCGTCCATGTCGAGCTCCACTGAGTGAATGCTGAAGTCTCTCAGACCCTGAACGATAAGAACCAGTATGACCACAAAGAGCAAACGGTCCAATAAAAAGCTCTAAAAGTAAAGTAATTGAATCAAACAGAGGTACATGTGTTGTAGTGATTATTGCTTACAGTTGTGTTGTGGAGGACCTGCAGCACCGCCTCTCTCTGTCGAGGCTCTCGGGTCAGCAGGTAGAGGAAGCCCCCCCCTCCGGCCCCCGCCAGGCTCTGACCCAGGACCAGCGGCCTCAGGGCGTCCATCATGACCCTGACCGAGGCCGGCTCACATCCAGGAGCCATCAGCTTCTTCTGCAGCCACGAGCGGTCCAGACACACACCCAGCCTGCGCAGCGAACCTGAGGGGGAGGGGCTTATCTTATTATTTACCACCTTTCAATCAGACCTAAGAATTCTGGGAGATGTAGCGGAAAAGTAAAGCGCTGTGAGTTTTATGTTGTGATGAACGCTCTCACCGTCTGAACACGCTCGTGCACACTCCTCTGAGTTTTCCACCAGCTGCTGAGCGTTTTGGACCATCGAGGGCTGACGGCTGTACCAGCTCCGAACTACATCCTGCAGACAAAACCACCATCATCATTTTTATCCATTGTTACTTAATCTCTTTTAGCTCTGCTTTTAGTCTTTACTTCCTCCTCATGTAAATATCTGTTTATCTACTAAATGTTCATCACCTTGAATCTAACCGTTTCCTCCTGAGCACGCATCTTTACATCTTATCCCCTAACAGTAAACATCTGAACAGAGGTAGGAGGTACAGACCTGCAGCAGGTTTCGAGCCAGCCGTGTTTTTCCCGTGTACACCAGCAGGAGGTGCTGCTCCAGAGAAACCAGGAAGTCCTGAGGGGACAGAGACGCTCCACCTCCACCTGTAGGGGGAGAGACGCTCTGGACCGACCCACCTTTACTCCCCCGACCAGACCTCCAACCTGATCCTGCCAGCCTCCACCTGCAGCAGGAGGAGGAGTAGAATAATAATAAGAATTATAGATAGAACTGTTTTTCTTTTACTGACACCACATGATAAGAAACACTGAATTATAATCACTAACGACCGACCCGTGGTAAGAATCTGTTCCAGGTAGAGGACGCCGTGGATCAGGGAGTCTGTGTTGTAGGTTCGACCGGTACAACTGTACACTGCAGCCAACAGCGCCCCCGCCAGAATGCTGCTGGTACCTGCAGGACAAGAAATGCTCAATGTCTGATCTCTGACCATCTGCTGCAGGAAGACACTTTTACTGAAGTAAGAATAGTTTACAGCACACTGAAAATGACTTTCCCTGACGCATTTCTCCTGTAGCTTCCTCAGGTTCACATTATCACAAACACAGGTGTGTTAAATACATGTGGTCACATAACCAATCATCACAATACAGATTATTTCGAGTCCTAGCCTTAAACTTGTTCGCTCTCAATAAAGTGACAGTAAACTCATTTTTCAGCATGCCATGTTCCATTTATTTTTTCATTGTATGTTCCTGTTGAGCGGCACATGAGTACGTAGGTTGGCTGTGCGCGGGGTAACCTGGTGGTCGTTTATTGTAAAAGTTACTTTGAATACTACTCTCACCCAGGCCGGATCCAGTTGGCAGCACCGACCAGCTGTGGAGCTCCACCCCTCCTCCCCACCGCTGCATCAGCTGATCCCCCAGAGGATGCTGGGAGGAGAGAGACACCAGACCGCTGCACACACACACGGCCTTCAGCAGGGCACCTGTCACACACACACACACACACACACACACACACACACACACACACACACACACACACACACAAACAAACACTCATTAACACACACAAACGTCTCTCATTAACCCTTTGTATCCAGGTCAGTGTTGAACGTCCCTCACCAGGTGCGTGAGGCTGGCAGTAGTCCCTCAGGTCATCCAGGCTGTCACACACGGTCTCCGTGGCAACCTCACTGTCCCGCCCCCCGGCGTAGCTGACCAGCAGGAGGCGGGGCTCCCTGATGCGACGAGCCCTGGCACCAATCGGACGCTTCCCGTCAACCTTCACTGCAACGTTTGTGACAGAGCCGCCGTGCTCGAAGGCGATGGGTGGAGTGTCGCTCCAGCCGCCTGAGACACAAACACGCTGCTGATCTTTAACGTGTTCAAACACTTAAGAGACACCTGCAGGAGGAACCGTGAAGAATGCTGAAGGGTTTAAAACCTCACCTGCCAGGTCCAGTCTGGCTGGACACTCCACTTCCTGCCACTCCTCTAGAGGCGGGACCTCACCCTGTCCAATGGAGATGAACCTTTGCGATGACATCACAGCTTGTCGTAGGAGCACCTGTCCGGCGCCCTCATAGTGACGTGCCGCTCGTACAAGCAGGTCCGGCCTGCAGGGGGCGGTGACAGAAAATCAAATGTGTGTCTCACACTGAGCCACTGATATCACGCCGTCACGGCTGCAGTGTGTTAAAAACGCGTGCTGGAGACGGAACTTGTGTTAAGGTCAACAGAGCAGTGACGCCTCACCTGCTGAGCCAATGAGCTCTCTGCTCAGCCAGGGCTTTGACTCCGCCCCTCAGGTTACCCTCCTCTAACAGGGAGTAGGCGGGGCTCCAGGCCTTGTTAGCAGCTGGTCCGCTCCTCAGGCCTCCTTTCCCTCCAGCCATGCACACCAACACGTCAGCAATACAGGAGAGGCAACGAGCTGCCACGCCCAGCTCCGCCCCTGACACCGCCCCCTGCTCACCACTTCCTGCCGCAACTGAAAACAGACGATAAAGTTAAATTAGTTCATTCTTTTTTTGTTTTTAAACATGTATAAATGTGTAATGTTCTTTTTCAAGTTGTTGTGACTCACTGCTGTCGAGTGTCTGCAGCAGCGCCCCCTGCTGGCCCCCCAGCACCGCCGCCCTGAAGCACGGCAGCAGGCAGGCGTCTGTGCGCATCCTCAGAGCATCACCCACTCTCTCCTCCCCGCCAGGAACATTAGTTCCTCCCTCCACTGTAGCTCCGCCTCCTGGTGAGTGAGTGACATCACCTCCTTCAAAGAGAGTCTCCACGCCTCCCTCCACCTCCGAAGACAGCGTCCTTCCCCCCCGAGCAGCCAACCGACGCCTTCAGCCAGGCCAACAGCACCTCCTCTAGGGTGGAGGACCGGGAAGAGACGAGCCTCCAGGAGGGAGCGCTGCTCTTCTCTGACCCACAACTCCTCTGGCCTGAGAGCAGAGGAGAGGAGAGGAGAGGAGAGGAGAGGAGAGGAGAGGAGAGGAGAGGAGAGAAGAGGAGAGGAGAGGAGAGGAGAGGAAAGGAGAGGAGGAGCAGGTTGAGCCAAAAGTTAACATCCAAAAAAAATCTTCAAAGGTCAAAGATCATTTGGTTAGGAGGTCATACTCGATTCCTGTTCTGCTGTAGAAGGAGCTCCATGTCTGGTTGAGGAAGGAGGCACTGCTGTTTTCAGAGGAGACCTGAGGAGAAAGAGAGAGAAATAGGAGGAGGAAAAAGGAAGAGAAGGTGAAGAAATACGAAGAGCAGGAGAATAAGGAAGAGCAGAGGAAGGATGGGGACAAGAAGGAGGAAGAGGAAGAGGAGGAGGAGATGGGAAATGAAGAACAGGAGGAGAAAGACGAAGAGAAGGAGGAGGAGAACAAGTAGGAGGTGGAGCACAAGGAAGAGGAGGAAAAGAATGAGAAGCAGAGAGAGAGAGATGAAGAGAAGAGGAGGAAGAGGGACAGAGGAAATAGGAGGATAAAAACAAGTAGAGGATGAGGTGAAAAAAAAGGAGGAAGAGGAGGAAGTGAAAAGGGGAGGAGAAAGAGAGCAGGAGGAGGAGAACCAGACAAAGTAAGGAATGAGGAGGAGGAAGAAGAGGAGGTCAGACTGGAGGTTTTGATCATATTGTTTTCCTCTAATTTATTTGTAGTTTTTATTTTCCAGGTTCTGAGGTGTGACGTTGTTGATTTTATGTGTAAAACACTACAGACATTTAATCTTTCAACATTTTAGGATCACAACTTTTCAAATATCACTTTTTTAATTTTTCCAACATTTATCTTTTGAAGGTATTGTGTACCTGCAGGTCATCCTGCGCTCCCATCACCGTGTACACGTTCAGCTTCAGCTCCCCCAGCTCTATGCGGTGTCCCTGGATGATGATGTCATCAGCCAGTGACAGCTGCCTGATACTCTGTGATGTCGACGACTCGAGACCTGACAGGAGACAACCTGTCCGGACTTTAAGAGGACCCTGTAGAAGAGATCACATCCAGAGTCAGAAACTTACAGATTTTTAATCGACTGACCAGCAGCAGTTAACCTCCTGACCTGTAGGTGGCAGTGTTGCACAACTGCACCAGCTGCAACGGCAATGTCTCCCTCCAGAACGCTGTTGATGACACGACCTCCTTCGCTCACTTCGCTCTCTCTCTGAGGAGAAACAGGAAGAAGTGTCTTCAGCAGGTAGTAACAGAGATGGGATCAGCTGAGCCAGCGGGGGAGAGCAGTGCTGTGTGTGTGCATGTCTGACTGTGTGTGTATGTGGAGCTCCCGCTGTACCGTGCTTCTACAACGCAGAAACACAATGTGAGGTGAGACATTTTAATGACGACTCAGAGGAACATGAATGTCACCTCGATGTGCGACAGAGTATTTCTATTCGTCCAATCATGGCTCAGTCGCTCCACATGCTGCTTCCCAGACACAGTCAGGTAGTCGTAGTGACCACCAGGGATGTACGCTGTCAGACAAAAGAGATGTGGTAATTAAAACGGGACCATGACCTACTGAATGAACTTCATCACCTTCTTTATTATGTAAAAACTGGTTTGTCTGTGTCGGTTTTGGATACAGTCACCAGGCCTAAATGTTTTGAATGTATCGTCCTGAAAGTCCAGCTGGGGCCTTCCTCTTTGGTGGTGATAGGTGTGTATAAACCCCTATCTGCTGATGCAGAATCCATAAATGTATTAGCAGATCTAGTTTCAAGGTATGTTGATTCTGAAATACTGACCTACAAGACCTATTATGAAAGACTGCTCAAAATCAACATTAATTGACCTCGTCTTTTCAAATAGAGTGGACAAAATTGTGGCCAGTGGAGTTTTTGAACTGGGTATTAGTGACCACTGCCCTACAGCATGTGTGAGAAGTGCCAAATTGAAAAAAACAAGATCACACACAATCTCAAAGAGAAATCTGAAGATTTTTAATGAACATTGTTTTCTGGAGGATATAATGAATTCCTTTACGAACAACACAGAAAAGGCCAACGATGTTCAGACGGCCCTGGACTTTTATTTCACTTGTCAATAAACATGCTCCTTTTAAGAGACACAGAATTAAAGACATGATAGTACCATGGTTTTCATAAGAACTGTCAGCTCTGTTCTGTGACAGAAACAGAGCCTGGTGTCGTGCTAGGCGTTCAAGAGACCCTCAACACTGGCTGTACTTTAAACAATTTAGGAATAAATGCACCGCAGCTTTTAGAAAAGCAAAATCAGATTACTACTTTGATCTTATCACTAGCTCCACTTCAAACCCTGCAATATTCTGGAAAGCAGTTAACTTAGATAAAAACAAGACCTCTAATTCGCTGCCCAATAATATTAAAATGGGTGATTCTGTGCTTTCAAATGAATCTGAAATATGTCTTGCCTTAAACAAGCATTTCGCAGATGCTGTATTTTTATTTGATAAAGTACACCCTGGGCTTCTTCCAGTTGTCGCTGAGGCAAACACTGGAACATATTTTAATGATCATGAGAGTGCTGTGGGCCACACCCCCCTTTTTTCCTTTCGCCCCTTCTCACACTATGAGGTATTAAACGCACTTCAATCATTCGATTCCAGGAGCTCTACTGGTGAAGACAATCTAGATGCTTTCTTTTTAAAACTAGCTGCTCCGATCATCACAGATCATTTGATGAATATATTCAATCTTTCGATTGCAACAGGTACAATTCCTAATGTATGGAAATCTGCACATGTGGTTCCCTTGCATAAAGGTGGTGCTAGGGATGATTTAAACAATTATCATCCCATCTCCAAATTACCCTGTCTGGCAAAAGTCATGGAAGCCTTGGTAAATAACCAACTCAAGCCCTTTCTTTTAAATCATTCAGTACTGAGCCCGCAGTAATCTGGTTTCAGAGCCAATCATAGCACCATTTCAGCCATCACATTGGTGTCAAATGATATGAAACTAGCACTAGACAAGAAGCATCATTGTGCTGCTCTTTTTATAGATCTGTCAAAAGCTTTTGATACGGTCGATCATCACTTTCTTTTAAAGAAATTAGATGCTATTGGGTTAGATGGAAGTGCATGTGCCTGGTTTCAGAATTATTTGTTTGACAGGCGTCAGTGTGTTAAGCTAGGTCATGCTAAATCTGAATTTTTGTTCATTAATAGAGGTGTGCCACAAGGTTCAGTCCTGGGTCCCATGCTCTTCACTGTTTAGGTTAATGACATTGTTTCTTCTTTGAATGGTTGTCATGCCCATCTCTATGCAGACGACAGTATTTTGTATTGTGCTGCAGATTCTGTACAGTGGGCCATCAAAAACTTGCAACTTGCTTTTAATTCTGTCCAAGAATATCTCATTAACCAAAAACTGCTACTTAATGAGATTAAAACAAAATTATGCTATTCTCGAGAGCCAAAAATATTGATTACGAGAGTGTACGCATATCTTCTTTAAATGGCTCAGACATCGAGAGAGTAAATGAGTATAGATATCTTGGCATGTGGCTCGATGAGGAACTCATTTTTAAGGTCCATGTAAAAACTCTTGTCTCCAAGTTCCGACAGAAAATTGGCTTTTTGTACAGAAACAAATCAAGTTTTCTGTTATTGTGCAGAAAAAGAATCATTGAAGCTGTGTTCTTGTCAGTGATGGATTACGGTGATGTCATTTATAGACATGCTGCAACTTCAACTCTGAAGCCTCTGGACGGTGTCTATCTCTCCGCCCTCAGGTTTATAACTGGTGATCGATTTGACACTCATCACTGTAACCTGTATGAGAGGGTCGGTTGGCCTTCTTTTGAAGAGAGGCGCAACAAACATTGTTTTTTATATATCTTTAAGGCTCTTATTGGAAAACTTCCACCTTACATCACAGACATGTTGGAGTAGAATACAGGTGCCTACATGACCTGTTCTTCTGATTGGCTCGTTCTTAAAGTCCCTCAAGCTTTTACTGCACTCCGTAAATCTGCATTTTCTTTTGATGCCCCAAATTCGTGGAACGCCCTCCAGCAAACTCTAAGGATCAGAGTTCTTCCCTCTCTTCCAGAGTTTAGGAATTTGATTTCGAACAACTTTGTTTCAAACTGTAACTGTTTTAAATGATCTAAGTGTTTGATGTGTTTTTGCCTGTTTTACTGTGCTTGTAATCTCGACGGCATTTGAAATGAGGGAAACCTCAGTGTCTTTTCGAGAATAAATCAAGGTTTGAAATTAAATGAAATTATTTGGAAGCAGAATTGACCATATTTGGACAAGAGGGCGGAGCTGAAGAGGAGCGAGGCAGCGCCGCCCTCTTGTCCAAATATGGTCACTTCCTTCAACAAAGCAAAAGAAGGCGGAGACAAAATGTTAACTTTTTACAACCAGTGGAGTCGCCTCCTGCTGGACGTTTGAAGAGAGAGAGAGAGAGAGAGAGAGAGAGAGAGAGAGAGAGAGAGAGAGAGAGACACTCACCCAGTGAGAGCGGCGTTCCACTCAGAATCTTCCACAGCTCCGTCCTGCCGCTCCTCACCGCCGCCCCCTGTGGTCCAACGGCGGAACTGCAGCCGGCTCTGTCCTCGCTCACAAACTGATCCTGAGTCAGATCTGAGCAGAGACACTTCAACACGTCCAGGAACAGAGAGATCTGAATGGGGTCGCACGATACCAGAATTTTAGTCTTTGATATGATTCAAGTAAATATCGATAACGTTTTGTTACCATGGCAACAAAGTTAGAAACACTAGGTACCAAATATTGGGCGATATAAAAGTAGGGATGCAAAGATACCTCATATTGATGTTAAAAATCCATAAAAACACAGATAATTTAATAATTTAATTTAATTTAATAATATAACTGGGGTACTGCTTTTAACCAGCAGAGGGCGCTGTCTGCTATTGGCGTCTCTTGTTTGACGTCAGAAGCTGTAGCAGAAACATTTACCAGTTGGACCAAGTGGATTTTCAGTTTTTATGAAGAGAAAGAATATGAACTGTTTTAATAATATATATCTGTAATTTGAAGAACCCAGACGTCTTCTCTAACACATCAGTTTATAAACTCCTGCTGGAGATACGAGACTCATGTTCTTTCTTTTCTCTGAGGACGCCGTCTGGAAGCTTTGTTTCTAAGAGCAGGTACCTGGAGGGGCGGTGCTCCAGAATCCAGGCCCAGGTAGGTGCATCCATCCAGAGGGGGAGTGACGTGAGTCTGCAGCAACTTCTCTGAAACACACCTGCTGAAGAATACGGGACCAGACACCTGCACACACACACACACACACACACACACACACACACACACACACACACACACACACACACACACACACACACACACACACACACACACACACACACACACACACACACACACACACACACACACACACACACACACACACACACACACACACACACACACACACACACACACACACACCTCCACGATGAAACTGCGTGACTCTAATCTTTACTCAAACAGTTTTCAAAGCCTCTCCAGATACGGCGTGATGCGGACTCGTAACGTGTGTTTGACTTTAAAGTGGAGCATGAGGTGAACTCACCAGAGGAACTTTCCCATCATGCATCACGGCTAGTTTAATCCTCTCTCTGTTCCCTTGTAGACAACGTCTTTAACCCGACCCTGCAAGACGGAAAACAAATGCCCCTTCAGTCCCGCTTTGCACTCGTTTCACTGTGAGGAAATCAAGCAGTCAAATATAAACAAAGAAATACGAAGCGAGCACCTGCTGGTCCGTCAGGTAGACGCCGTGGTTGGTTGCGTAGGAGACGTCGCCCGGTAACGCCAACACCCGAACACCCGAGAACCCGTCCCAGGACAAAACTGAGAGACAGACGAGAGTCAGGAGAGCTCGGCGATGAAGGAGGACATGAGCAGGACGGGCGTCAGCCGAGACTCACCAAACTCTGGAGGGACGGTGAGGACCATGTCGGTGCTGCAGACCCAAACTCCAGGAGGAGACCCGGGACAAACCTGATCCACCAAGGAGAGGAATAAAACAGACTCAGTTCAAGTGCAAATCTCCTTTTTGAATTTGGCCCCCAGGGACGAATTATTTTCTAATTTTTCAGTTCAGATCTTAAAATGCGTCTCATGATAAGTGTAATGAGATGTGTCTGAGCGGGTCGTTCTTTAATAAAGTCTGCAGGGTTTGATTCTGTGTTAATGCTCATTGCTTCATGTTTTCACAGATTCATTCACATCCTGGATCGTAGCAGACCTGGTTGGTGAGGCAGTCCAGCAGCAGGTCCACACAGCAGACCGGAGCCTGGACTCTCTGCTCCGGTCTCTCTGCAGGCAGCCAGCAGAACGCCCGGCTGCAGGAGCTCCAGGGGAAGTCCCGCCCCTGCAGGAGGAAAACACTCAGACTGATGAATGAGGAACTTCGTCTGAAGATCAGAAACACGCCACCGCCGCTGCTGCTGCAGGACTCACCGTGTGGAGGATGAGGATGTGAGCATCATCCAGGACGTCAGCTGTCACCACCTGAGCGCCACGGTCACAGAGGATTAGTACTCACAGGTCGAGAAATAACAGACTGACTCAGAGATAGTTCACTCGGGTGGACTCAAAAAGTGGAGTGTTTTTTCACATATTTCGGTCTAAATGGGGGATGATGGTTGTTATGGTAACCTGACCGAGACAGGACTTCAGAGGGTTCACCTCCTGAGGTGTCTGAAGGACGCACGACATCCAAAACACTTCTACAGGTCAGCCATGGAGTCTGTCATTTCAGTGATTTTCATGGTCTTGATCTACAACACGACCTAGGCGTGCTATCAAACACCTTTCTCATTGTATTTTAGGGAGAGTCATTAGAAGTTTAAAATTCTGCTGATTTGATTCTTCTGATTTGACCTTTCAGGTCAACATTTTAACATTTAACATTTTGACTTTTGAAGAGCAGGACCAGTCGAGTGAAATGAACCTCTGATGATTAAAGACAGTAAGTCACAGCCCTCGTTCTAATGGCCTCAGGTGTGCAGACTCACAGTGTGTCCCGCTCGGCTGCTCAAGTGTTCAGCAGCCACCAGCAGAGCGTTCAGAGTCGCCCCCCCGCTGCCCAGCGGCTCCTGGCGGTCCCGAACTGTTAAAACCAACGCACCCTGAGAGAGAGAGCCCCGCTGCTGCCTCAACTCCAACTCTGTAAACACACACACACACACACACACACACACACACACACACACACACACACACACACACACACACACACACACACACACACACACACACACACACACACACACACACACACACACACACACACACACACACACACACACACACACACACACACCCTTACCCTTAACAAACTGTATCGTCTTAATCAGCTGGGCCTCCTTTTTCATTTGGCAGAAAGCACATATGTTCCCTAAGGGAACGCCATAGGTGGCGTGATGAGAAATATGATTATTAAAGTGGCTAAAAACATGAATTAGGTGCAGTTAGTTAGTGTTGTTGATAAAGTTATTATAATACAGTTAAAATATTATAATGTCAATATTTAGTCATTTAGTTTGTCTTTCATTCACAACATTTTACAACATAAATTCTTTAAATTAGTATATTTGTAATAAATTAGTCCCGTTTATTTATTTATTTTGTCCATCAGCGCCATCTTCAGGTTGATAAGTGTAACTGCAGGGCACAAAATCGAAGGATCAAATATCGTTTAGAAACAGCAGATGATCCGCACCTCTGTGAAAAGTAGTTCTAGAGCAAAAAAAAAAAAGCGAAAAGTCAAAGATCGTCTATAAAAAGTGATGATCCTCACCTCTCTGGAAAGCATAAACGCTGTCTTTGTGTTGGCAGGTCAGGACGACCACCGTCCATCTGAACCCACCGGACATCTTCAGACGGCTCACAGTGGATTACACCGCCCTTACACCACCTCAGAGTTCATAGATAACGGTGTCTCTGAGTGTGTTTGACTGTTACTGACAGGACGGATCACGTCTGTGAAAGACAAACAGAAGCAGCAGGGCGGAGTCAGCAGCGGGAGATATAACGGGGGAAAGTAAAACTAACGGACCCTGAGTGTTAAGAGGGCTGTTGAATTTGAATCAAAGCGAGCTAAACGCGACAAAAAGAGAACCCACAAAAAGAGGAGAACCGAGTACAACAGAATTTGTCTTTGTCTGACTGCGCGGGCTTCCGTAAGATATAAAAAATGTGTTTGATTTTGTCCTTTGGACCTCCCGACGAGGCGGTTACCTTACGGTCATAAAACAACTCTAAGCGGTGGCGAGTAAATATATAACGAGTTCAGTTATTTATACACCAGTAGGGATGTAGGACAGCCTCTTTGGTATTAATGGGTTTATAAAATGCTGATTTTATGTAGTTTGAACGGCTCTTAAACTCATCCATAGGTCCGATAAAATCTGTACCGGGACACTCCGGTTAGGTGGAGACTGTTGTTGATGTATGCTACATTCTTTAAAACTAAAAACTCTTGTAAGAACTTAAATAAACGTGCTAAAAGTAATTATTCTCCTGCAGTGTATAACGCATTAAATTTTCAGGTTTTTAATACTTATATATTCTCTTTTAACACATTTTACTATTATTCCGTGAAGATTTAACTTTAAAAACTGATTCTACAATTTTTAAATAATAAATAATTTATGTGAAATTATTCCTACATTTGTTCTGGTCAGTTTCAAGACAAAAAAAAAAAAAAAAAGTTTAAATCCAGCTTTTCAAAGTGTGAATTTTCATCCTCAAGTCACATTAATTTCTTAAAATTGAAGAAAATGTTTTACTCTTAATACCTGAAGCAACAAAAAAGTAAGTAAGATCAGATAGAGATAATTAACAACAAGATGGATGAAGCGCATGTTACCAAAATGGGATTCGCAGGATGCTTTCCCAAAACAATGGTAACATTTTAAAAGAATTTATCTTTCAACTTAAAGTAGTTTAATTTCAGTTTGGAAGCTGCTGATAGGAGCGTCAAACGCACATCACGTGGTGCAGGGCAGTGTAACAACTGCAGATGGAGGAAAAGTAAAATGGTAAATGGACTTATCGAAGCACTGTTACACCGCAGGTCACACCTACACATTCACACACACTGATGAGGCTGCTGGGTAAAGAGTCCATCAGAAGGAACTAATCACATTCAGCCGCCGACAAAGCAGCAGCAGCAATTCGGGGTTCAGTGTTGTCCAATGATACACTGGCCATGTGGCTGCAGGAGCTGGGGATCTAACCCCCGACCTTCAGGTTGAGACGACAACTCTACCAACTGAACCACACCTCCACACTTAAACGTCAAAACGCCAGAAAAAGTTTCTAAAACCACAATCGCAGCATTTCCACAGGGGTCTTCTTCAGGTGATAATCCTGAAGAAGACATCTGGTTTCTCTTCCTTAAACCTCTGACATCATTTAACCCCTCGAGGAAACAAATCATCAAAGCAAGAAGCGTGACGAAGCTGTTCAGGTAAAAAAAAAACATAAAAAGTTTAATGAACTATACAAATTGAGCAGAAAGTATATACAGATGTACATCAACAATGACACTAAGCAGACGGGAACAACGGTCAATAACAGAGTTCATTCAGTGTCTTCATTCGTCGTCCTCCTCGTCAACCGGCAGCGGTCTGGATCTGAAAGGAAATAAAAACGTTTCATCGGGTCAATAAAACAAACGCACCATTATGGATAACACACAAAGAAACATTAGAATCCATTTAAACTATAAATCTCTCATATTCGACAGGCTGTCAGCGTTAATAAGTTTATCCTGATTCATCTCATGTTTGTCCCTTCAGGCTCTCGTAGATAGTCGTCCTCAGTGTCTCCCTGTAGTCTCAGTGATGTAATAGAAGGACACTGCTGCATCTTTGAATGTCTCATTTCACTTTAACAAACTCTCAGACAGCTCAGCTGACAAGTCCAAAGTAATATCCACCTTATGACATCACACATTGATCTTTATTACCGGTCCTTTGAGCTGTTCGACCTCAGTTTGGGAGGTCTTCTTCCTGTGCTTAACCTCCTGTCCTAACCTTTGAAGGGCCCGTTAATAAGAAAAACACACCATCAGGCCTTGATCTTGTTTTCTTCATTCTGAAGCTCTTTAAAGTGCATCGACATAAAGAACGAAACAGGATCCGCACAACAACGAGCGTCCGTTAAAAGTCTCCAAACGTCACTCATGAACAAATCCTTCCACCTGGCGCTCCTTGGTGTGCAGAGTGTGTTTTTGGATCCAGCACCCACTGCGTATGTGTCTTTTTGGATTTGTCATAAAAGTTCTCCCCAGATAAAATTTATTATTTACTATGAGTCATTTGAGATAAGTGCCTTTATAACCGTAACCCTGGTCGACAAATACAACTACACTTAACAATGAGAGCGAACATACTTCCTGCTGGCCTTTGACATGCCGCTCCCTCCCGCCTCTTCATCGTCCTCTACCTCCCGGGGCCTCTGGTTCTCCTTCTCAGGCTTCCTCGGAGGACCGCCGAAGAAATCCCCGATGCCCTTCTGCCAGGTTGGTGTGGGACGGGGACACACAGGGTTTCCTCCAGCATATTTACCCTTCGCTGTGAATTAAAGAGAGAAACCTCTCATCTGTATTAACTCCATGGTATGATGTTACGTCAGGCTGCTTGTGGTGCATTCAGGGACTCACCAGGTGTGGAGCACTGGCTGCTGCTGCTGGAGGAGGCGGCGGCAGAGTTGGCAGCACTGGAGCCAAGAGACTTCCGGGGTGCAGAAGCTGCAACAGCTGCAAACACAATCAAACAGGCGAGTTAAAGGAGGTGTCATGAAATGAAGTAACAGGACAGACATGTTCACTGAGTGAAATGACTAAAGCAGAAATGGGAGGCTTCACTGTCCCCTGTGTGAGACCTAGATGCAGGTAAACTAACCAAACTGTGGAAAAAAAAAACTTTAAAGACGGTGTTTAAGAATTAAAACCAACTGAAACATGGAGAACACCCTTTGACAGCACAAAAGTATATGTACATGGTGCAACTTTTATCAGGTTATAAAGCTTAGTTTGTAATCATTTGAGTGCCGAATTTTCCAGAAGAATCAATACAGTAAGAAAATGTGAACCGTGATGCTAGATTACAATTGTGTATCCGGCAATAGACAGGAACGTTTACAATTATGTAACTTTTCAACGGGGTTTGGTGGAATCAATGGGCGCACAAAGCGACACCACGGCGCTAAAAAATCTGGCGCCAGATTGCAGAAAGCAAGAGAATTAACACGGAAAACACGAAGTTAAATGTTATCTCAATTACCGGATAAAGGCAGTGGACAGAAGTTTAATTTCTGAAGCTATCACAGAACTGTTTAACAATTATTTTGTTTATTTATGTGTGTTCAGTTGTTTCCATGAACGCCGATAACGCAGCCCTCCAATTGGCGGGAGGCGGGTGTTTGGACGGCTTGTTTGTCCTGGTTTCACCGATTAACATTATACTATTTAGCTGATGTGCTGATATTAAGCTTAATTCAAGCATCAATATCATTTATGTTATCAAAATGTTCAAACAAATTAATCTGGTCCTCTGTCCGGGTTTCGGCTCATGAGTTGAGTCCCGATCCGCCGGACTACATCATAAAAACAGTAACATTCACATGAAAATCCGCTTTATGACTCTAAATTCGTTTAAATGTATGCAACATGTCACTGTACCTTTTCTGTATGTTCCGGGGACACTATCGGCTTTAGTCCTCACCATATTGGTCGCGACCTTTAAAGTCTAGAGACGCTTCCACACAGACTATCCTGACCAAAGTAAGCAGAGTGGAGAGTCCCGCCTTGGTTTAAAAAGACCAGCGGATGGGGGCGGGAGATTTCTTCTTCTGCTCTGATGGACCACACGCAGCGATGACGTAGTTTAACAGTGCCCCATCAGGTGGACAGGTGTATCTGCAGCTTTGACAGAGCTCAACCGCACTGTGACTCTGGGCCCCATGAAAAGAACTCACATAGGGCCCCTACCAAGGCCCAAACTAAACCCAGAGAACTTCTACAATTTCTACACTTTAATTCTTATTGATAATTGATATCATATGAACTACTCTGACTCTGTTGATATCAAATATGTTACTGTAGCTTGACTCGACTGACAGCTGAAAGATCAATCCAGGTGAGAGGTGGTGGGAGGACTAAACCATTCTGCGCATTCAGAAGGGGGGGAGAGGGCCTTTTAGAGAGACTTCACATTTTTTCCAGAAAGGAATTCTGAATGTTTGTTTATTTATTCAGACAATTCTTATTATCTTATTGCCTTTATAACTTAGAGAAAAAAAGCAAAATAAGAAATACATTTTTATTTCAGGCCCATGAAGGGCCCCCCTCCCCACTAGGGCCCTGGGTAGTCAGTCCCACTTTCCCCCCACTACGACGCCCCTGACAGCCTGGATTAAAAAAAAAACAAATAGGTTTGATTAGTTCATGTCTCGATCGGCCTGCACTGTACCGGTGAATGTTTTGATGACTCATTAGTTTTGATTTGATGAAGGATAAGAGTTATTCACAATAAGGTATCCAGTGACGAGTTGTCTACTTCACAGACCTCACACTGTTCACTGAGAGAAAAAAGTCGAAATATCAAGAAAAAAATATAAATGCTGGAATACAATTTCAAATTTTTAATTTTAACTTTATTCTCGACATTTCGACTTCTTTTTCATAATGAAAGTGCATAATGATAACAAAAATCTTCTTACTGTAAATAGTTATGTCTCTTTCATTTGTTATAAATGTTCATAAATGCCTGTAAATTAAAAATGCTGAATAAAAGAAAAAAAAGTTGTTGATGGTTTAGAAATGTGTTCTTTTAATTAACTCATTCATTTCATAGATGTATTCCTTTTATTGAAGGTATTTCTCATCTCTTTCGTCCGATACTTTTTAAATTGCGGTCGCTTCGCTCGGTTTGTCCTTTTTGTCCCTCCCGGAGGTCCGTAGTGGCGGTTTATTGAGCTACAGGCGGACTGCAAAACAAAACATCTTCGACCACTTTGCCGGTTATAAATTCATCTTTCACGGTATGTAAGAGTCATTTTTACATAAAGTATCCGAACTTTTAATGTTTTCCTTAAAGTTAACTCTTGTTTGGTGATATTTTAACGTGTTTTTTAATCGAGTTTGTAACTTTAAAAGCAGTAAAAGTAGAAGTTGTTAGCTCGCAGAAACAGAAACATTATCTTCTTATTTCTTAGCTGAACTTCGTGTTAACTTATTACATAAGCACTGTCTTTGAAAACCCCACTGTTAGTTTAAGTGGAAGATAATTGATTGAACTGGTTGTTAGTTTATTAAAAGTTAAATTATTTATTTATTTTTACCTGAAACCTCCCGAGTGTCAGCTGTCGTCCGTCCAAGCTAAAATCAAGCTAACATCAAGCTAGAAGCACTGATCCCTCTGTTACACACACATAATGTGTTACACACACATAATGTGTTACACACACATAATTATACCTAATTAAAAACGTTTTGCGTCAGTTATTAACTTTATTATTAGTATGAATCCAAAGTACATTATTTAGACTCCTCACCTGTTGCCTCCATGTCTCATCTCTGTCTTTAATGTCGAGTAAAACTTCATGTTTTTAGCCCAATATTTGACATTTTCCTTAAGTTGTCTTCTAATCTAAACACCTGGGGTTCTCGACCTAACTTTCTCAGTGTCAATTTAGGGACAAAATATTAAGTTTGGAGCTCTCAGTGTCACAGCAGTGTTTGTATGAGGATGTGCTAATCTAGTTTTTAAGCAATACATGTGTAGTATTACTAAAGCTTGTAAAAATGACCCTAAACTGACCATTTATATCACAGACCTCCATGTTAGAGTACATGTTATATATTTATACCACAGGAAGTGAATGAAACCTAAAGCGTCACATTGTGTCTTAAATCAAGTGTTAGTTTCAGGTCTTAAATGTGATTGCCTTCCAGGTGTTACCATGGAGGAGGTGACCCGCCTGGTGTCAACAGGAGACTGTGTGAAGATCTGGGATGCCGTTTGCATGGCGCCACTGGAGCAGTTTAACCCCCACAGCGCCAGTCACCCTGTGGCACAGGCCTGCTGGAGCTCCAACAGTATCCTGAAAGAGGGAGGGGAGTGTTTTAGTCTCAGATTTATACAGGGTTTCTCAAATACAAAAGGCTTAATCTGTGACTTTTACAGCATGAGATTCTCACAGGCGCTCTGTTTAGACAGATGTCTTTCATCCCTCAGCTCCCCTCTGCCCCTCCCCTTCCTGTTTCAGCAGCGAGTGTCTGTGAGACGGAGAGCGGCAGACAGAGAAGTTATTAGTCCTTCACTTCATCTGCTGAAGCCTGTTAGAAATCAACAGGATGTTTTGGGACATGTTGAAATCCAAACCTCCTGAACATATATCAAAGCAGATAAATCAAACGGTGAAGAAAAAACAGATCGACTCTGAAACCGAAGCAGTGTTTGAAAAACCACAGAATTCATGTACCTTCTGTTAACTGGTGATAGCTGACCAGTGACAGTGTTTCCCCTAGGTTTACAGCGTTGGGGGGGGGAGACACGATGACACAAACACTTGAAGGAATCCTGGTGTTCATGTGTTACTATTGGAAAGGTATCCTTAAATTACTTATTTCCCTGATTTCCGACTCTATCCACTATCATATCCCTACAATAAAGGCACAAAAAGCCCAAAAAGAAATCTTAAAAAATATGTATATAATGGTAGGGGAAACACTGAGTGAAACAGGAAGCATCCTTGACGAGTTGTTTCAGAGCAGTACCTGGTCTCAGCTAGCAGCAGCGGAGACAAACTGGTCGTTTCCAGCCTCAAATCTTCTCCTGTTACAGTCCTGGAACTGGCTGACGGGGTGAGTGTTAAACAAAGTGTGTTTTCATCATGACTGCCGTAACTAATTACATTTTTACACATCCGGAAAGGTTTCAACACGAAAGCTTCCAGGATTCATAAACCCATGAATGTAAGACGGCTGGCAGCAGGATTTTCTCACCAGGTCAAAGATCTGAGTTTGATGTTGTGTTAAAGTGCAAACTTCATGTCTGCTTCGCCGCACGCTGAACGTAGAGTTTACACCAACCCTGTCCTGTCCGTGCATTTTTTAAGTACATGTTTAACTTAGATTAAAAGCAAAGCGGCAGCCAGACACGATCAGTAGCAATGTTTACAGGGACATGAAGATTTGAAGATTGATATTTCTGATAGATTAGGCCGACAGGAAGCTGTCAGAGTGGTTTTATTCTGACTGAATGTTTGAAACACGCTCGTCACAATCACGTTTATTTAGCGTCCATGTTAACAGTGAACTTTGAATCTCCAATCAGAATGATTTATATCGGTTTGAAGACATTTTGAACATGTCAACAAAAACAGCTGATGATGACTCTCTTCAATGTGTTTTCAGAAAAAACAAACACGTGTGTGTCTCAGCTCATCCTCTCAGTTTGTGGTCAGCGGCGGCCTGGATCACTGCGTACACATCTGGGACCTGAAGACCAAGAGACTGCACCGCTCGCTCAAGGTGAGACACATACACGCTTTCATTTTGACGATTACTGAATTTTTAAAATTTATATGATTCGGCATAACCTGTTTTGATACCACAGCAACAAAAATAACAAGAAAACTGAGGCACATTGTCTGAATTGCACAAGAACATTGAAAATGTTTAATTTTTGTGCAATTTTAACAGTGTGCCGGAATCTAGGATCATTACAATAGCAGATAGTAAAGTTTAAAAGTATTGGAACATTTTGACAACATAGGCCGGTGTCAGCTCAGTCTGTGCATCTCCTCCTCAGGATCACAAAGAGGAGGTGACCTGCGTCTGCTTCAACACCAACGACAGCTACATCGCTTCGGGCTCCACCAGCGGAGATTTGGTCCTCCACAGTCTGACCACCAACCTGTCAAGCAAAGCCTTCGGACAGGGCAGCAGCCAGGTGAGACGTGTTCTGTCTGTCACAGGAGTTTGACGGAGAAGCTTTCACTCTGAAATATCCAGTCACCAAACTCTGCTGCAACTTCTGACTTTCCTGCAACACCTGTTGGTTTGACCTGATGACTGGTCTCATATCTGGCAAACCGAGGGGCGTCCAAAACGGCCATGTGGGGGTGCCTTAAAACCGCCTACCTTCTCTGGTCCAAACAAATCCAGAGCATTCAGGACCAGAATCTAAAGTTAGAAGGAGGACATACTGGCTGCTGTATTGTTGTCAGAGAAGCCAGCACTTCAACATAGCATGTGTCCTTAATGTCTGATCATATAGTAAGGTCACTTTATCATTTAAAGGCAAGAGAACCGGTTCAGAAATAACTGATTAGATCACATTAAAAAAACACTTTTGTTTTTAGTTTCCAGGATGCTGAAGATCCGTGTGCTACTGTTAAAAAACACTTACCGATCTTTTCTCTCCAGCCGATCCACGACCTGAGGATGTCCACGCTGAAGCGCTCCCTGCTGGGCAGTGTGTCCGACAGTGGCACCGTGGTCCTGTGGGACTCCAACACGCAGAAGGAGCTGCATGTGTTTGACAGCGCCCACAAGGCCCCGGGCTCCGGCCTCGCCTTCTCTCCCGCCAGCGAGCTGCTGGTGGTCAGCGTCGGGCTGGACAAGAAGATCGTCTGCTACGACACGGCCAGCAAGATGTGAGAGCCATGTTAACTTTTCTGTTTGTTCATCTTTAGTTTAGAAGCGATTCCTTTCCATCACACGGCATACTAAAAGCCAACTCTCGAGCAGGGCCAAAAAACTGAGGCACAAAAGTGAAAATTTAAATGTGGCAGCAGGCGAATGAAGTAAGCCCAGAACTTCCTCTCTGCAAGGGGGATGCTGAGGCGTTCCCAGGCCAGACGGGATTATAATCCCTGCAGAGAGCTCTGGGTCTACCCCGGGGTCTCCTCTCAGTTGAGCAAGAACTAAAAACCTCCAAGGTGAGGCGTCACAGAGGATCCTGATCAGATGCCTGAACCACCTCAACTGGCTCCTTTAGATGTGAAGGAGTAGTCGCTCTACTCCGAGCTCCCCCTGAATGTCTAAGCTCCTCCCCCTCTCTCTAAGGCTGAGCCCAGAGGTCTGCTCGGATCACTACCTGAAGGAGTTGAGGTTTGAAAAGTCGATGAATAAAATTTGTGTCTGTTTGTGTCTGTGTCTCTTTGTGTCTGTGTGTGTGTTTGTGTGCAGAGTCTTGAAGACGATCCGCTCCGACAGTCCTCTGACAGCGGTGGACTTCACTCCGGATGGTACCGGTCTGGTGGTGGGATCCACTCAGGGGAAGATCTATCAGTATGACCTGAGGAACTCCAGCGCCCCCACCAGGGTCACTGTGGCACACAAAACCTCAGTGACCTGTCTGCGTTTCCAGGGCAACGCCAGCAGACTCAAGGTACCAAGGAACCACGTGCAGAACTAACAGACAAAGTTACTGTAAATACAAGCCCGGTCATCACACTGATCGTCTCTTTAACGTTTGAAAACTTCCTGTTTTTACCAGTTTGTTCATTTCCACCGGTCCGTCTCCGGAGCGTGCCAGCAGCGCCACTCCGCTTTGCTCCGTTTTAAAGAGTCTCTGTCTCTCTCCGTCTTTTATTTTCCAGTCCAGTAAACTCGGCCCTTCAAAGATCGGCAGTGCTACGAGATCCTCTTCAAAGCTGTCAAACAGCCAGTCAGAATCCACCCCCACAGGCCCCGCCCCCCACAGACATGTGACCAATACAGGTACGATCATCCTCTTGCTTCATGTGCACATTTGAAGATTTAGTAATAAATGTTTAAACATTTAACGGTTAATCTATAAAAGTCGTCAGTAGTTTGATGTTTGCAGACACAAATTAAATAAAGATTAGAACTCCAGTTGTCACATGGAAAATTAAAAGGTTAAAAAACCTGACAGATCAAACAAACATGTTGTGTCCAGCAGGGGGCGCTGGTGTGGAGGCGATGTCCCGTGAAGCCGAAGGTCAGCAGGGGGCGGAGCAGCTTCCTGTGGTGGAGAAGTTCAGCAGCATTGGACGAAACAGTCTGGACATGTTTTCACCGGCGCGGGAAGGTCAGAGCTCTCCTGATGCGTTCACTGTCCCTCCAAGGAAAATACTTCCAAGTACTCACTGAAGGAACCCTGCTGTTAAATGAGAAGTCTGTTTTTAGTCTAGTTGGTTCAAAGATATGAGAGCACGTTTTTAATCTTGGAAAATCAAATGCTAAAGATCGTAAATCAAAGTTTAAAAATCTGGTGTCGAGACTCAATGAGAATCCTGATGTTTTACTGATGTACTGCTAACCTCACCGTCATTTAATCCATTGAATCTATGACGTCATGGATCCGTCTGTCGTTTAATTTCCCTCTTCTTGTTTGCTTCAGACTCCAGGACTCTCGGGACGCCCGGAGACACTCAGCTGGGGAGAACTCACGGTACGACAGAGCGCCTCTCTGAGCTCTGAGAACGACGCTGCTGCTTCTCCACTCAACTTCCATTTCTGTATTTTCTCAGTTTCCAGTTTGGAGATGTTCTCCAGAGAGGGGGAGGGACAGCCGGTCGTAGGTCGGGCCAGTCTGGACATCTTCTCCCCAGTCAGAGAAGGTCGGTCTGCCTCGCTGCACTGCTTTAAACCGGTTTAAACCGGTTTGAACCGGTGTGAAACAAACTGGTCTGGGGAACGCCATTAGACAGTCATGGTTCTGTTTATGTTTCAGACTCTTACTCCAGTGGGGGCGTGCACCGTAAGACCCCTCTGGGAACGCCCCTGGTAGCCTCAGCGGGGCGGTGCTACAGCCCGCTGTCCACCTTCCAGACTCCGCCCTCGATCAAAGAGGAGGAGCCAAACTTTGCGACCGCAGCAGCTGAACCATGTGACTCGAGGAAGGTGATTAACTCTAACTTGATACCAGTTTAAACTTTTATTCGATTCTAGGAAAATTACATTAAATCGTTACCATGGCAACAACAAATATAAATCCTAGACAACCCATATTTGGTCATTTTGTTTTTTTATGATGTGCGATGAAGACAAACTCCTGCGCTCTGTCTTAAATTGTACAAAAACGAAGATTGTATCGTTTTAAAACGTTTGGAATCGAAAGGTATTCTGGGTTTTGACCACCTGACCTCATAATGACCTTGAGAACATAACACTGGATGATGCAGAACAATAACAGCGTGACGTTGTTTTGATTCACAGTCCGAGAAAGCCAGCAGCTCCAGTCTGGAGGGGGAGGGTCTGACCCCGCCCACATCATCCCATCAAACCAATCAAAGCCAGCCGGGCCCGCCATTCTTCACCCCGGAGCCGAGCTTGAGGAGAGCCAACGGGATTTTAACTCAGCTGAGCTACGACTCACCTGTCCCCGGAGCCCCGCCCCCCACAGCCTCAGGTAACCAGTCAAAACGACGTCAAACAAATGAAGGTACAGGGATAATATCACAATGTCTCCAGTTAAGATAAATATGAAGCAGACTGAATCAACTGGAACACGTGTTGGGGTCGTAACCGGGATTTAACACGTGCCTCCAGATGTGTCTGCAGTGACCACCTGGGATCAGGTCTGTCGTTAGGAGGAGGTCTGGATCTAAACTCTCGAGGGGGGTTTCACAGAGTCTGTTTGTGCGTTCAGGTGCGGCTCTGTCTGCGGCCGTCTCCTCGTCTCTCTCTCAGAACATTGCAGAGGTGGTCGGTCAGGCAGGGGGAGGAGCTGCTCCTCTCACCTCGCTGCAGATCCACTTCATCCAGAACATGATCCACGAGACCCTGGAGGACTTCAGGTCTGCCTCTGAGCTTTAAATGATGAAGTCTGATGATCGTGGGCTGACTGATTAGTGTTTGTCTCTGTCATCCTCAGGGACGTCTGTCACAGAGACATCGTCAACCTGCAGGTGGAGATGGTGCGGCAGTTTTACATCCAGCTGGTAAATGTCACAGAATCTGTTTGAATAAAGAGAAGATCTGCAGCATCCAGTCGGATCCTTCTTATTTTATAAACTGCACACCCTGAGTGAGATATGTGACCATTAAGAAGTGCGTTCACGTGTTCTTCTGCTTGGTGTGTTTCAGAACGAGATCCACGGTCTGATCGAGAAATACTCGGTAAACGAGTCGCTGGTGGAGGAGATCGAGAAGCTGAAAGAGGAGAACCGCCGGCTGAGAACAAACTACTGACCCTCACAGCTGAACGGTTATGTTGCTGTGCGCGCTAAGTTCAGCCTTTCCGGCTCCGCCTCCTTCTGCATGCTCATATTAAGGACGATCCTGGGAGGGAGTTTGGATTCCTAACATGGAGCGAGAGTCTTTCTTCAAAATGCAGCCAAAGATTTTTAAAAACTGATAAACAGAGTGGCTGCCTCTCTGCGGTCTTTGACTGAACCACAGCGCCCCCTGCTGCTGTGGAGGACTGCAGCATCTCTGTGAGGTTGTGTTTTCTCGCTTTGAGATGAAATGTCCAAATGAGTGTAAAAATATTGAATTCTGTGTTTGACTTAACAAAATACTTTCAGATGGACATTTTGGAACATTTTCAGAAACTGTAACAATCATGTGTGTCAAGTTTTTATTAAAAAGAAGAAAAAGAGTATAAATGATAAAAAAAAAAAAAGATTCATACTGAAAATAAAACAGGAAATCGAGCAGGCGTATGTTTGTTTCATGAACACGATGACTTAATGTGTAACTCAAAGAAGATAAAATTCAAAACAACTTTGTCTTTTTTTAAAAACTTTATTTAAACATCACATTTACAATTTCACACAACTCAGGAGTGAGTGCGTACAGGGAGACATTCAAAATTAACAGCATATAAAACATAACAGATTAATAATTTGGTTGGGGGACAAAAAAGGAACAGAAATCAAAATAAGTCACCAGGCAATGATGTAACGTAAAAACAATAATGATGTCTCAACCTGAATTTCTTGTTTTTATTTTATTTAGATTGAAAAGGCACCTTGATTATTATTATTTTTTATTTAGATAAGAAGCGAGTCACACTAAACAATATTTAAAAATGTGTTATTTCGATTTAAAGGCAGCCTGATTCTCTTGTTTTTATTAAAAATTAAAATTAAAATGCGTCCCTGATTTTCATATTTATTGAGATTTACAAAAAAATATTTATTTATTAATTAAAATAATTATAATGCCTGATTTTATATCAGTTTATTTATTTTTGTTCATACCGAGATATTAGGCCGCTGGTGTTTATTTTTATTGAGATAATAAAAACAAAAAAACAGCCTGATTTTAAAATTCTGGATAAAAACAACCAGCCTTCTCTGTTCGGACAGGTGCGCATGCGCAGAGCAATACGTTTCCTGTTTTGGTAGCTCTCTCCTTAGCTTCTTCATAATACCTGTCACATTGAGCTCGTTTCACTCTTTTTTTAAAGCTCCGTTCAATGTCAGAGGTTCTGAAACAGACCCGAGAGTCCGGAAGTTTATCAGAACTGTCGAACCTGAAGGAGTTTGAGTTACTAATGTCGAGTTAGCTAAACTCGGCGAGTTATTAAAGCGGACTTTGAGCCGAAAGTTCAAAGAGCTGCTGAGCGGAGGTCACCTTACAGGTAAGATCACTTAAATCTGAATATTTACTAACCATTAACACTAATGCACTGAAGCCGAACTCTGTGTTTGAGTTTAATTTTACATTTTAGCTCGTTTTTACCATCAAACGTAAACAAGTAAACAGAAGAAGTCATGGTGCGTTCAATTTACCTCGGAACTCTTAAGTCGCTGCTAGCGATAGATATAACTTTTACACTATTATTTATGTGATCGTTTAAATAGCACTAAAACAAGACACTTTGTGTACAGCTTTAACTTAACTGTTGATGTACGTAGGAAAAGATGTATGACTTTAACTCAGAATACTGAATTTCCCCGAGTTTCCGAGTCGGGAGTTCCGATTTAAGGGGGCGTTCCTAATTACGTATCAGGCTGGCGATTCGACTTTTCTTTTTTCGAGATGAAATTGAACGCACCATTAGTCTTTAGTTCGTGCAGCTGCTTCACAGCGTTTAAATTCAGTTTTACTGGTATTTGTTATATTCACCTTGTTGGAAACACATCTCATCTCATAAGAAGGGGACAGAACTATGGAGGAGCAAGAGGGCAAAACGTGAGAAAACTTTATCTAAAAGTTCTTAAATTAAAGGATCAATCAGTGAGATGTGTAGTGAGTGAAATGATAAAGTGAGCTTACTATATGATCAGACATTAAGGAAACATGCTATGTTGAAGTGCTGGCTTCTCTGACAACAATGCAGCAGCCAGTATGTCCTCCTCCTAACTTTAGATTCTGGTCCTGAATGCTCTGGATTTGTTTGGACCAGAGAAGGTAGGCGGTTTTAAGGAACCCCCACACGGCCGTTTTGGACGCCCCTCGTATTGCCAGATATGAGACCAGTTATCAGGTCAAACCAACAGGTGTTGCAGAAATGGAAGCGGGTAAGAGAACTGGTTCAGATAGAAGTGATTGTACCCGACCTAAAAAGCCTCTGCATGTTTCTAATAAGCTCCACGAGCAGAAATGTGCTCAAACTAGGATCAATATTGGAGATGCTTTTGAAAAATGGAGAGAGGTTAGAACACAGAAAGGTTTACAGACCGATGCAGAGCTGGCTAAACACTGAAGCTTCAGTGTCCACCACATGGCAACCTGCGTGAGCATCAACTCGAGAGAGGAGGGGGCGGGGGGAGACAGCTCTGTTTAGAATTTGGATATTATGTGAGTGCCATTAGAGGGCCGGGGTAGCACTCTTCTGTCATCTTCCACCGCCATGATGCATATGTAAAGAAATTCCAGTGGTCTGGTTTTACAACACATGAACAAACCCCTGACCCCCGAGTGGCATGTCATTGACCATGGCGTACGCCATTGAACAGGAGTCGTGCTGCCCAAGCGGCACGCCACTTTACAATCTCACTGTCAGCCCTAAATGTGTTAAACAGAGAACGTGGGGTTAGTTTAAAAATAAAAGGGTCTTAATCTCAGTATTCGAGTGAACATTCTCCATGACCTTCCAGCAGCGCTGCGTCTCTGACTCGTTTCTATCACCACCTGAGGTCACGGTTGTTGTTCAGCTCCGTGACGATGGCAAACCCTCTGAGGGCTGAAGTCCTCCGCCTCTATAAAAATGTGAGTCTATAGATCTTCATTGGGAGTTAATCGAGGCAGCTGCTGAACCTGATTTGCTTTATTAATAAATGTGTTTGTTTCTCGGGGTTCTCCTCCACAGCTCCTCTACCTCGGGCGAGAGTATCCCAAAGGCGGCGACTACTTCAGGGACCGTCTGAGAGCTGCGTTCACTAAAAACAAGTCAGTCGACGACCCGGAGAAGATCAAAGAGATGATCGCTCGAGGGGAGTACGTGACCCGAGAGCTGGAGGCACTTTACTACCTGAGGAAGTACAGAGCCATGAAGCAACGCTACTATAACGACGAGTGACGACCACCAGAGACTCTGACTGACTGAAAGTCATATCCACTGTTATGTGTTCACGTCATGATTAATGAAAGCTTTTCTGTTAAACAGCGAGTCAGGACACAACGCCAAACGTAAGAGGAAAAAGTATTTTAATGAAATTTATCAGCAGACTGAAAATCTTTCTCTCCACATAAAAAAAAACTTAAGAACAGCAGCATCGAAGGTTTGATCCCTGAATTCAGTTCTGAGGTGAAACAATTAAATTAAAGTATAAAACACACGACTTGTCTTTCTTTGAACATCAACTCCAGTGAGAAGTGAATACTGCAGCGCCGACGCCGTCAGCTCTCAGGAGGAGGTCAGAGGTGTGGGGGGGCGAGGGAGTCACTGTCGGCCAGGTTAGCTCTGCAGATGGGACAGGTGGTGTTATCCTGAACGAGAGAAACACAGTCAGACTACAGCTGCAGACATTTACAACACTCGCCGTTCTCCTCAAATCAGGAACTTTTAAAAAAACAGATACGTGCTTAAAAAGATGAGATGCCCGACAGAGACAGACGCAGGTGACAGTAAATTAGTTAAAAATGTGCAGGCGTGGATCATGAAGAGTTATACTGCTCAGCGATGAAGATGAAATAAAAAGAGGAGCTACTTTTCGTTGCCGTCAGGAATGAAATGTGTATTCAGAGAATTCAGTGTGTGTGTGAGCTCTTACCTTTAACCATCGGTCTATACATGGCACGTGGTAGTCATGGAAACAGGGCAGCATCCTCAGCTTCTCCCCATCAGTGTAGTCACAGAAACAGATCTGACACCTGTCAATCAACCAGCAGAGCAGACAGAGACAGTTTAAATCCTGAAACTGAAGTAGCTGAAAGTACCCCGAGATCCTGGTCTGGGTCCAGGTTCAGGTTCAGGTCAGACGGGCTGGAGGACTCACTGAGTGTTCCCGCCGCTGTTAGCAGACTGGAAGGATTTGGTTGGAAACCTCTGGATCTCCCTCCGACTTAACTTCTTCGCCACGACGGCGCCCTGACGCTCCTCGAACGCCAGCAGAGCCTGAAACCAGAGCAGGTTTACATTTGTCCTTTAAGACCCGGAACATTGGTGGCGGTCGGCTCCGCCCCTTTCCTGACGAGTACCTCGTACAACCACACGTCAAACACACAACTCTCCCTTTAAGATGTGTTTACATTCCAGACTGCAGGACATAAAAAACCCCATCTCACCTCGTAGTCGTCTCCATGACGCCCATCTGAAAAATCAGGCAGACCGTTCCTTCTCCTGCCCCGCCCACGACTTCTGCGCTGGCCAATCAGACCTACAGAAAAAAAAAAAACAGCATATCAGTTCATCTGTTTCTCCTCCATCAGCAGCACGGGTCATCACTCTGTGTTTATGTTTCATCTTTAATGGCGGTCAGACATTTGCACTCTGGATGAAGATGAACATCAAACACGACAGTCTCAGAAAGTGCTGCAGCCTGCGGTCGAGGGGACAAACAGGGAGGCTTTTATTGTGAAGTAGCTACAGGAAGTTATTTCTCTCCAACCATCTTCCCAAACTGAGAAGGCAGAATAACATCCGCAATAACCGCTACGTTACCGGCACCCAAAAGAAATCAGTGGGTGTGAAAGTATCAGAGCTGTGTGTTTCTAATCTCACCGTCTTGAAAGCCAGCCAGAGGAGAGACAGCAGCCAGCAGGTTTGGCATCCAGCTGGACTCCATGTAGTGGTGGTACTGCACACAAAGGTTCCACTTCAGTTTCACAAATATTTTCATACGAGACAAAAAGAACGCTTCTCCTTTAAATGTGTAACAGAAAAAAAGAGTCAGTCTCACCCTGGGATGAAGATGCTGCTGATGATGATGAAGATGCTGCTGCTGCTGATGATGATGATGATGCTGCTGATAATGATGATGAAGACGTTGATGGTGGTGGTGGTGTCTGCTGTGTGTCTCCTCCTGGTCAAACTGGGCCTGAGAAGGTAAAGAGCATTGTGGGTAAATCTCACTCCCTGCACAGGTGAGCTGTTTGTGTCTGCAGGTGAAGGATCGTACCTGAAGGCTTCGAGCCATCGCCTCGTCTTCCTCCTCCTGCGCTGAGCGAACCACAGCCTCCTCATCGTCGCTGATGACGATCTCCTCCGGAGCTGCAGAACAAACACGCTAAACATTCAGACGAATAAACGAAACATGTGTCTCCCATCAGGACGGGACCTCAGTCAAGACGTTTAATGGCTGAATCATCTCCTGTCGATAATTTTAAGATCAATGTCACATCAAGGGTTCCTGGCAGCTAAAATGTGGAGCTGCACTCAGGTCTCACTGTGTCTGGTTGTGCTGCTCTCTTTTTGTACTCACCGTTAAAGACGGCTCTAACTCACTTATGAAATACAACTCAAACAAGCCTCTTGACAAACTAGTTTGGTGCATTTGGGGATGTATTTGTTGACGATATATAAAACAGTTTTAAGAACCGTTTCATTCTTGAGGTGTGAGTGAAGAGAGGATATTGTCTCTCCTGTGTCCTCCTCACCTGCTGAGGTGCCTCTTTGCTCGCCGTTCAGCCACCTCCTCTCCTCTGCAGTGAGGAAGGACAGACCGTCAGAGGCTGTTGCTGGAGAAGACACTGAGGACTGACTCTGAGCCAGCCTCTGACGGAGAGGAGCAGGACTCTCTCCTGCTGTGCTGCCCGCCACACTCAAATTTGCCTCCTTCTCTGATACTGGTGTGAGGTAGGACGTGGACGAGGACGTGGACGAAGAGGACGAAGAGGACGACGAGGTTGCTGTGGACAGCGGAGCCTCCAGCCAGCTGCCCAAAGGAAAGGACATCAGAGACGAAGCTGTAACAAACCCGACGCTCTGCTCTCCCATCGCTGCCGCCAGACGCCTGCGTTTGGATTTATGTGAAAACCCTTGTTCACTACTGGTGGAAACTTCTGGAGCGCCGCTGAGAGCCACCTGGAGACAGATAGAGCCGTCAGTAAACACCGGACGATAACGCTGAGAGTAACATCTGTCCCAGCTGTAGCACGCTCACTTACAGGACTGAAAGGTTCCTCTGTGCGGCAAGCACGTCTCCTCCGTTTACCGAGCTGTGGGCTGAGACAAACACATTCTTTAATACAGCAAACAAACAGAATCGTCCGACACTATTCAGGTCACAATATTTGGAGCCTTGGATTCTCTTTTTGTTGCCGTGGCATCAAAACAGATATCTTTGAATCATATTAAAATGTTAAACCCCGGTACCATGACAACGGTCCCCTCTCCGTATCGCTACCATCCACTTTACAAACTCATATTTCTGTTTTTATCGACACATTTAAAACATTGAGGTAAAAATATCCAGACCCTGTGTTGTGGTTTTACTTGAAAACATACAAGAATTTAAATTGTACTTGGGTTGCCATGACTACAGCAATTAAACGAAGAAGGGGAGTCTGCGCTACAGCTGACAAACCGGTGTGAAACAGATCACAGCGTGGAGGAAAACTTCTGAAGACAGTGTCAACAGCTCGGAGCAAACACACCGACCTTTTGACACAGCCGGGGTCTTCTTCAGAGTCAACAGACAACAATGCATGAACACAACTTTAAATAGTCTGTCCTCACGTTACTGCCGTTCTCCTTCTCTCATTGGGGGAATATTAAAAACTGCCGAATTGACCGTGTGCTCCAGAAGTTTCCCTTCATACCAGAATTGTAATTCTCGTAGAAATCAAACCATAAAGATACCCTCTTCAATGCCACAGCAACAAAAGAAGAAATCCTAGACGCCCAATGTTGGTAAGTTATTGTTTTAAAACACTAAAGACGGCAGGCAAAGTCCTGCACACGGTTTAGATATCAAAAAACAAAACATTGCTGATGTACTTGTGCAATTCAGACAGTTTGCCTGCTCTTTTTGATTGATTGTACAGATAGACAACAGGTGTATATATTTATAAAGCATGCAGTTGTGTTACCTGGGTGTTTCAGGGACCATGACCGACAGATCATGGTACAGGACATCAGCCGGGTCCAGAAGGCAGCCGCGGTTCATCACTCCAGGACTGTCGGGCTCAGACGAGCTGCCTGCAAACGACTCATCCATGACCTCTTCCTGAACACTGAGGCACACCTGGATGGATCCCCTGCAGTAAGACACACCTGGATGGATCCCCTGCACTGGGACACACCTGGATGGATCCCCTGCAGTAAGACACACCTGGATCCCCTCTGTTTACCTGCTCAGATCCAGTCTCGTGACATAAAGATACATAAGACAGTCCACCTGAGAAAGGAAGTAATTAATTAGCTCAATTACCCATCAACCAAATTCATCCTCATACTAAACGTGTTCTTTAAATCTACATTTAACAGAGTACATCAATAATAAAAACATTAAAAAAAACAGCTTATAAAGCAAATCACAGAAATGATCGGTGATTTTACCGGGAAATATGTGAATACAAACACAACAGCGTATTAGCAGCGTTAGCACAGAGAGCTAACAAAAGTAGCTTACGTTAAACACACTCGACAGTTATCGGAGTAAAAATCAATTAGACTTCACAGCCGACACTGAAAACTTTATAACAAACTGTATAAAAGTTCACTTTACCGTGATATAGTACGATGTTTTCCCTTTTACAACACACGATCTGTTGTGAAACTAACGTTAGTCACCCCGGCTCCCCCTTCTTCTTTGGTGTGTTTGGCGGGTGGTAAACCAGCGCGAGGTGCACTAGCGCCACCTAACGGACCGGGAGAGTGGCGCAGCAGAGTGGCAGACAAAAAAACAACATAAACTAACTTCAAAATTAGTATAATTTTCCCAATATTTCCGAAAAAAAGATACTGAAATATATAAAATATATATGTATAATGTTATTACATTTAAGTTTAATTTTATTCTACATGATAAAACACAAAAATACTGCAGAGAGAAGCAGAAAACAGAACATTAACAGAAAATAAAATGACCTAGGTAGATATGAAAAACATTAAGAGCTGCAAATAATACTCTGAATTGACCAATTAACCAAGTATAAGATAATTTTATAAATAATCAACTGAATAATAAAAACACGTATAAACCACATTTTAATGAGTTCATTAGACTGCAGGGGTGCGTTCGAATTGTCCCTCCTATCTCCTTTCACTATCCACTTTACCTTAACCCTGGAAGCGTTTAAGTGGCAGCCATGATAAGAGCCGTTCAAATTCTCTAAAAGTTAAGGAAAGGTGGGTCAATGCTTCCTTTATAACCTCCTTTAGCATAGGATACACTGGACCATCCTTTACGAAAGGAGATGAGATATACCGCCCCACAATTCCTTTCGGCCGCAACATTTAAAGCGAGTCGTGCATCCTACTGTTCACGAAAATGAACTTTGACCGTAAAGTGACGCAGATCATGTAAGGGATAAAAAGATAAGAGACATTTTTAGCCAGATGATTCAACATATTTCATTCACTTAAGAATGCTTTGTGCAGTTGTACATTTGTATGCTTAAAATATTATGTGTAGGCTATATCTTACATTAATGTAACAATTAATTTCATACAATCATATTTATTTTGATGTTGATTTATGAGTGGACAGGAAGGTGAAGGTTTCACTTTTGTTACTTGTAGCCTTTTATTTCAATCCCAACCTTGTGGTGATTAGGATTATTTCACCAGTAAGAAGGCACAGGGGAAAGTTTTTTAGATGCGTTTTTTGTAGTCCATTTTTGGAACATTGTAGTTTCAACATGGTGGACCCACTTCATTAACCTCCGCCGGCCAGACGCATTTAATGACGTCGCCTAGTGGAAAATGCGGTCGGATTGTCAGAGCAACGAGATCGCCTTTCCGTAAGTCCTTTATGAATTCTCCTAACATCTTTCCTTAACCTCATGAAGTTTTCCCCGGGGTTAAGGTAAAGTGGATAGTGAAAGGCAATAGGAGGGACAATTCGAACGCACCCTAACTTTCAGTCAACCTAAAGACAGGCTGAGAGCTGGAGCTGAGGCGGGTTTTAAGAATCCTGACAAACCGTTACGCAGCACCCGCCTGTCAATCAGGTCAGCTACACGCCTTATTGTGAATAACTCTTATCCTTCATCAAATCAAAACTGATGAGTCATCAAAACATTCACCCCCCCGTACAGTGTGCCGCCCACAACACTGTCAGAAAGGCTAGACATCTGACAGCAGGCGCGGCTGTGGCTCAGTGATCCCCAGCTCGTACAGCGACATGTCCAATGTGTCACATTAAAAACCTAACCAATAGAAGCAGCAGTTAAGTTATAACTGTGTTCTGCAAGGAAGAATGAATACATTTTTGTGAACAGAGTCTGGTGACTTTGAAGGGAGATCCAGGTAGGCTTGAAATGTAAAGCCCTGTGTCCACCTAGCATTTTTTTTTTCAGGCTGTGCGCACTGAGAATTAGTGTTGTAGTACGCAAGACCAGTCCCAAGACCACTTTTTGAAGGTCTTGGTCTCATCTCGGAATTTGCCCTGACTTGGTCTTGACCTCCTGCTGCTGCATCACTCTCTCCACATTGGAAATAATAGAAAATATGCTTTGTGGACACGGGGACTAACAACACACTAAATCTTAATCAAATCTTTACTCTTTGATGGAATATAAAACGTTGACATGAAGGACCAATTGGAGCCGTACAAAAAGAGTTGTTTGTTTATTCATATTTTTCTCAAAAGGTGATTTCACAGGTTTAGAAACATGACCAGGATTATTTTAATCTTTTGTTTTACATCAAATAATTCAGACGAAGATAAAGAAGATATCTGTTGTTGAATGAAACTTTTTAAACGTTTGTTGTAGCGTTTACAAGCAGTCCAGACTTTATGAGACGTGAGCGTCTAACCCTAACCCCTGTCTCTCTGAATAAAACTAAAACAAACTGTAAGAGACAGAACAGTCAGCTGTAATAAATTAATTCAACTGGTAAAAAAAAACAAGTTACAGAAATCCCAAACTCTGTAACAGAACACAGAACAAAGTCACAGCGTATCACCATGACAACACGAGACGTTTACAACAAGAGAACCTGTGGTAAATTATCCAGAATGCATCGTTAAAGTGGAGGCTACCTCTTCGCAGTCAACTAGAACAGCATGGACTGCAGAGACTTACGGACCGTGGCCATTTCCTGCTGTTGCTGTGGAAACAAGTCAGAGTAATCATAAGCTTCTGACTTCACATCCTGTTCCAAAAAAAAAAACTGAAAAAACTTTAAATATATACATAACAGTGTTTACCCTAGGTTTACAGCATTGGGGGGGGGGGGGGGTGGTAGGGGAAAACACTGATATATATATATATTTCCCCCATTTAGTGTTTAAGTGTCTTTCAAGTTTCCGGAGAAATGTCGGGGTTAACATCCTGACACGTGATCTTCTGGATTTAAGGAGGTTCAGGTTTCTGACAGAATGATGTCTTCATGTGCTCCTCAGAAATATCGTATTTATCGTATACAAGAGTTATGAGCACATTCAGTAACGGCGTCACAAGATTAAGGTTTGTTGACAGTTATTCGTCGGGTCAGGTTACGCCAATGGCAACGTCAGACCAGTAGCATCCTGGGAGAAAAACGCTGCACGCCGTAAACAAACAAACAAACAGCAGCCTTAAGCTTTCCGTCTCAGAAATACCGCCATTATTTTTCTCTTTCGCTCAAGTTAAACGACAAAAATATAGCGGTGAGTTGTCGTCTGTGTGCAGGACGTCAAACACCTCTCACAAGAGCGAAGCACCGAGCTAAACAACGACACGCGTCTACTAAACTAACTGTCAGGGAGCGCGGCATTGCAGAACTCGGTGACCCTGGTACAGCTCACGGACCGAGGAGGAGACACTCCTCACAAACAGCCGTCCACGATGTGTAAGCTGGACTTGCTTCATCGACGGTTGAGTCTGTTGCCTTCAGAGATCTGATCGGTAAAATACCTTCACCTTGTCGCAGCACCGTTCTGCCACAGCGACACTAAATAATGTGAACACTAATAACTGTAACTAGTTAACAGTAACATGTCCGACACTGCTGACTAGCGTCCATGTTTGTTGCTGTTTTCCGACCAGAGAACGTGAATGCGTGTATGTCGTCATCACGATTGCACAACAGGGAAGTATGATGTTTCCGAGGAGCAGCATAAACTCTAAAGGTTATTTTGTCCCACTTGTCCGGTAACGTATTCACTGCTGCAACAACTCCTGTCAAGGTAAACATCAGGTGTGCACTCACTGTGTCCATGAGGATCTTCTTCTGCAGGGTGGCCATCTCCTTCTTCAGCTCTTGTTGCGCCCCCTGCAGGAAAGCGTCGTGGCTCTTCTCCATATCCTCCATGTTCTGTGGAAAATCAAGAATGGCCTTCAGTTTCAGGCGTTTCCTTCACTCATTTCTGGTTGTTTACTAATCAGTCTGTTTAACTGTTAACGCTTATCTTTTTTTGCAATGAAAAACACGGCAATGAGAAACTGTCTCCAATATTCTTAATTGTCCTGCGAGGTGCAAGCGTGACACCAGAAAAACTCTATGTCGGTGTGAAGCTTATTGGAGGCCTTGGAGGTGTTGTGTTTGTATCTGTTATCTCATGATTTAGAAGAATATAACATAATGTACTGACCATAACAAACTGCTCGTACAGCTGTCTGACAGTCTTTAGTTTCTGGTTCTGAACAACTCGAGCCTGCTGCATGATCTTCTGCTGCTGTCTGAAAAGATTCTGCAGAGAGAGGAACCACTGCTGATTAACATCTGCTCTCTTAACGTCGTTCAGAATCATTAATAAATTCAACTATCAGTGTAGCGTTGTCATGCTACCAGATACTAGTAAAAGTCCAACGATAGTGATAACTGTTTTAATACCACAGCAACAAAAAAAATAACCTCCTGGGTACCAACACTGGTTAATTTGTTATTTCTGATGTTCAACCTGCAAATAAGAAAAAGTCACTGAACACAGACACAAATTGGATGGACTGTTTATAGCAATAAGAGCCAAAATAAATAAAGGCAGAGTTGTCTGAGTTGTCATGAATAATCCAGAAGACGTGTCTGCAGTGATTCTGCTCTTTGTCTATTTTCTAACCTTCTGATTGAAGACATTTTATGAGCTTCAGCGTTTGAGTATTGATGTGACGCTCACAGTCAACAGTCGGCAGGTCAGGACTTAAAGCAAACATAAAGGTACCAGGTGACATCGCTGTCTCCTCTCCTCTGCTCTCTGCAACAGACTCTAACATAACATGAGCATCTTTAAGAAAGTTAAAAGCTGAGGGTATTCGCTGACAGGTGAATTTAAGTTAGCTTGTCTCTGACAGATGGCGGCGCAGAGACACATGGCATCAGAAAGGAGCACGACTTCATTAGCAACCAAACAATGCTCTTTCCTTCACGTTTATTTTGGAGGTGTTGACGTGTTTGTTGACGTGATTCTTCAGAGAGTAATCGCTTTAAAACAATCAGAAAATAACGTCTTATTTCTCTGTATCATGATTTTTATATATATGATTATCATGTTCTCTTTCTCCCTCTGTAGCTGTGGATTGTGGATTCCTTCTCGATTTTACAACTGTTGTTTGTTTCTTTCAGAACTTTTGGACTTTTGGGTACAATTGGACATAATAATCTTGGCTATTGAATCGTTTAAAAGCACAAGGATTTAGAAATATCAGAGTATTGAACATTGTGACAATCTTATGACACCTTTACAGTTTGTTACATAATAAGAATCGATCTTAGCTCTGTAATGACTAAATGTTATTCATAATTGGTCACTATGAACAGTTTGAATAATAATAAAAGGAAACAAACTCTCACAGCAAAAAAGACCTGAGACGATATTTTCTTTTCTTTTCTTATATACTCCTTTTGCACCAAAGTGAACCAGTGGCTGCTTCTGGCTGGAGCTTGTTCAGAGCTGGTTCAACTTGCGCGCCGTCTAAGAACCGGTTTGCTTTTCCACGGGTAAGGGCTTCAAAAACCCATTATTAAAGTCATTACGTCACTGAATACGTGCTTCTATTTTAGTCAAGATGGCCCGCCCCTAACCCCTGACGTGAGCCGTTCTTTCTTGTAGACTAGCAGGGCGTTGGTGGTGTTACTCTTGAACTGACGTTTTGTCCCATAGCCAGTTCTTTGGCTGTCGAAACACAAAGAACTGGTGCTAGATTAGGCACTGGTTTCTAACCAGCCCTGAAACTGACTCGTTGGAAAAGATGGAACAGAGGATCAAACCTGCAGCTCAATCCAACCAATCAATAAAGAAGAGAACTAACATTGAGCTTCTCCTCCTGCTCCTCGGCTCGCTGGGCTTCAGTCTCCCACTGCTGCAGCGCCGTGGACACCTGCTGAGAGTACTGCTGAGTCATCTTCTGCCTGCACATACACATTTTAAACATCATAATTTATGACATCTCGATTTAAAACCACAAAGTAAAAAACACTATTATCAGAAAAAGTTGCATTTAAAATTGACCTGAAGCAAAAGTACAAAGATAACCGCCCCCCAGTAGATATAAAGTAACAGAAGTAGAATTACTCCAGCAGAATAATTTACGTTTATTGGTTGTTTTATTGGCTGTATTTTGTGTTGTGCTCTAACTGTTATTTGTTCAATGTCTAGGCCCTCTTCTAAAAGCTTTCCCTTTATATTAAAACTCATTACCTTCTGATGTTGTAAATGTCAGTAGTGTTGTGATGTCTTCACATCTTTTCACCTTCATTAGAGACTTTATTTCCTACTTATGCCGACAGTGTCAGCAGGTTTTTATATTTCTGGTGTTCCTGAAATGACATGACAGAGACAAACCGAACCTTTGTGTGTGGTAGGTGTTCCACAGCTGCTCCAGTTTGTGTTGGCTTCCCTTCATGTAGTTCTTTGTCAGAGACTCCAGACGTTTCTTTTTGGACTGCATCACTTTACTGATATCAGCTGGAAGCAGAAAACACAAAACTGCTGACATTTCTGTTTCACTACGAGCTGGATATATTCACATTTATGAGAATAATAATCGTGACTATGATACAGGTGTATTGTATTATAATACCAAACAGTGCTATTTCTTATATTTAACAGCAAGTTAACACCAACATGTGAATACTATTTCGTAACACATACAGTTGAGAAGAGTATTATGAAAAATGAAGGAGTTTAAGTATTTCCATGTCTTGTTCACAGTTTGGGTGAGATCGGCCGTGAGATTGGCTCAGCGTCAGCAGTACTATGGGCGTTGTACTGAACCGTTGTGGTGAAGAGGGAGCTGAGCCTGAAAGCGAAGATGTCGGTCATGAGCCTTTGGTAGAGACTGAAAGAATAAGGTCGCGGATACAAGCGACCAAAATTAGTTTCATGTGGAGGGTGTCAGAGCTCAGCATTAGAGACAGAGTGAGGAGCTCAGACATCCGGAGGGAGCTCGGAGTAGAGCTGCTGCTACTTCACATCGAAAGGAGCCAGTTGAGGTGGTTCAAGCATCTGATGAGGATGCCTCCTGGACACCTTCCCTAGGGAGATTTTCCGGGCTCGCCCAACTGTTAGGAGACCCCGAGGTAATTCCGCCTGGCCTGGGAACGCTTCAGAATCCCCAAGGAGGAGCGGGAAAAGGTTGATAGGGAGAGGGGTGTCTGGGTTGACTTACTTCACCTGTTGCCACCTTGACCCGACCTCGACCAGAAGCACGGGAAGTCAAATACACACCCATCAAAAAGCCAGTTTTTACAGCAGAAATTAACATGTTTTCAGTCTGGTTAAAAAAAAAAAAAACAGGTCTTATTAGCTCACATGCTGTACTGGGGTGAATCTTTTGATGGTTAATCCGTTTTTATTTGATGGGCTTCGACCAACTAATATTTACAGTATTTACACCTGTGTATTCTTGACTGCTGTCTTGCATTGTAAAAAAAAAACAAATAAGTGTTTTTAAAAGCAAGTACTTGAGTACTTTCACTTTTATTGAAGTTATATAGGCCCAGGAGGATTATCTATACTTTGATTAAAGTAATAAGGTTGCATACTTTAACAGACACCTGCAGATATCTTACCTCCAAAGCGCTCCAACATGGACTGAACTTCATTGCTGCAAGTGTGGAAAGAGAAAAGGTTGATCACATTTATCATTAGGTCCAATAACACTTAGATATCTGTAATAAAGCATTCATATTTCATACCCCACAGCACATGCAGCCCCCTCCTCTTCAAAGTCAGCTGCAGGTCTCTTCTTGGCCATCTTGTCCACTATTGGAGTTTCATCTTTAAAACAGTCAGGAATTATAATTTAAACATTATGTAAATGCGTCACAGACTAACACCAGCTGATTGTAAAGTTAACATCTGTCACCTTCTCTGGCTTCATCCTCTGAAGCGCTCAGCTCTTTCTTTTTATCCTCTTCAGTAAAATCAAACACTTTCTTATCTGATTTCTCCTCCGGGTGTTTTTTCTTCATTTGTTTTCGTGCTGAAGCCATTTTAAAATCTAGTCTGTCGATTAAAAGTAGATTAAAAGGCAGCCACCTTTACCTTTAAATCAAGAGATTGCTCCCAGGTTAACGGTGCTAGCCTTAGCTTCGGCTACTTACTAATAGCCATAGTTAATTTTTGAAAAAGGAAAGTTATAAACAAATTCACACGACTTATTTTCAACTAAAGATCGTAGTTAACCGGTCCTGAGTAACGACCCCTAATTTAAGTTACTCTATTAGTGAGACTAAAACCAAAAAGAGAAATTAACCGTGAGAGAGAGACAGTTCAGCTAACTCAGCTAGGCTAGCGTCGTCGGAGTTCGCTTGGATTCCCGCCAAAAACAGACGGAGGGGTGTTATGTCGAGATGTGCTGCCGTGTCGAAAAAATGCTACAATTGGGCAAAAAAACGATAATCCTGTATAAAAAATTCTACTAATACAAACTAACTCTATCATTAATTCATTACTATCCTCATATGCATTATCGGAGTATGGGGAGCAAGTTTTGGTACTTTTGATTGAAGATTTTAGGGTTTGCATATCCCGATGGAAAATAATCTTCAATCAAATAATGCTCCCAGTACAGAATCACTTTAGAACACCACAACGTGCTGCATTTTGCTATGAAATGAGGCGGGAAGTATGTTTTTATACTCTCTAATAAAACCTTTATTCAAGATTTTAGAGTAAGCATTTCGCCAGAGCACCATCTAAATGGGTAGCACTTTTCGATAGCACACCCTGCGTTTTTTTCGTCAGTTCCTAATTTTTAAGATCCGTTACCAAGGCAACAAGCGGGATACTACCGGATACTGCGCAAGAGAAATATTTTAAATCAAGTAGGAAATATAATTATTATTAATATTACTATTAATTATTGTGCTTTATTAAAATTATGAGAACATAATCAGAAAAACGTATAGTGTCAAAGAAAAAAATGTCATCTGTGATTCTTCAACTAAATTAATTTATAATATTTTATTTGTTCGGCTCATTATATTGTTCAAATTATTATATTATTATTATTATTATTATTACACATGCATTGATGATAAAACTAAATTCATGACTATTGGAAATCAAAAGGAAATTGATGAGAATTATTAAAAATGTGTTAATATTGAAAGAGGACTTTTGGACACAACAAAAAAATAATGCTAAATACACGCAAAAGGTTTCAAAATAAAACGGAGTGCACTTCCGGTTTAGGGGTTCATCTATTATAAACTCTTACGGGAATGCTCGCAAAATACTCCGATACAAAATTGGGAACTCTCCAAATTTTTAAAGTCAACAATCAATCCTGTATAAATCGAGAAATATAAGGCCTTCCATAAAATCAGTTTCTGATGGTCTCTTTACTCAGCAGCCTCTACCATCAGTGCGTGAATGTTTAGGTGTGACCTGCGGTGTGAAAGCGTTTCGAGTCGTCAGAAGACCAGATAAGAACGATACAAGACCCTACAGACTGAGCTTCTGCTGCAATGAAGACTGAATATATAATACTCATACTCCCATTAAAACCATATTTATTATTTTAATGGTTTAGTAGGAACGTATGTTGAACTTGTTTTGAATAGTATTATAAATGATTCTTTAATTGGTTCAGTTTTGGTTTGTTGACATCCTGAAAACAGTGAGAAATGTCTTAGTAATAACCTCAGGCCCAAAGTGAAACCCTCACAATCCTTTCACCCTTTTCAAACTAAAAGTCCAAACCTCTAAATTATCACAAATAAACAAATTATTCAAAGGGATAAACGTCCTTCATATGTGAAGCTTACAGACGATGAGAAAGTCTTGCCTGATTTTTATTTATGTTCATCTTCTCTCTGTATGTTTTGTTTGATTACTTTATATTTTGTAACTGAGTGTTTTAAAAGTGCTCTATGGATAAAGTTCGACTCACTTCCTGACTTAAAGATGGTAAAAGAAATGTTTTCAGCCCACCATGTTTTCTGGCTCCGCCCTTTTTATCAGGTCAGAAAAACAATCAACACATTCACATTTATAAAATCATAAAACAGCTGTAGAAAAAACATAATTTTTCATTCACTTCCTGTCCGTCCTGAAAGTGAGACACAAACAGCTGTGGAGCGTAATGTCTCAGATTCTGTGCGTCTTCCTGAGGATGCTGAAGACTCTGCAGCGGTCAGATGTCAAACTTGTCCTCACAGATACAGTGTCCGTTCTCTTCATAGTCCTCTCGAGTCACAACGATCTCATCGTAGTCCGGACTGTGAGCCAGCAGCTTCCCTCCTTCCCACGCGTACGTGATGGGGCTACAGGACGAGATGGTTGACACGATTAATGACAACATGGTGTTAATATTAGAGCCAATAACAGACGAGATGTCACCTTCAAACCTGAACGAGCCGTTTAAACCGGTCACATACGTTTAGATGTAAAGCTCAGATTGATGCCTAGAGCTTTAATTAAATAAATGAATACATTATAATCATCATAAATACTTGTTTTTATAGTCATGAGTCCAAGTTTCTGTATATGAGACTAGTGTTCATCCACAGTGATGGAGGGCCTGGTCACGGTCAGGAATCTTACTTTTCAGGCAGCAGCACTGACACAGGGAGGTGGGCAGGGGCGAGTGATCGTAGCTCCGCCTCCAGGCGCTCTCTGAAGCCGGGAAACAGAGTGTTCCCTCCGGTCAGGACGATGTTCTGGTAGAAATGAGGCTGCATCTCTGCTTGCAGAAAAACATAAGAGAAAACATTAAGTTAGATCTCAAATTGTTCTTAATGTAAGGAGAGGGTGTAAAGGTAAGTCTCAGTGTCTCTCTTGACATGAGGCGCTGTGCTCCGTATGTGGTCTGACCTTCTGGTAGGGACTGGATGGAGTCCACAATGGCCTCGGGGATGCCCATCTCCTGGATGCCGATGTCTGACGGGTGGAAGAGCATCTCGGGGACAGCAAAGCGCTCGTTGACCAACCTCAAGATCTGCTCTCCTGTTTTGTACTTTCCACTGAGGATCATCTCCTCTCGAGGCTGCAGGACGCAAAGAGAAGAGAGGAAGAATGATAACGATGAAGACCTGTCACTCTAAAGTAACAACACATAAATATTCTCATCATGTTTTATCACCTTGCAGAAGCCTTTTTTAATGGAGCTAAAATCAGGAAGAACGTAATCCCTCATCACAGAGTTGTCCTCTCCCTTCGACCTAAAAACAGATCACACACGTAAAAAACAGAACTTCCTAAAAACACTTTAAGTCACTGACACGTTCAGCAGACGCCATGACGAGAGAGACGTTTATAAAACGGTCATATTGGAAATGGGATGATTATAAGGAACTATATAATCCACAGCAGCAGGATAGAATATTTTGCCTGCTCCACTTTTCAGAAAATGTGTGCTCAAACAGGCCGTTTCGAGATTCTCCCTTCATGACATCACAAAGGGCGAGTAGCCCCTCCCCCAGGTGGGTGACACTCCCACAGCTAGGTGTTTGTTCTGCCCTCTGAGTCTGCCTTCTCATCGTAAACAATAGGACATGGAGCGAGAAAGCCCGAGACACTCAAGCCCTTCCAGAGAGGGGGCGTGGTCAGACACAGCTCATTTACATTTAAAGTTACAGACACAGAAACAGCCTGTTCTGAGCAGGGCTGAAATAGAGGGGTTTATAAGCATGATCAAATACAGGATCAGAGTGGATTTAGAACAAGACACTTCACACACATGTTTTGAGGAGCTCTGAGACTTATTTACACTGGTTGAAGAGGAGAATATGTGACCTTTAAACGTGTGATCAGCCCGGCGTGTGGTGTGTGTGTGTGTGTGTGTGTGTGTGTGTGTGTGTGTGTGTGTGTGTGTGTGTGTGTGTGTGTGTGTGTGTTTATTCCGTGTGCTCACTGTGCAATCTCCATGTCTTTGTAAAACTCCTGCGACACGTAGCAGACGTCTTCTTTCACTTGGTTGATGACGTGAGTTTCATCCATGACATGAAGCTGCCTGGGAGGAACACAGAGATTATTTTATTATTATTCTATTCGACTTCATGACAACAATAATACTTTTGAGCCTATAAGACTGAAAACTCACCGATATGAGATGATCTCCTTCAGGTGATTCGTCAGCAGCTTTCCTCCCACATTGATCCTTTCAGGTGCCGGAGGCAGAAAGCACGTCAGTCATTTGTTGGTGTAAATAATATTTTAACTGTTGCAGGTTTATTTAAAGTGTTGTTGGCGCCGTCTTCTTACCTGCGGATGCCGTCGTTCATCTTCTTGCTGCGGCAGTAGGGGGCGATGTGGGTGAAGGAGAAGCCGCTGTCGACCACCAAGCAGCAGATCTCCGATCGTTTGGAGTGGAAGAAGCGATGAGCGCTGAGAGATCCGGCTGGAGAACATAGAAAACATCAATCATAACGATAACTTCTACAGTAAAGCTTCAAATCAAAGACGATCCAAATGAAACGCAGGCTCTCTTTTACTAACTGGACACAGATCTGAGGCTTACGACCAACTTAAAGTTACACCCTGTGCACCAGCTGGACTAATGCTGCATTCATGTGGTGTCGGACACATTGGCGAAACGAGTTTCCGAGTTGTAAAATGCACATGAACACCTGCTCAAGTCGGAACAACAACTCAGAAAAGAATGAGGGGCCCGGACTTCCTGACTTGACGTCAGAATCATGGGGGCAAAATATGTTTTGTTAATGTTAATGTACTTTTTATTAATTCAAGTATTGAACATCAACTTTTTGCTCAAATATCACTTGTAACAGAGACATTTCACTGATCTTCTTCTACGTAGCATCAGTGCTGTTTTTTGCTGCTGTTACAACATTCCGACTTTCCGAACTGAAATCACGTGAACACACTGAAGTTTGACTTCCAAACTCGGAAACTTGGAGCACCCGAGCAGCACCTGAATGCAGCATTAAACCCTGTCTGATTTGACGTCACATCGAACCGTAAGAAGACCCCCGAGCAGAAAGTGACGTCTCACCATTTATTCTGAGAGCCGACTGGAACTGGTACTCCTCAAACAGGATCTCGTTCATGGACTCCTGGATGGAGGAGAAGTTGAAGTACGGCTCCGTGATGATGATGCTGGTGTCTGCAAAGTCCACCTGCACCAGAAAAACACAAAACATCAATTTAGTTAGGAGACACCGAAGTTTAGAGAGTCCGTCCTGTCAGGTGAGCGACTTAGCTCCACTGGAACCGGCAGCTCCTGACTCTGGAGAACAACTCACTCCACCAGCTGATCGGACGGGGAAATAAACACATCCACCAGGAGATTGTGCCGACGTGACTCTACCAGAACTGTAGATGATTGTGGGTGTGGGTGACGGAGGACACCATGAATGGAGGTATGAGTCAACTAACAGGTGTGCAGTAATGTGATTCTGACGCTGCAGGCGCTACAACTCAAGTTACGTTCCATATCAAAGAAAAAAAAAGGAGGAAACTTTAAACCTTCATCTACGGCCGTGTTTTAAAACGTCACTCTCTCCGTTATGTCAAAGATCTTTGTGTCAAAACGTCCTGAAGCTTCAAAATAAATCTGCAGATCTTCATAGTTTGAACAAAAAGCTGCTACTGATGTTTTATTTTTTTTAATCTTCTAGGATCGTCTTAATGTTTAAAATCCTGGTATCATGACCGACCTACCTTAAACATCTCCTTTCCAAACAGATGATCCCACACTTTCCTCTGGACGTCCCAGTTGACCAAATAACCCTGAAGAGGAAGAAAAAGAAACCATTAAAGACCAGATCCCTCCACAACGCTGCAGCCTCCTCCTCTCCCTCTCTCACCTTCTGATAGGGCAGGATGTAGAAGAGCCCTGACGGATCTTTGATCTCATCCAGCTGATTGGCTGTGAAGGTTTTTAATCGGGATGTCTTGGAGCGAAACTGACAGTTTGGGATGACACTGTGAGAGAAACAGAAACGGTCACATAGAGAAACCTTCACTACGGTATAAACAAAGTATTGTTTTAGCTTTAGAAACTAGCTCAGGTATCAATCTGTTTCAAATTAGTTTTTATGATCTATCTATAGGAGAGAAAAAAGAAACAGGAAAATAGAGGAAGGGTTAATTTTGATGAACGCTGGTTTGAAGGGCAACAGACCCTAGAATCACCACTGGCTGCAGGACGGGATGGCGTGAGGTCTCCAGGCTGCAGCCAAACCATTTTATAGTCTATGAGCAGAACTCACTTATAATCTGTGATGTTATTCCTCGGAGGTGTGTTGAGGTACGGCACATTAATACAAAGCTGATAATTGAAGTTAGTGTCTTTAATGGTCTGCCGAATTTCAGTTTAAGCCCTAAATACTCAGATTTGATGTAAAGTTGTTTTCTTTCTTGCAGTTTTGTTGTTTAAAAAACCTTTAAACGGTAAAAATCGTGTTTTTTTACATTGAGTTTGACGGCAGGTTCTCCGAGGGCAGCTGTCTGTGCCTCCTCAGTTACATTAATGTATTTTATATTCATAAAACCATAGACTGCATATAACAGAGCGATACGTCTGAACTGTTTCTATTGATAAATTATTATTTAAATCTTTAATTTCAGCTACCTCGCTAACATTTCTCCACCTACCTGACTTTCTCCTGGCCGTATCCAATCTTCGCCGTGTACGCCCCGTTATCCAGAACTAACGTGGCCATTTTAGATCCTGTACAGACCACATTAACGTCTGATTTATTTATATATTTACTTTATTTATTTACTGAAAGGTATTCCTCTGTTTAGGAAACAGAAGAGGTTCGTGGTAACAAAAACCCTCCGCCATTAAAACTTCTTTACCTCGCTCCACCAATCAGAATGTTCTTTTATTATTGCTGCGTTCAGGTGCTGCTCGGGTGATCCCAAGATCCAAGTTTCCGAGTTGGGAAGTCGTTCTTCCGACTTCAGCGTGTTCACGTGATTTCAGTTCGGAAAGTCGGTATGTTGTAACATCAGCTAAAAAAAAAAATGCTTTGATGCTCCGAAGAAGATCAGTTAAATGTTACTGTTAAAGGTGACATTTGAGCAAAAAGTTGATGTTCAATACGTGACATAATAAAAAGGATGTTAACATCAACAAAACATATTTTGCCCCCAATTTGATGAAGATTCTGAAGCTAAGTCGGGCACCTAATTCTTATCCGAGTTTCCGAGTAGTTGTGCCGACTTGAGCAGGTGTTCATGTGCATTTTACAACTCGGAAACTCGTTTGTCCGATGTGTCCGACACTACATGAATGCACCATATGTTGCCGGCAGAATTTACACGCTGAGTCAGCCAATCAGAATGTCTGTCTAACTTGTCTTTATGCTCATTGGCGGTGGGTAAAGCCAATCAGCTACAGGAGAGTGGGTCCTTTTAGAATTATGTCCGAGCGGAATCAGGTATTACACACTGCATTCATTCCGCTAAATAAAAAATAAGGTACAAGCAGGCTTTTTTTTTTTTTTCTTTTTTTTTACCACTGACAATTATTAGACCACAAAATTATTACAATAAAAACATAAATCAACATAAATGATTTGTTTATACAGTTTTTAATTAGGGGTTTTCACATAATAATGGACAACAAGAAAATTAACACTCCTGAAGATTATTATTTAAAGAAAAATCACTAATGAATCATCAGATTAGTTTTTTTATGAATCATTTTGTGTGAACATTTTATGATTTTAACAGTAAATCAAATGCTGTCATAAATTTAATTGACAAGGGAACATTTTTACAACATTATTGGCATTCTTACAATGTCATAAATCTGAAAATAAAATCCTTTGATGGCAAAATAATATAAATATGACATGCACCCTACCCCGCATCACTTAAAATTCATTTCGTAGACACTTTTATCCAAAGCAACTAAAATCAGAGAGTAAGAAAGACACAAACAAGGATCTAGAGAGGAGGAAAAAACATCAGCAAGTGCAAACGAACAGCTTTAAGTCTGACTAGACACACAGGTGCAGACAGGAAGTGACCAGAGGCAGCGCACAACATCGACAGCTGTTCTTGAGATTTCAAATCAGCCTCAAAGCCATCCTAAAATCGCCATTATCAAAGAAAACCATTGTGGTCATCATCATCATCAATGTCATGAAGGTCATAGATGTTCATGAACGAGTTGGGTCTTAAGCTTGTTCTTAAAGGTACGATGCACTCTTGTACTTTATAAAACATTTGGTTTGTACAGTGTTAAATACAAATCAATCAAGTTAATGCATTTGTGTTTTCAAGATCAATAAAATATAAGATATTCACTTATTGAGCCTATAGGATCAATCAGCACGAACACAGAGATAAGGCAGATAAAAGAAAAGAAAAGTATATACCATGTAATAAAAATAGAATAGAAACAGGAAAATAAACTATCAAAGTGCAATGAGGCCCTTTAAATCACAAGCAGCACCCATACAGAATTTAAGAAGACTAACAACAGAAGATGAACGAATCTTCCAAGCAGGGGATAAAAGATGATAACTGAGTCGAAGAGGTCTCCATGTTTTATTTTGAGAAAGTGTTCTGTGGAAATGACCCCCAGCAGCTCTTTCCTCCTTTTTGTCACATAACTGAGAGATGACAGAGAAGTCTGTTTGGTTCACGCTCTTCTCTTTCTTACAGTCCACATTTCATCTGGTTCCAACACGTGGAATTCATCCTGCTTCTGTTCCTGGTGTTGGATAAAAGTTGTCGTTTTCCTTCATCATGAAGCAGCAGGTCACTCCAGGAAGTCGGGGATGCATCCCTTCAGGTCGACGAGCTCGGGCCAGTTATCGTATGTGTTGTTTTTTTTGTCACTCTTCAGGTGCTGGAGTAAAACAGAGACAGAGATGATCCTGCAGCAATTCAAACTAGAGATCTCAGTTTACTTTTATTTCTTACATGGAAGTAACTAACACCTCCAGTCTGGTTAAGAAGGCTCATCAACGCCTCTTTTTCCTGAGGACACTGAAGAGACACCACCTGTCTTCAGCTGTACTGATGAACTTCTACCGCTGTGTGATCGAGAGCATCCTGACCAGCAGTGTCTCAGTCTGGTACGGAAACTGCTCTGTCGCAGACCGTAAGGCGCTACAGCGGGTGGTAAAAACCGCCCAGCGCATCACAAGGTGTCCACTTCCTGCCATTGAGGATGTCCAAAGAGCACGCTGTCTGCGGCGAGCTCATGGCATCCTTAAAGACTCCTCCCACCCTGCCCACAGACTGTTTACCCTCCTGCCCTCCGGCAGGCGCTTCAGAAGCCTCCGGACCAGAACCAGCAGACTGAGGAACAGCTTTTTCCCCAGAGCTGTTTCTCTACTGAACTCTACCCCCCGAACTCTGAACTCTGTCTCTCTCTCTCTCTCCCTCTCTCTCTCCGCCCCCTGCTGACCCCCCCCCCCCTTTCCCCTGCATATCACCTCACACCCATCATCCCCCCACCACCCCTCCTGGTCACACACACACATCTCTCATCCATCTGTATTATTGTATTATAGTATGTTCATATTATGTCCATATTCTTTATATTATCTGTAAACTAGTATAACATGCTCACTGCACCTTAATCTGTATATTATTAGTATAGCATGCTCACTGCACCTTAATCTGTATATTATAATCCTAAGAATACACTTATTTTGTAGCATTACTTATTTATAGCATTTATTTATATTTATTGCATCCCATTAATCCAGCCATCCAGATATACCTAATAATTCACTTTTTTTGTCTACATCTGTAAATTTTGTAATTACTGTACATAGCACAGACTCTTGCACTTTCTGCTTATTTGCACTTCTGGTGAGATGCCAAACCTCATTTCATTACTCTATAATTGTATATGTGTAATGACAATAAAGTTGAATCTCATCTCATCTCATCTCAACATGATGACAAAGGCAACAGCGAAAACATTTTTTATCAGCATTGAGATGTAAATAATTATCAGTCATCCAATGACTTCTCTTTCAGTCCGGGAGCCCCAACAACCTAAAGGCCTCACTAGTTTGAGTGTCATCATCGTGAATTGTAGTTGTTACCTCCTCGAAGGTGAGCTCTGCTGCAGCTCCTTTCCCACCAACAAACACCCAGCTGTCTCTGGTGTTCAGAGACAGCACAGAAGAACTCCCCAGTTCAGCTATCAGCTCCCTGGCCTCGTCATCCAACCTGTTCACACACACACAGATACAAATACCCAGAGTGACATATACACTGTACAAGTATCTGACTTTCAACCTTTAATTAAAGGCAGGGTTGGTCATTTCCTCCAGATTCTCTTTTTTTTTCCTCTTTTTAAGATTCTGGTTGAAATTGTCTTTAGGTCCTGACAGAAATTAATAACTCATGTTCTCTGAAAAAAGAAGAAAGAAAATCTGTCATCTGTAGCAGTTGTAAGCCTGTAAAAACTTCAATGTCTGCCACAAGGTACCAATCTGATGAACCAATCACACGCCTCCCTGTCTCCCTGCTCGCTCTCTACCAGTTGCGTGCACGAGCCCACACTCAAAGAGCGTCACTGATGACAGAGTTTACACTGAGAGTTTAATTACCGCTGAATGAGATATGAGACTATTTAGTTTCTGCACAATGCAAGAGATGAGCTGAGGTCTGCTTCTAGAGCAACAGCACTTGTGCATGTTAGTGAGGGGCGTGGCTTTAGAGGGAGCACAGAGGGGAGGGGGTGGGTGCACTGAAGGAATGCTACTTTCAAAATCATGCTAGTTTTCTAAAATTACCAACCCTGCCTTTAACATTAAATACATGTAATGATTAACTTTTCGCTGCTCTTCTAAAGGAGAAATGTCTTCATCTTCAATACGTTTAGATATCGAAACAACACAGCTCGGTTTTCCGTCGACAGGAATCGACTTGTTTGCGCCTGGAAGCTCACTAGTTTACACGTTGGTTGTTTAATCGTAAATAATGATGCAGACGCTACACTGATGTCTGCCTGAGATGATTCAGAAGTAACCGTGTGTTGGGTTCAGAAGCTCGGCCTAATGATTGAGTGTTTTGTGAACTTTTACCTTGATGCAATGTTGTCATAGGACGCAATCAGCACCACCGAGCCTTTCTCGAGCGTTTTCAACAAGTCAATGAGCGGTTGTTTCTCTGCAACACAAAATCAGTCGTTCTTATTTACTAGTTTTCTTCACACAGGAACACAAGATGAGACTAATGATGTCGATGTTATGTACCGTCATTGTGTGTAAAGTGATCCGCCTTTGAGACTTCTCCTGTTGAACCTGTTGAAGAAAGAGAGAGGGGCAACATGATGGACAATAAAGGAACCATACATAAAGGAGATGCAGTGACTCATCAGTTACCGTTCAGTATCACCATGTTCACTCCGTAGCCTGTGTTCTTCAGCTGGGATCCAAGAACCCTGAGGAACGTTTGATCCAGGGTTGTCAAAATTTTCAGAACTTACCAAAAAGCAAGTACCAAAGCGTATAAAAAAAAAAACATTTCATACGACAGGTGCATTGGAGAGGAATGAATCCATCATAAATGGCATCCAAACTCTCACACGCTGTGTGTCTGTGAACGAGGTGATGGTTTTTAGTGACCAGTCTTTGGACCTCAGTGAAGATCACACCTTAATCTCTGATTCTGAATATTTACACACAATCTCTCTGAGTTGTAAAGGTGTTTGGTTTCGTCTCATGGACACTCAGAGGCTAAACGGATGAATAAACAGTCCAGAGGACTAACGTAAAAGGTGCAGTCGTCTTCTCCGCTGTGATGCTTCACTGAGGTGTAGTTTGATTGACAGGATGGACATGTGTCAGAGGTCAGGGATAGGTGCAGAAGGGGGGCGTTGTTAATGAGCATGGGCTGTTCCTGTGAATAAGGATCGAAACTGCAGAAAGTGGGTGACCTTCTGCACACTGTCACACAAATACAGTACAGGAGTTTGTCTGCAGATCTAATAACTGGAAACTGGCACTTTACAAATAAAGATTGCTGTTGTTTTCTAAGAGTGTGCATTAATCTGTGAGGCTGAGACGCAGGAAAGCAAAGAGGGAAATGTTTGAGTTGAGGAGGAGGTTCAGGAGAAACACCTACAGTTTGTTTTGGATGCAGATCTTTGGCTCCACTGAAGGACCGGCTCCACTTTGGATGTAGAAGCTGACGTGTTTCTCCGGACAGTCTTTCATCATAACACAGGGTTCGACTGGAGAGGAAACAGAGCCTGAACAAATCTCCTCCATCAGATAAACTTCACTCCTTCATTATGTTCAGAGAGAGGCTTCACTTACCTGACCGTTTATCGTACTTCTGTGAGGAGGGGTCAGAGCCTGCAGATAAAGACGGTACAACAAGACATCGAGAATCACACAAATGATCATTCAAAAGGCTCACATGGAAGACCTCAACCTGCAGGTAAGATGCAGAAGGTTTGTGTTTTCATACTTCCTTTTCAGTTAAAGACCGGGTGAATCAAGTCTGAGCGTATGTAACATTTATTGTGCTGAAGTTTTGCTAGATGTCATCATTAAGCCCCAACTGATAATTAGAAGTCGTTGATTGATTTTCATTCAAACAAAGGTTGTGAAGAGGTTAGATACTCTGATACGACATGTTTTAAAACGATATAGTCTGTTATTTTCACAGTCGATCGTATTAAAAAGAACCGAAACTTTAAAGAAATCTATTTCATCACACAGTTGTGCAGGAAAGGAAAGGAATGAATCCATGAAACTCCTGCGCACTCTCTAAAAAACACAAATTAGTTGGCTACATTGTGTGGCACGTTACCGTTATCTATAGCCGAGGGTGTCACATTTGTATTTTAAAATGCCTCTTTATGCAGACGATACTGTCTTATATACTTGAAGGAATAGTTCAATGTTCAGTGAAATAATATTTTTCTCTTCACTGCTGAGAGTTTAATGTTTGGTTTCAACCACAACCACCACCAACCTAATGTGAAAAATGTCTGCTGTTAGCTTCGCTTAGCTTAGTATAAGGACTTTCCAGTGTTAAACTCAGAGATTAAAGGAAGAATGTGCAACATGTCCTCCATAACTAAATCAGAAAACAAATCTATCCTGTGTAAATGTGTCTCTGAGTCATGACTGCCTACAATGAGTGAGAAGCTCGAGTCCCGCTGGCTGTGTTGTTGTCAGAGCTGTGTTTACATGGACGGGACACCGGCTTCTCCCCTTGTGTATAAAAGCTGTTTTAGTCAAGGGCTAGAGAGAAGAACATACTGATTATTTGGATGTTAGTAAGAGTTTTTAGATCACAGTCATTCTGCGTCAGTTTACATGCAATGTGAAGCTACGAGCTAACTATAGAGCGCTAAAATTAGCATGCTAACACATCAAGGCAGCTCGAGCAAAGGGCGGTTTTGTCCGCAACTTGTGCTAAACTCCTTCGTGAAAAAGTGAGGGAAGCGGGTTGGAGGTGTGTCTCTGCAGGAGAGGTTTTTTTGCCGTTTGTTTTGGTTTCATGCTGGTGCTCAAGGACGACATCTACTGGATCGAAAAAGTCGCACAATCTCCCTTTACATGTTTAATGCTTCTTCAGATAAAAGGTTTACCATCTAACAAATACAGTATATGTAATATTTAACTTCTAGCGGCATGGCTACTGAAAGGCTGAAAAAACGGTTTGTCTGATGTAACTTTTGTATATTAAAGACAAATTGGTGACTAAGTGTTTTCTGAGAGTTTCACATGATAAGAACGTTTTCATGTCAAAAAGTTTCTCAATTTACATATTTGTTATATCACAACTGTTAGAAAAACATCTGAGATTTTCTTACCTTCCGATTCATCGCTGACTTTCATTATGATGATTATAAGAAGAACAACCTTAAGAACCAACAACAGCACCACTGCAGGACACACACACACACACACACACACACACACACACACACACACACACACACACACACACACACAAACACACACACACATACACAACAAATCAAAATTAAATTGTGTACAATAATAAAAATTCGATGCAAACAGAGTGTTAGAAATTAAGCACCGTCCCGTTAGTGTGAACACAGAGCTCAAAACAACAAACCAGAGGGGAGTCTGACTTCAAAACTCACTGTCAGGAATTGTTCTACATTTGCTGATTAATGAAATAAAAACTTACTGGCTACGTAGTTTCTTTGTCTGTACATCGTTACAGTTCCTGTAAAGAGAAAGAAACACAAAAAGACTGATTACACACACACGCACGCACACACGCACACACAGACACACAGACAGACACTAACACACAAACACACACACGCACACATACAGTGCTTCAATCATTGTTCCTTGTTGGCATTAAATATCAACTAAACATGTGTTAGTTCGGGGTTTTGTGGGTTAATCACGGCTCTGTAGACAGACAAACACTAACACAGCAAATGAAAGACTGAAAAGTCGTTTATTAAGTCAAAGTCAATATTAAAGAGGCGCACTCACCCACTCAACCTGCGAGTCTTTTGAAGGCCGTCTAGCTGACTGAATGATGTTCAACCTGACGAGGCGTTTAAATACCTGAACTGTCTTGTCAGGATAAACTGGTTTCTGTCTGTTTTTCTATGGTCAATATATTATATATATATATTATTTGGATAACGTCAACTCATAGTGTTATCTGGAGACACTTTACAAAAAGCAGGTAAAATACCTTACTCTTTGTCTTTTGTGGTCATGGCTATGATGCTCAAAGACTTAAAGTACACATATATTCCATGTGTACGGGGCGGACCTGACCCATGTGCAGATGGAATATGGAATGGTGTGGAGAGATGAGGTGTTTTTTGGACCGTGGGAACTTTTTCATAGTTCTAGGAACTGTTGTAACCCGGTCCCCTTTTTTAATTGAATCCACAATGCAGAGAGAACCATTTTAGTTCCTTGTACCCCGTCTTAACCCTTTCAGCTCCTGCTTCAGAGTCGTCTCATGGCACAAGAGGGACTTTGAGTGACGTAAGTCCCCCGTGATTGGTCCCTACGTCAGTGTTCAAGAGCCAATCCAGGACCATTAACCGCCATTTTTAAAGAGCCCATATTATGCCCTTTTTGGGGTTCGTATATTTAATGTAAGGCAAGGCAAGGCAAGTTTATTTATATAGCACATTTCAACAACAAGGCAATTCAAAGTGCTTCACACAAGACATCAAAAGCATCATGACAGAGGAAAGAAAAGAAACATTAAAATAGAACATTAAAAAAAAAACGCAAATCACTGGAATTATTAAATCTGAACATATTTTGAAATAAAAATAATTCAAATTAAATTAATTCAAATAAATAAAGTAAAAATATAAAAAGAGTTAAAAGTTAGAGTGCAGAGTTAAATTTAAAATCTTATTTAAATTATGAAAGGCAGCTGTAAACAGGTGAGTCTTCAACCTCAATTTAAAAGAGCTGAGAGTTTCAGCAGACCTGCAGTTTTCTGGGAGTTTGTTCCAGATATAAGGAGCATAGAAACTGAACGCTGCTTCTCCATGTTTGGTTCTGACTCTGGGGACAGAGAGCAGACCTGTCCTAGACAACCTGAGCGGTCTGGATGTTTTTGCACATCCACTCATTGATTTGCTCTATGCATTTACAAACCAGTTTAGTACTGTGCCAGAAACGTCACCAAGTTTTCCAGTCGGTCGAGTAATATATTGTGGTCAACTGTGTCGAAAGCAGCACTGAGATCAAGTAAAACTATGTACCTACTTTTGAAAGTTCACAATAACTAAATTTTTTCATGTACTGCTCCTCCTTGCTTCCTCTACGCTCTGAGTCCATCAGCTACGCTCTGCTGTGCCCACACTGTTAGACCCCACGTGAGCCAAGTCTGCTCTGATTGGTCTGCCGATCCGCTCTGTCGTTATTGGTCAGTTGCTCAGCACGCTTCTTGGACATTTCAACATGAGCTGCAGGGCTTGCCACAACGAGCCAATGGGCTTAGATCAGTGATCTCACACTGACAATGACGCCGCACTGACACATTTTTATTGAGGGGGGATAGAACCGAGCGTTACATGCAGCTAATGCTACAGCTAACAGGAGGACGTAGGAGAAGCCGCGTTTCCGCGGACTTTGAATTTTTGCACATAGATGTGCCTAAACATGCACAGGACACTTGGAAAGCACACTAAAGGGCATATAAAACCAGAAAAAGCATAATATGGGACCTTTGAATCCCACTTTCAACATTAGCATACAACAGTGAATAACAGTCGGTAAAGGTCATACCGAGCTCATAAATCATCCAAAATGGAAAAAATACACTGACTAATGAAACAACGACAAAGTCCAGGAATTATTGAGCCCCCACAACGGCGTCCTCCATATTTTCAGTTCCATCCATCAATCCACTCTCCTCCGCTGATCCGAGGTCGGGTCGCGGTGGCAGCAGGCAGAGTGAGTCAACCCAGCAACGTTTTCAGGTTCCTTCTGGAGGATCCTGAAGCGTTCACTAGCCGAACAGGATATATAATCCCTCCAAAAAGCTCAGGGTCTACCCCAAGGTCTCCTCCCAGTTGTGCATGCGTGCCCTGAAAACCTCCAAAGGGAGGTACCCAGAAGGATCCTGACCAGATTTCGTTGAATTTATTATACAGGAAAGTTTAAAAGTAACATTAAGTTACAGTTTAACGGGCCTGACTCAGTTTAAAAAACTGGTTTCCAGCAGGTTCCTGCTCTGCAGAACATGAAACATAAACCACAGTCATGACACATCAAGACAAACACATTTACAGGACATTAGCATGGGCTAGGCAGACACAGACAAATAAAAACAAACAGTACAGATACTGCGAACAATACTTGAACAATTAATGAGTGCAGGTCTAAGTGTGGAGAAGGTGTTGTTTGTATGTATTTTTGAAATATGAGGTAGATGGTAAAGATCTAATGTGATGGGGGATGTCATTCCAAATTTTGGTGTATGTATAAAAGAAGTATGCAGGGACTGGGATGAGTGCCTGTGAGACTGACCTAGTGAGGCGCACTTGTCTCATATTATGTGTCGGTAGAAGTGCAGCGAGTGTTGGTGAAGTGCTGCTTTTAATCTGAAATTAGTATGTAATAGCGTGGCTGTGTATGTAATTCTGGAAAATCAAGGCATTGGAGCGTGTGAGTGCAGTGCAATGGTGTGACCACTTTGGGAGGTTACTGTGGATCTTAAGAGCTCGATAGTACAGTTGTGCTATTGGTTCAGTAATCTCCTTAGTGGTAAGTGACCAGATTGGAAGACAGTAGGAAATTACAGGAAAAAACATAATTGCATGTAGGTACGTTTCAGAAACAGAGGAGAGATATGATCTGATCTTATTATACACATAAAGTTTCTGACTCAGCTTAGTAGTTAGTTTAGAGGTGTGTTCACGAACCAGATGTTGAACCATGCACCTCAACTGGCTCCTTTCAATGAGAAGGAGTAGTGTCTCTACTCCGAGCTCCCCGTGAATATCTGAGCCCCATCCCCCTCTTTTCTCTAAGGCTGAGGCCATCTTACCCTCCCTGTGAACAAGATACTGTGCCTCGTAGATGACGTTGCTCTAGTAACTGTCACTTTAAGTTTCACATCAGCCATCTCACAGAAGACCAGGATGTTACCGCTGCCAGCTTTAATTTAATGGGAACTTTCATCCTGTTCATAATGATGCAGGTGTGTTCCTAAGAAATCATCAACAACTTCAAGTCATATGATCCTTAAAAGTCAAAATTAGGCAAATAAGGCAAATACTGAAATGACCTTTGACTGTGTACAAAAGGCACAGTCAAAGGTGAGATTAATATATTTTGTTTGAAGTAAATGCAGAAGAGAATAAGATTGTATTTTGTGATTTATGTTTTCACAGGACCACTCACACTTTAAGCCTGTATGCGCTCATGTTTGTAGAGAAAGGAGAATTAAACCACTTAAAGGAGAGAAGTTGTCTGCATCTGTGTTTTAACAGACACGCCTGGAGCGAAGTGTGAAATAAAACTCAGTAACAGTTATCCAGTTCATACAGTCCTTTTAAACCTCCACAACAGACTGCGTCACTAAATGTTCTTTGGTGCACTTCAACAGTGATGCATTCACTTACTCCTGTATGTTCTTTTGCTTGTTGTGCATTAAAACAGTGATGCGTTTACTTACTCGTGTAGGCTATTCACTTACATATTTTTGCTATTTAGTACTTTTTAGTTGTGATGCGTTCACTTAAAAAAAGCAGTGGAGTAAACAATAAAAGTGCTTAATTTCTGTCCAGCTCTTGAGAAAGTGACCTGGTTATTTTCCACTTGTGAGGTTATAAAAACAAAGTAAATCCATCTTTTATCCTTCAGTCATCCATCAACCTGTTTCTTGCTTGGCAGCTGTGTGCCAAAGAGCGGATTCCTGACTGAGGGTGTGACAAAGGGGAGTCAAATGTGGCCCAACAGCCATACAGTCAGGTGTTTACAGAAGCCCCACCCACAAACTTCAGGTTAGCTGTCTGTCCCACCCGTGCACAAAGAATGCAACATAACGACCAAAGATCTGCAAAAGGATAGGACAGTGAATGGAATAGGAAATCAGCTGCGAGCGAGGGGAATGACATGCAGGAAAGAAGCCGCAGGTTAGACTTGAACCTGGGGCCGCCCGCTTGGAGGACTACAGCCTCTGTATATGCGCGACCTGACTGCCATAAAGAACCCTTTTGATCCCTGCAGAACTTCCTGTGAAGCTCCCTGGTTCCCTCCCAAACTGGGAAACCACAATTTCCCAGTTTGGGATCAATAAAGTAATTCTATTCTATTCCCTGAAAATAATCTAGTTTTACGCAATCACAGGGACTTATCTTTGCCTCGATGACTTCAGTGTTTCAAACAGTTTGAACCGACGTCCCTCGGTTTGCCAGATATGAGAGCAGTTATCAGGTCAAACCAACAGGTGGATGGAAGCGGGCAAGAGAACTGGTTCAGATAGAAGTGATTGTACCCGACCTAAAAAGCCTCTGCATGTTTCTAATAAGCTCCACGAGCAGAAACATACTCAAATTAGGATCAATGTTGGAGCTGCTAGGGGCGCGCTGGTGGTGCAATGGTTAGGGCGCGCGTCCCATGTGTTGAGACTCTTGTCTCGAGCGGTAGGCCCGGTTTCGCTTCCACCCGTGGCCCCTTTCCACGTCATTCCCCGCTCTCTCTCCCTGGTTTCCGACTCTATCCACTGTCCTCCCTCTGAATTAAAGGCACGAAAAAAAAAAGCCCCCCAAAAAAAAAATATATATTAGAGATGCTTTTGAAAAATGGAGAGAGGTTAGAATGTAGAAAGGTTTACAGACCGATGCAGAGCTGGCTAAACACTGAAGCTTCAGTGTCCACCACATGGCAACCTGTGTGAGCATCGACTCTAGAGAGGAGGGGGCGGGGGGAGACAGCTCTCTACAATGTTTAGAATTTAGACTGCACTACCCATTTAAACACTAGGGGTCAGAGTTACATACTGCTCCTTTAAAAAAGAAAAAAACAAGAATCTGTTGACGCCATATTTGCAGTTCTGTTGACCTGTTGACATTTTTAATTTGGTTGACAAACAAACATTAAAAACATGATGTCAAAGTCATTTGTGAAACATCAGAGTATTTTTTTAATCTCATGTTGATATTTTGTTTTGTAGTTTCGACTCGTCCTATTGGCTACACCCTCTTTCACAAGCTCACCTGTGATTGGTTAAAACAGAACCTTCTGCAACACAACAAGAAACGAGTGAAGTCGTCGAACATATGAAATAAATATAAAATAAGGCAACAGAAGAGAGAGATGTGAGTCAGCTTCATCCCGACAGGAAGCAGAAACAAAAAGCAAAAACTTCAGAAAAGGTAAAAAATCGGGAATTTCTTTTTTTACAGCTTCAAAAAGTCTCCGGATAGACAGAGAGATTTGTCACGTGACTCAGGTGTAAACAAACACAAAGAAGCGTCTTTGTGAAAATAAAAACACAACAGAACGTGTTTTTGAATAAATAGAAAAGTGGCGCCAAAACAAACAACGACAAACACCTGAACGCACATCAACGCAGTTCACAGGGGCTCACAACTCACAACAGGCGAGTCCTCTTACAGGCGAGTCCCCTTACAGGTGAGTCCTCATTCAAGTGAGTACTCATTCAGGTGAGTCCTCATTCAAGTGAGTACTCATTCAGGTGAGTCCTCATACAGGTGAGTCTTCTTACAGGTGAGTCCTCATACAGGTGGGTCCTCTTACAGGTGAGTCCTCTTACAGGTGAGTCCTCTTACAGGTGAGTCCTCATACAGGTGGGTCCTCATACAGGTGGGTCCTCATACAGGTGGGTCCTCATACAGGTGGGTCCTCATACAGATGAGTCCTCATACAGGTGAGTCCTCATACAGGTTCAGACGATTTCACACAGCATCAGACGCCCGCTCTGTGATTTTCAGTTTCCCCTTGTGAACAGTGGAACATGTGGTGCTTTTACTTTGAAGGTGGAGAAATGAAGTGTGGTGCTTTGAATTGAAGAGCTGCTGACGGCGGTGAGCTGAATAAAGTTTTGCATTGTGATGACACAACTCAAAGAACATTTCAGTCATGGAAGTGATATAAAGGCTTCACCATCTTGTAAGCGGGCTCGTGAAGCTCCCTGGTTCCTCGTTCATGTCTATGATATCGAAAACGCTCACTCGTGTCGCATGCTGTTAGTTGACACTAAATGAGATATTTCTCAGGTCGCCATGGCAGCGGCCTGTCAGTCACAGGAAGGTTTAAGGCACTTTCATCTTCCAGCATCTCTTCACAGACACACAGAATATTTCCCTTCTTATTGAAAGTCCATAAATAATCTGTCTCTAATCTAGACTCGACATGTGGAGCATAAATCCTGATCGAGATGATCAAACTTTGAATTGTGCAGCTCTCCGTCCTGCAGCGTCTCTGTGTGGAAGACAAACATCGTCTCTCCACCTCAGACCTCCTCTGAGCTCCGTCAGCGAGGGTTACTCCTCCTGACAGGAGGGCCACACCTCCACCACAGACCGGTCAGTTTCTATGGAGACGCTCCTTGTCCCTGTGGCGTGCTGGTCTACATGAGGGCGTTGAGGTGTCCCGTGTGTCCTACAGAGTTCAGCATCAACGCTCTCTGGTCTAGCACCTCCCTCTCTCTCCCCAGCGACGCTCGCTCCTGCTCCACCATTGCTCTGTCCCGCTCCACTGCCGCCCGCTCCCTCTCCAACCACAGCCGCTCCGCCTGCACAGCCGTCCTCTCTCTCTCCACTGATGCCCTATCTCGCTCCACCATCTCCCTCTCTCGCTCCAGAGCTGCCCGCTCCCTCTCCACCACCTCCCACTCCCTCTCCAGTCCTACCAGCGGCCCCTCACACACCTCCGGGCCCCGCTGGTTCTGATCCACGCCGTCACCAAAAGCCTCCTGTGCGTAGTCCGAGGTGACTGAGGGAGGAGGGGGAGGGGCGGAGCGGGAGCGATGTCTGGGGGCGGGTTCTGGTTGCTGATCCTCGTCCTGGGTGACAGGTGTGAGAAGGGGGGCGCTGCCCGCCAGACGGCCCTCCATCGCTTCATTCATCAGATGAAACCACGGCCAGGAGGAGGAGCCGTCTGCTACGCTCTCCATCCCAACCGGAGGATACTTCAGATCCTGGAGGAGGCGAGGGAGGAGGAGGTGAGGGATGATGAAAGGAGAGGATGGTGGGGATGAAAGAGGAGAAGAAAAGAAACAAGGGGGCGGTCAGGTACACAGTTGTTCAGACTGTGAACAGGTGATGTGATTATCTGTGTTTGTTTACTTACCTTATATCTTCTCTTCAGGTTGTCCCATTTCTTTGCCATCTGGTAGGTGGAGACTTTCCCCTGCAGGCCGAGCTCCTTTAGGATGGCTCTGAGAGAGAGAGAGAGACACAGAGATAGCAATATGTCCACTGAGTGGACACAGTCTGACCATAGAAACAGGCCGTTACAGACAGAACTGGTTACCCAGAGAGGCCAGGCTGTGTTCACTCTGCCATCAAGGACAAGTGGAGACAGAATCTCACTTCCTCCTACACTGTGACATGTATAAAGATTTAAGAGAGGCTCTCTTTGATTACATTGATAATAAATATCCTGACTTTCTCCATCTCCCTGATCCTTAGAAGCTGCTCTATCTATGTGGAGAGAAAAGTCTGTGTGCAGTACGAGCTACTAAATATGTTCATGGCTGTCACATACTAAGACAAAATACACTTAATGTTTCTTAGAAATACACCGTAAAAATAATGTTATTGTAAATCATGTTATTGTTAATGTATATTATTTATATTTGTTAACTGTATATATTGTAATCATTTGTTGTTCAAAATGTTTCCTGTACTGCTTTAGCAACATGGATTGTTGATCTGTCATGCCAATAAAGCTCATTTGAATTGAATTGAATTGAATTGATAGAGAGAGAGAGACAGACAGAGAGAGAGAGAGAGAGAGTGAGAGAGCGAGAGAAAGAGAGAGACAGAGAGAGAGAGAGAGAGAGAGCGACAGAGAGACAGAGAGAGAAGGAGAGAGACAGAGAGGGAGAGAGAGAGAGACCAGGGCTGCTTAAAAGTGATGTAAAATATTTTTTTAAATGTATTATTCATACTAATGCTCTTACTTCCAGGCAGCTTTGGCAGCGTTCCTCCTTCCAGTGAAGAGCGCCTCGTTGGCAGCTCGGAGTTTAATCATCCTCCTGGTGTCCTGATCCGTCACTGCAGCGCACACACAGACACAGACACGTAAAACAGTGTCCACCAAACTGAGCCCCCATGATCTAAATCCAGTAAAAGATTTAATCCAAACACATAAACTCCATAACGATCCACAGACTTCAGATTTACCTCAGCTGTGCCAATGAGAGCCTTTGTTTAAGGGGGTGCCCCCGCCTGTTCTTACGGCCAATCACACGCGACTGTGCCGATGGCTGACATCTCTTGTAGCCAATGAAATTCTCTAAACCTGTATCTGACGCTTCTATCAAATACTTCTTCATGCACATACTAAGGAGAGTGATTTAAATAAACACCATAGAAGAAGAAGCTGTCTTACTCTTATAGGAGAGGTCCGAAGGGGTCGAACACTCCTCTCCGCTGGCGTCGATGTACGTCACATTCCCATCGGCCTCGGTGTTGTCCCCGCCCACCATGCTCTCCAGCTCCGACACGCTGCCCCTCTCTGCCATCAAACAGTCTCTGTCGGGGGGCGGAGATGAGACGAACACGCCGTCCTCCTCGCTGCTCCAAACTGGCGTCACTCTAGGAGCTTTTCCCACCAGCCGTCCTTCGAGAGCGTCGCTCATCAGCTGGAACCAGGGCCAGGAGGCAGGGTTAGTCTGACCCTCCATCCCCCGCGGAGGAAACTTCAGGTCCTGAAGACAAAAACAAAAATCCTTTAAATAAACGGGAGGAAAGACACCAATTCAAACATTTCTTTTCTGTACATGATTATAGAATTAAATAAAGGAGCAGTATATAACTCTGACCCCTAGTGGTTAAAATGGGTACTGTAGTGTAAATTCTAAACATTGTAGAGAGCCATCTCCCCCTGCCCCCACCTTGAACTTTGTCTTGAGGTTGTCCCACTTTTTGGCCACCTGGTCGGGTGTGATCTTCCCCGTCAGACCCATCTCCTTCACGATCCCCCTGAGGACAAAAACCACTTATGAAGACTCCGATCTTCTTCTAGTTTACAGCTGTAGAGTGATCGTGAAACCACGGACACGTTATGCAATATGTAGATCATTTTAATGACTTTGATATTAAATAACGATCATGAATATTATTAGATGTTAGTCTCTGTTACCTCCAGGCTGGTTTGGCGGTGTTCCTCCTCCCGGTGAACAGAGACTCGTTAGCAGCTCGTAGCTCGATCAGTCGCCTGGTGTCGTCTTCGGTCACTGTGATGAAGATCAAAGAGTTTACGATTGAACAGCTGATCACCAAAACATTATTGACTCAAGAAGCCTTTTTTTAAAACCCGTTGAAGTTGTCCAGGATACACGCGGCGCTCAGATCATCCTCGGTGTTCTTTGAAAATGAGAGATTCTTCACTTTCATACGGTTGATGCAGCAGTAGGAGACGTATAAACTTTAATCCCTTCATGCTCTTTTCCTGTGAAATCCTGTGGCCTACATTACCCACAATGCATCTCAGCCATGACTTTTTGCAGTGTGTCTTACATTTGTAGGAGAACTCAGCCATGCGGTGCAGTTCTCCCAGCGCCGTGGATCCGTTCTTCTCTTCGGTATCCACCAGCAGGTCCATCTCGGACTCCGTCAGGAACTCAGCCATCCCCCCTCGGCTCCGCCTCGCTCGCTTCTTCGGCGTGGGCGACAGTGGCTCGCAATCCTCGTCTTCGTCCTCCACGATAGGCGTGAGGATGGGCGCCGCCCCCATGAATCGGCCCTCCATGGCGTCGTTCATTCTGTAGAACCAGGGCCAGGAGCTCGGGTTGGTCTCCACGCCTCGAGCCGGAAACTTCAGCTCCTGATGGGAGACAGAAAAGTCGGCACATCGTCCTCCTGAAAACACCGAGGTGACTCACAGGGACGCCTCTGCTGCTTTGCCCATGTGAACGCACTGAGTGAGACGTGTTCGAGTAGAAGTTAGAGTATTTGTTTATCTGAGGTCGTCTCTGGAGTTGGACGTGGACAGACAGACAGACCTACCTTGTATCTCCTCTTCAGGTTGTCCCACTTTTTGGCTAACTGGTCTGTGGTCAGTTTCCCCTGAAGCCCCAGCTCATACAGGATGGCTCTGCAACAAGAGACGACACTCAGCTTGGAAGTCTTTCTTTTTTTTTATTGCCCAAGTCATAATTATGAGATAACGTCAGACAACTCAACTGGTAAAATACTCAAAGAAGTTCTCCTAGAGATCAGAAACCTCTCAGGTTAACTACAACTATGAAACCTGCTGACAGAAGCTGCACACAGCGGATATCAGATTAACAAACATTAGGTATCATCTCATGAAAAGACCGACATCGAGAACACAGAAGTGTTGCTCACCTCCACGCCGGTTTGGCCGAATGTTTCCTGCCGGTGAAGAGCGCTTCGTTTGCAGCTCGGAGTTTGATCATCCGCTCGGTTTCTGGTTCACTCACTGCAAGTCAAAACAAGAACTTGCAGTCAACAGCTGCTCCGTTAAATCAGGCCAGAGGGACGAACACAGAGTAAATCATTCCATCAGAAAACATGTGCCGGCTGTGTTGGATTTTAAAAGTTACATAAGGGGCGGGGCAAACACCTGTGCAGGTGTTCATGAGAACACAAAGAAAGCTCCATCATCCGCTGTGAGCCGTCCTGCAGGTGTGATCAAACTAACTCTGAGCTGCAGCGTCTGCTTACTTTTGTACGAGCACTCGCTCATCCTCCTCCAGCCCATGGGGACGCCCTCAACAGGCTGAGCGTCTGTGTGAACCGTCCCATCATTCTCTGCGGTTTCTGCCGCCACCGTGTCGTCCATCTCGGTTTTGATGAGGAACTCCAGGATGTCTGTGTTCTCCTGCGCCTGGTTCTGCTGGTTGTTACAGCGATGAGCGGCGTTGTTGCCGTTCTCCGGGCACAGTACCAGGTTGCTGTTGAAGAGGCGACCCTGCATGGCTTCATCCATGATGTGGAACCAGGGCCACGACTCCACCACACCCCCGATGTGGTCCTGACCCTGATAGGGCTGCTTCAGGTCCTGGAGGAGAGGGAAAGATTTAAGTCCCAGACACAACAACCTGAGAACAAAGAGCTCCTGTGTCCGCGCAGAGAAGCTGCACTTGAACACAACACACAGATACAAAGACAGCAGCAGGTGAATAAGGTAGAGACCTTCTGGTAGATGGAGGTGTGCCACTAACATGCAAAGAGACGAGAGCAGCCTGCAGCGTCGGTTATTGGTCCCATGAACTACTAATAATTGCTTTTGGTCCTGAAAAAACAGCTCCATCGTTACCTTATATTTGGTCCGCAGGTTGTCCCATTTTTTGGCGATCTGATCTGCAGTCAGCTTCCCTTCCAGACCCAGACCCCTCAGGATGGTGCTGAGGAACACACAGGAAGGGGGGTTGGCATTCGCTGAGAGAAAGTCACCTCAGACCTCAGTCACGTTTTAAAAGAGGTCGGTTGGGGTCTTACCTCCACGCTATCTTTGCAGAGTTTCTCTTCCCGGTGAATAGAGCCTCGTTGGACGCCCTGAACTCGATCAGCCTCTTCACATCCTCCTCCGTCACTGTTAGGTGGATATATGTGAGACGAGTAAAAAAAGTCTAATGATATCGATACCTGTTTCAAAACCATGTAAACAAAAATAAAGATCCTGGACAAACAATATTATTGGAGTAATTACTTGTTTTTAATTACCAAACATTGTGGGAAAAGATCCTGCACACTGTCTAAAGCCTACGTAATGAAACCCTGTTCAGACTGCTGTGAGACTTACGCCCATGAGACATTTCGCCTTTAATCTAGATGTCAGCAGGCGTTATGGGTTATGGTTATTCAGAGGTAGTAACAGAGGCATTACAGAGAGGGAAGACAGGATCAGCTGAGCCAGCTGTGGAGCGCAGCGCTGTGTGTGCATGTCTGACTTTGTGTGTATGTGGAGCTCCTGCTGTGCTCTTCCTCAACGTTGAAACTCACAGACTGACACACCAATATCCCGCCGTTGTGTAATCAACATAAACGTACCAAGACTTTATGAAGGCTGACATTAGTGACGGCACTTTCGCAAATAAAAGCTGTCTAAAAGGGGGGTACTATGGCACAAATATTAGGGGGTTGTGCGGATGGCTTGGTGGTTAGGTTGTGCCACGTGCATGCAGGCTATAGAAGCTGTTGGCCTGATTCGATACCAACCTGTGGCACCACCCCCTCCACGCTCTCTCCCCGGTTTTCTACTCTGTCCGCTGTCTAATCAAATAAAGCCCTGAAAAATAAATCTTTAAATTGCACAAATACGATGGCAACATCTTTAGACAGCGCTCTACCTCTTTCTTAAGATCTGTAATTCATAAAAATTTGGCCCTTTTTCGATACCATCGCTCATATCTGACATGATATCGTTCTGAAATCGAAAGTATCGAAAGGTCAATGTGGGCTAAGAGAGGGAACAGCTCATCACAAACAGAGTCTAGCACACTTTTAGTCCACTCTTCTCACTTTTATAGGAGTTTTCTGTGAATTGTTGCAGCGGGTTCAGGGCTGACTCCATTGTGATCATTGAAGGATTGAGGGTATGAGTCCTAGGGAGGAAGGAGGAAAGGCAGGAAGGAAGGAAGGAAACAAGGAGGTGTGGTAGTGTGCTGGTGTTCAGGCCTGATGCTAGCTGCCTCTGCTAGCGCATCCTGCAGGTTTGCTCCGTTTCTCCTACAGCACCTCCTCTCCGTCCATCATGTGGCGGAAGCTGTCCGGTTCAGATTTAACGGAAAACCGAGCAGGCGGCGGTTAGCCTCCGAAGCTAACACCCTGTACCCGTTAAAGGAAGCAGGCTGCTAGTTAGCTCCGGTGGCTAAGCTAAACAACAAACACACACGGCGCGGGGTTTCCCGCCACAGAGAGACAGCAGCGTCCGGTAGCCGGGACTGATCCCGACCTCCGTTGTGTCATCATCACCGGAGAGAATAAAACGATAAATAAAAACGGTTATCGGTACCGGAGCTAGCCTACATCCCGTTTCCCCTGCTCTGAGAGGAGGGTGCGTTTGATATTTCACCGTGGTCCGCCCTCCACCACGTGACTTACAGCACGGGAGGGCGGGGTTTAGACGTAAACAGAAACAGTCCAAAAATATATTTATGAAGAAGCTCATTCCAAGTCACATTTGTTATTTAATAGTCATAATTATGACATAAATATCCATCATTTTGTGATTAAAGTTAAAGTTATGAGATAAAAAAAAAAATCGCAATTTTTAGACTAAGGCATAATCAACACTGAAACATACTTCACGAGACGGCTTCAAGCTGTTAAAACCTCTGATGTAGACTCTCTTTTCCCAGCACTGGACGGCAGCCCTGCAGCGATCTGCCTCCTGGAAAGCTTCAAGATAGCTGGCCAATCAGAAAGAGTTGGGCACATGGGAAGGGGGGACTTAAAGAGACAGCAGCTTTTTTTTATTTTTTTTTTTACTGATGCCAGTATCAGATCAATAATATCATGTGATGCTGCTCTAAAGGTTTCACAGACTGATGACATGAAAGGTGAACATGAGGACAAGAGGAGATCTTTGATATCAGTCTGTTTAATACCAGAGGAAAACTTTTGTTGGTGTCTTTTGAGGCCGTTTTGCCTTTATTAAAAAGGCAACTAAGGAGAGATAGGTTAGATTTTGCACATGAATTCAATGCGTCAAACATGACTCTCAATAAACTAAAATAACTTAAAAACAGCAATTACAAGTTTACTGCACGTCACAATGACTGAGATTGAATTAAAGGTCACATATTCTCCTCTTCAACCATAAGTCTCAGAGCTCCTCAAAACATGTGTGTGAAGTTTCTTGTTCTAAATCCACTCTGATCCTGTATTTGATCATGCCTATAAACCCCTCTATTTCAGCCCTGCTCAGAACAGGCTGTTTCTGTTTCTGTACCTTTAAATGTAAATGAGCTGTGTCTGACCACGCCCCCTCTGAAGAAGGGCTTGGGTGTCTCGGGCTTTCTCACTCCATGTCCTATTGTTTACGGTGAGACGGCAGACTCAGAGGGCAGAACAAACACCTAGCTGTGGGAGTGTCACCCACCTGGGGGAGGGGTTACTGCCCTTTGTGATGTCATGAAGGGAGAATCGCCAAACAGCCTGTTTGAGCACACATTTTCTGAAAAGTGGAGCAGACAAAAGACGGAGAGGATGGACTTTTGTCATCATTGGGGGGTTTGTAGACCGACTAGAGACACATATTAGAGTTAGAGAAACGGAAGTTGCATCAGAAGTTGCAGGCTCACTCCTCCACACTGGCTAAATAGCACAGAAGCAATGGCAACATTTTGGTATCGAGATGTATTTCTGCAACTTAAACCATGTGCCATAGGACTTCTATTTTTGTTGCTGTGGTATCCCAACAGGTCTCCAGATTGTTTGATTTTTACTAGAATCACATCAAAGTTTCTGTTATCGTGCCCACCCTACACACAGAGTTCAGTGATCCACACGTTTATTCTTTGTGATTTGGAGACTTTTATCAAGTGAAATCTCTGAACATAGAACGATGCGTCCTCGGCTCACAGCTTCTCCACGAGTCTCTGGAACAAAGACACGAGTCTCTGTCTGGTCTCCAGCTGCTCTGGATCCAGATCTGCTGCCGTCAGACTCTGGTAGAACCTGGTCTGTAACACCACTTCTTTTTCTGACGCCATCTCAGCAGGATGTCCGTTCTCGGCCTCACCCTCCCTCTCTCTCCTCCACACAGCTCGCTCTCTCTCTAAATCCTCTTGGGCTCGCTCTACCAGCACTCTGTCTCTCTCCACAAACGCTCTGTCTCTGTCCACAAATGCCCGGTCTCGATCCAGAAACACCCGGTCTCTCTCTACAGCCGCTCTGTCTCTCTCCACGGCTGCTCTGTCTCTCTCTAAAGCCGCCCGCTCTCTGTCCAGACTCATCCTGTCTCTCTCCAGCGTCGCTGCGTCTCTTCTCAGCAGCTCTCGGTCTTTCTCCAAAGCGATGAGTTCTCTGTCGAACTCGGCCTGCTCTCTCTCTAGAGCCTGCCTCTCTTTCTGCAGCTCCGCCAGCTTCCTGTCCACCTCCACCGTCTCCCTGACCACATATTTGGAAGAGGAGGGCGTTTTACCGGTCTCCACAGTGAATTCGGGCAGTAAAGTGGCGTAGAACACGGCGGTCTGGCTGCTGTTCACCGCAGGTTGAGTCTGCGGCTTACACACAGGGATTCTCACCTGTGATCCGTCTCCCTGCTCCACTGAAACTATCTGAGGAAGAAGCTCAGCTTTGTTCTCTAACTCCACTTTCCTGCAGTCTTCAACGTCTCTCAACTCCATGGTGTCCTCGAGCGTCACATCGTCTTCCAGAGGAGCCATTTCAGCCCCACTCAGAGCAGAGAACGGTGTCGCCATGTTGGGCAGGATGAGCGGAGGCGTGGCTGGGGCGTTGTCATCCTCTTCGTCCAGCACGGAGGGCTGCACGATGTTGGCGGTCCCCGCCAGGCGGCCCGTCATGGCCTCGTCCATCAGCTGGAACCAACGCCACGAGTTGGGCTGGGTCTGGGTCTCCATGCCTTCTGGAGGGTTCTTCAGCGCCTGCACAGGAAAAGGACATCAGACTATAAAGAGACTTTGAAGAGTTTTAAACCACTTTTAATTTGATGAAGGACAGACGCCCAAATGCGTTGGTAACTAACGGCTGAGAGGTTTTTTCTCACGCCTGCTCTTTGTTTCAAAGCGCTCTGTAAATAAATCTGACCTCAACTTTGATCAAAACACGATCAAACATGTTAAAAGTGTTATTGTTCTGGAATACCCCGAAGCGTGTTGTTCATCCGTTTACTCCGTCTTCATCTTTTCAGGTGTTGTGACTCTGGTGTCGGTCTTAAAGATAAAAACTGGACTCACTCTGTATTTCTCCTTCAAGTTGTCCCACTTCTTCTTCATCTGCCGCGCTGACATCACCCCGTGGAGCCCCATCTCTCTTCTGATCGCCCTGCAGGGAGAGGTCAGAGTTCACTGTCACTGTCACGTTTTGTAAATTGTTCTTTTTTAACATCAGAGTGGATTATATCTGTTATTATATTATTGCACATGCAGCATTAAATCCAGTCTCTAGATGCTGTTTGATGGATGGAGGAGGAAACTGACTGACTTCCAGCCTCTCATGGCCGAGTTCCTCCTCCCCGTGAAGATGGCTTCATTGGTGGCTCGCAGCTGAATCATCAGTCTGGTGTCTCTGTCCGTCACTGTGGAAACACATTCATCAATCCATTGATGAATTTAACAACGACAACAATCAGAGTAAAGAAGAAAACAGAAACTCATATGATGTATAAATGTATCATTATTCCTACAAACCTCCCAGAGAACGATGTATTGTTTGGGATTCAGTTGTTTGTTTGTTTTTTTTGTATGAGCAGGGGCGTGTCCAGAATCTGATAGTGGGGGCAATCGTGCTTAAGCACGGTACGGGACAACTGGGCCACGTGGGCCCCCTAAGTATTTAGATTTTGATGCTGGACTAGTTTTTAAAGAATGAAGGGAAGAAGAAAGATAAGAATTTGGGGCCATGCTCTTGTTACTGATAAGGAGATATGATAAATGGAGATAAAAATAGGTAAATAAATAAATGTATTCATTTCTGTGTGCACAAACTTTAGACCAGTGCCCCGGTTCAGCCACCTCATTCAAACAGTCTGGACTCGCCCCTGCATGTGATTGACCTTTATCTGCTTTGTTTATTCAGCTGCACTCTGCTGGTTTAATAATGATTATCAAGTCAACTGTGAAAAGAACTTAAAAACAAGATGTGTAGTAAGTACGACACTTGAAATACATAATCTCAGTTATTTTTATGATAAAAAAAAAAACTGCAGCAAGAGAAAAAAAGAAAACAATTAATTACACATAGGCTGCTAACGTATTCGTGTAATTCAGACAGTGTGCAGGAGTTTGTCTACATATCTGATATTTAACAACAGTCTTCGTTGCCTATGAGTTCTATTTTGGTTGCTAAGCATCACACAGATATTACTTTTGACTAGATGTCAGTGAATGAATCATTTCTAAAAAAAAAAAAAAAAGCTAAACAACGAGAGCGTCTTAAATTAAAATTCTCTTCAGCTGCGAGTCTGTTCACTAAACATGATCTTAACTATTATAAATTCATATAAAAGTGACTTTAAATGACGTTACGTCTGTATGTGTTCTCCATTTTCCCCGAATCCTCCATTTCCATCAAGAAATCCAAACACTTTGAACATCCGGCGAGAACCGGAAATGTCTTATTTCTTATGTATTTATTTTATTTGTATATCTATATCTATATATGATCTATCTGAATTGTTTTTATGTTTACATGAATACTGTTTCATATGCTAAATATTGTATTCCCTTTAGGAATGGTGTTCGATAAAAGAAAAGAAAAGGTCCGGCGAGAACCGGAAAGAGAAGAGGTTCTTCTTCTTCTGTGTAATAATACAATCAAGAGCAGATGATGAACTACATTTATTTTTGTTTAAACTGTGTTCAATTGTATCGACCTTATTAAAAATCAAATTTATGAAACACCTGCTTTTTTCGTTCGTCTCGTGTGCCAGTGGGCCAAACACTGAGACCTTAATATGACAGAAACATACTGTATATTCTAATGGAGGGTAGATACGCAAATTATTTTGGCCAAAAAATATAACCACAAGTGTAGATTTATCAAAGTCAAGCCACGTTTTTAATAATCAAAAGAATTAACAAACTTCAGAAAACACAAAAAAATATAAAAACTAAACAAGATTCAGTAACTAACATGTTTGATTCCAGATTAGACTCATGTTGTTCTTTTGTTCATTAGGTCACGTTAATTCTGTAGAAATGTTACATTTTCATATTTGTAATATGTCGACTTTAATTACAGATAAAGGTTAGCTAAAAAATAAAATATATACAGTATATATTCCAGTGTTTACAGGACGTTAAGGTTGCTCTGTCGCCCCCTGCTGGCAGGAACAAGCCTCTGCAGGTTGTTACCTGCTCAGCATCCCAGCATCCTGCAGCAGATTCGTCAAGCTCAAGACCCGGATCAAATCACACAGGAACCGAAGGGAAAATGTTTCAAAACAAATATCTAAAGGTCTCATTTAATTTCCTTCAACATTGTAAGAAACATGGCAGTAACACAAAATTCCACTGATCATCTGATCTAGTTTGTTTGATTTAATTCTGTATATTTGATTAAATTAATGTGTGTTTGAGAGAGTGATTAGATTCTGACTTTATTGATGTTTGCATTCACACTGATACAAAACAAAAGAGAGATAATCGTCAGTGCAGCTGTGTCAAAACTAGAGCTCTGTGAGGACAATTCAAGAAGAAAGATACAAGTAGTGAGGAGGTAGCAACGAGACAAACATAAAAAAGGTAATAGAGTTTAGACATTAAGGTAAATAAAAAATAATAATAACCCCACCCCTTTAACCCCCATCCCAAATTAACTCACTTTATTTTATTTTTAATCTACTTGAATTTGAGCTGAATTAATATTTTGGGTTGCTGATCAAGAGAAAAGTAATAGTGAGGGAATTTTATCAGATATATGGCCAATCTGGGAATAAATTCCTTACCAACCAATTTCTACACCAAAGTGTATCTAAAGGTGTCTAGTTACACATATAAAAATATTTAAATTCAACTCCTGTAGGAAAATCTGTGAGAGCTGCTGAAACTTCGGGTACCTGGAACCCTATTGGTTGAAAATTTGAAATTTTTGATTTTTTTTACATGTGCCTTAAATAGTATATTTAGGGTCAAATTCGGGGTTATTTGGGATGCTGAATCCATTGCAAGCATTTATTTTCCACCAAAACTACTCCTTGGTAGAGAAACGGCCACGCCCACTTTTCCAGATCTCTCGAAAACCCTTTGTTTAGGTGAAAATCAATGTTGCTTGTTGCATGTGAATTATAAAGTATCTTCATAGGTCTATTTATAAATGTATTAGTGATGGTAACTACCTTTTATTAACTGTTAAATGTTGCAGTTGGTTAACATTTGTAAGTGAGTGAGTTTTGAGTGGCAGGTGCCAGACGTGTTCATTCTGTGGATCATGGACAGACACAATAGATTCCACACATATCAAATAATATTCACCGGTCAAAGAGATATTGCAAGATGATTTTAACTCTGATATGTAATTTTCAGTAATAATAATAATAATATAATTTTTAATTATTAAATTTGAGTTTGAGTTTGGGGGGGGGGTGAGGACGCACGCCGACACGCCGACACGCCGACACGCCGACACGCCGACACAAACACTTGAAGGAATCTTGGTGTTCATGGGTTACTTTTGACAGCTGTCCTTTTCTATCGGAAAGGTATCCTTAAATGACTTCTGCCCCTGATTTCCAACTCTATCCACTACCCTATCTCTACAATAAAGGCACAAAAAGCCACCCCCCTAATATAATGGTAGGGGAAACACTGATGTTGTCAAATGTATCATATCTGGCTGGTCGAATCTGTAGATTACAGCAGGAGTTCTTACACTGGATGTGGTCATGTTCTTTTGGCGAGCTACTATAGCCATCAAAGACCACAATGATCTTCTGGGAGCGACTGCCAAGACACTGCACAAACCTCAGGTAACTGCCTGCAATCTCCTGCCAAGTCTGACCTTATTCCCACTTTACCAAGTAGAGAAGCCATCCTCCATCAACCACCAGACTGGAGCGGGGTTGGTCTGTGAGGTCAAGCGGATCTTCAGTCTTTCAGCCTTGTTTTGGAAAAGCCTGCTTTGTTCGCCTTGATAATTTTTTGACCTTTTTTGTTGAACAATGACAAGGGGAAGGGAGTCAGCTCATACTCTAAGCTTGTCTCAACTGTTATATCCCGTTGGGCAAAGATTATCAGTCAGGTGAACAACTTGAGTGAGTTTAGGTAAACCTTCTTGTCTTTGACCTTGGGAATAATTCTCAGTGATGACAGGGCCTGCACCTTGAACTTCACCTCCATGGTCGATGTTACTGACTGTCCATCCAGCTTTATCTGCATCTACCTCCCAACTTCCGCTCTCTCAGCGTTGACTGTGTCACCCGCAGTGCTCAAGAATCCTGTTGAGAAGGACACAAGCAACTCGATCGTGGGCAAATGGGTTGGTCTCCTCAAACCTTTTGAGGGTAAATTCAACTGCTTCAGCATCTCACTTCATCAGTGTTCTGGAAAGGTCTTTGTGGAGTTGATTGTGTTTCTTGACATCTTCCGTCATGCGCTGGTTGACATCGGAGAAGTAGTTGAGGGTCTGCACCCAGCACTTGTGGCCTGAATCACTATTTCTCATCCTCCGTCTGCTTAACCCACCATCTGACTTGGCCGCCTTCATCAGTTTCAATACAACCCACCCAACCTTGAAATGATGGGTAGATTCACCTGCTTTATGATATCTTACCTTGAGTCAGATGGGGAGATCGAAGGTCACTATGGTGACTTTGTCCCTGGAGAGACGCATGCACTCTTTGAGAGTGGTGAAGATGGTCTTGTGGTCATTAGGGTCACATTCGAGGAGTGTTCCCATAAATTTAAACAATGTTCAAATCTATATTGTCTCCGACAAACTGAGTGACTGAGCAGATTGACATCCATGATGTTCGTCTGATTGTAACTTTGTATTTCACTTTTACCAGCTGTCGTTACTAATAAACCCCCAAGTTGGATGTCAACCTCAATCTCATCATCTATCTGATTGTTGGTTTCTTTAACAATGGTACCAAGAGCGCCAGAACCTTGAAACTCCATCCCACTCCATTCTTGTCATTGAGGAAGCAGTATTTGTAATTTTGTATTTCTGCATAAGACTCTGTGTACCCTAACCGGTGTAACTTGTTGAGCGTCCACTTTGACCCAAATCTATAATCCAGTTGTATGGCAAGCCCCATCATGTACGGCAATACCCCTGACCGAGCCCAAAAGGCCTTTGCTACTCTTTCATCCGTCCTCACTATAGGTCTCAACAACATCTGAAAGCTCTCAGGAACAAGTGTCAGCTGAATAGGGATATCAGTCATATTGTGTGCAGTTGGGTATGACTTTGGATCTATATCAATAGTGGTGATGTCATTGCAAATTAACTTTAGTGCAGTCTTTAAGATTTGAGTCTTCTCATTTCCAAACAATGTCAGCATGTTGCTCTCGAAAGATGTTGCTGGTCTTATCTTTAAAATTGAACATCTGCTCTCCTCTTCTGTGATTTGAAATACAGTGTATTATGGTATTTCTCTAGGAGCTTCTGCTTCAGCCACTTCTTTGAATATGAGAGACTCTTATCAAACTGCTGCATTTTTATGTGGACTTGGTCAAGTGTCATAACCCCATGCTCGAGTTCCAGGTCTAACCATTCACAGAGCTCATAAAACACAGCGTCTCGCTCCTCATCAGTTTTCCTTCCTACATCTTTTGTCTTGGAGTAATGACCATCTGTCTCGTAGAATCTTAATAAAAAAAATAAAAAAATCTGTAATCATTCTTGTGACATGCAAAACATCCTTTGTCATGTGGACAGATATCTTCTCTACTATGTTGTATTTTGAAGCAAATAGGGGGTCAGATGTACAGTTACTGCAGAAAAAAAACCTTGATAAACCAAAACAAGCCCCTGAGATAGCTAGCTAATATTAGCATGAGGCAGTCAGCTATCATTCAAGTAAGTAAAATAGTAATCAGATGCACTTGGGGTGTGTGGATGTTAGCTAACTAACCAGACTACCTAGTGTTTGCTAGCTATAAGCTAGTTTGATGACAGTACACTCCTTATTATAGTATTAATCAATGTAGTGACATTCAATATTTACAGTTGTAAATAATCTAAGTAATATGTACATAACAGAGTTAAAATCATCTTGCAATATCTCTTTGACCGGTGAATATTATTTGTTATGTGTGGACTCTATTGTGTCTGTCCATGATCCACAGAATGAGCACGTCTGGCACCTGCCACTCAAAACTCACTCACTTACAAATGTTAACCAACTGCAACATTTAACAGTTAATAAAAGGTAGTTACCATCACTAATACATTTATAAATAGACCTATGAAGATACTTTATAATTCACATGCAACAAGCAACATTGATTTTCACCTAAACAAAGGGTTTTCAAGAGATCTGGAAAAGTGGGCGTGGCCGTTTCTCTACCAAGGAGTGGTTTTGGTGCAAAATAAATGCTTGCAATGGATTCAGCATCCCAAATAACCCCTAATTTGACCCTAAATATGCTATTTAAGGCACATGTAAAAAAAAATCAA